TATATTCAAAAAAAATTAATTTTTTTAATATTAATCTCAAAATTTAAAATTAAAAATCAAATAATGGAAAAAACCATCTTAACCACAAGAACAACCCTTTCAGTTTACCCAATCTTTTATTAAAAAAAGAAAAAAGAAAAAGAAGATAGCATCCAAACTGAGGCGAAGCTGTGCATTAATAATCAAGGACCAAGGAGAAGCTGCATATTTCACATCACAAGAACGACAATGAATCCAAGTTTATCTTTTTCAATATGAAGACCCCGGAAGGCTAGACTGAGCCCATTAGCGTGTGTTCCCATCTGTGATAACATATTGCAAAACAGCATCGCTAATAACAAGTGAAGTGGCTCACTTCCATTGGTGGCATCAGCCAATAGCAATTGTCTATGCTCTAGGCTTAAGAATATAATCTGAACCCGATTATGAGAATCTGAAGGACGGTATCAAGTTCCTCTAACCAAGAAGTACCATTACGAAACAAACAATAAGCAAGTTCCCAGAATTTGAGGTCCCAATCTCCGCGTTTCTTTGATTAAGTCACCAACCCAGTTTCCTAATACGGTCTAGCTATTTAATTAGAGCAGATCTCTGATCAAATCCCTGGCTTAACACTACATACTTGATTAATATATTAGCCGACTTGTTGATTGTTTGCTAAGTGCACAAGGTTAGAATTGTTTACAGCATACATTGCGCTAAAACCACATGCTATGATTATAATTAAATAGATAAGTACGATTATATGTAGGTTAGCGTAGGTATTTTGTTAGGCGATGAGTTGTGAGATTAAGAGCTACGCAGCTGGATGCCATTCCATTAGTCCGGAAGAAGACAAAGCCTAGATTAGACATGGAAGGTTGTGGTTTGGTCATCATTGACAATTTATTCGTCCAAAAAATGATCTCTTCACAAAATACTACATATTTTGTTGATTCACACCAGTCATTTTCTCGAATAATTATAAGAACAGTAAAACCCTTTTTCTTTTCATTACAAAAGGGAGGGTGCCTCTCTGATTACAAGGAAAGCAAAAACTCAATCTCCTGGTGCTAGTAAACAAAAGGCGGTTTTAATTAACGCACATCAAAATTTAGGCACAGGGCATTAGTTTGCATATGCCTTGTGCACACACATAGATAATTGAGATATATTGAAGTCTTATGCAGTCTGTCAAAAAACCATCTCATATCGTTTTATTGTGCTTAATTTTTTGAATTAATAAAAAATAAAATAGTAAAATTTAAATTCTTAACTGCTTGGTTATAATGTTATGTCAAACAACTATCTTAATTTAAAATATTAAATTGTTAGATGAGACATTAGAAATGATTTTATATTATTTTATAGTATACATAAATATAGTCATATTATCTTTTAATACTATGTTAAATTACCATATCAATCTAAAAGTTTAAGATATTAGCCAAAGTATTAAAATAATTTTATATTACTTTCTAATACAAAAAATATATATATATATATATATAATTATACTATCCACATGCCACGTAGATTATAAAACTCATGAAAATTTCATTTCTGTGTTTTTAATGCATGCATATATGAGTGCTATATGTAACCTAAGTGAATATGATTCTAAATTTTGCACGAAAATGAGTGATTTCCCCCTTCTCTAAATGCTTAGGAATATCAATTGCTCTTTTGACTATTATAAAAAACATTAAAGTAAAATGATATTTTATTATTCATAATATTGTTCACACACTCATAAATTAGTATTAACATACTCACAAATTACAATTCTTTTCACTTGTTCATGTCATTTTTATAATACTTTGGTCTTCAATTTTTCTATACCTTTTTTTTCAATTTCAAACTTTAATTGTATTGTGATCTAGTCCCATTTTGTTTTAATATTTTTTATTAATTATTTTTATTATTTAAAATTTACTACTTTTATTTTTTATTTTTTTAAAAAAATTTCATCCAATTAATTTAAAATTATATGGTCCTCAATTTTTCTATACATTTTTTTTTCAATTTCAAACTTTAATTGTATTGTGATTTGATCCCATTTTGTTTTAGTGTTTTTTTTATTTTTATTATTTCAAATTTACTAGTTTAATTTTTCATTTTTTTAACTTCTCATCCAATTAATTTAAAATTATATTTATCGACAATTTTGATTTATTTTAATATTATTCATTCTTTTGTAAATAAATATATAAAAAATAAATTCATATTTTTTTTCAAAAAGCAATATTCTCATCAACATTAAATAAAAAAAATATTTGTTCAATTCTATATAAGCTTTTAATAATTCTTCTTCTTCTTCTTCTTTTTTTTTTTTGACACAATCTTATGAAATACTAAACCTTTTTTAAAAAAAATTATTCGATCCGTTAGGTCAATCTTTTACTTTATTTATTAAAAAAATATTTTATTCATGTTTGTTAAGAAATTGCTCTTTACTCATATTCGGGGCATACCCAGTTTATTTGTCTATTTAATATCCATTTAATGTTGACTAAAAAAAATTACCCAAAAAATTCAGTCTAGTCATTGGAATTTTTGAAAAAATTATCCTGGTCATTAAATTTAATATTTTTACTACTAGGTCTTTTATTTGTAATTTGTTTTTGTCATCAAAGTTGTCATAAAAAAATTTGGTCCCTAATTTATATTATTTTTGCAATTAAGTCCCTGCACATTGGTAGGGTATAAAGTAGGTATTGATATTCTTACATTATATTAATAAATATGTAGTTTTTTTTTTTATCCGCCTCAATATTCATTGAACATTTTTAATAAATATTGGATTGAATAAAATAGACATTCATTTTATATCCTATTCATTATTATCTTTAATAATATCTTACGTATAGAGCTTCGAAAGCATGTAAACAAACTCATGACACTAAAACGGGTATCTCTAGGGGTGGACAAAAATGTAGCCATTTCCTCAATTTTGCAAACAGTATTAGTTTTTGATCAATAAATATGTATTTGTGTTCAGTGAATTTTCATTAAAGTTAATGGTCAATGGTAAAATTTTGACCAATATTTAAAGATCACTGCATATCATGTATCCTTGGGACCAAATATGATGACTAAAAATGGCTATCTACCTTGCTTAAAGAAGAAGGAAAAAGGAACAAAAAAAGAAAGAAAAAAAAGGCCTCTCCCAGTCATGCTATAGTTTTAAGCTCCAGTATTTGATTTTGGTTACCAAGTTAAGAAAGAAAAGAAAGGAAAAGCCAATGCTCTTTAATCTTTATATTATTCTATCTATTCAAGGAAAGAACAAAAACACACGTAATTAAGGATTCTGAAGCGAGTACTGCATTATTGGAACACGATTTATTAGCAAATGATTACTCTTGAGTATCGGAATAATTATGCTATAAGTTCGTACAACAAAAAAATTAGTAATTAAGGGAATGGGTGAGAATAGCCTAGGTGCTAGCGTTATGTGATTCTCAAAACAGTAGGCTGATTGGTACATCTCCTTTTTTAATAGGAATTTACTATTCCAACTAATCTACATGGTGCCTTTCAAAGAGATCTCAATGAAGAAAATAAGCGAATTATAGGTATAAAATAGCTAATTGATTTTATATTAAGCGTACATTTCGACAAGGAATCTCATATACTACATTTTTTTGTGATACATTCAAAGGAATGCCAGCTGGGTATGGTTTTTTTCTTCGTTTTTGTTCTTCCTGTGATAATTGATCAAAGAAGGCAGTGTATAGTTACACCCATGACATGTAATCACATTTTCCTAAGCCCCAAATAAAATAACATTATGGGGTAGTCTTATGCCTCATGGAATTAAACCAGGAAAGAAAGGAGGAAACCCTAGAGAATGTCTTATTGACTTGTGGTTAATATTAATAATGTCATTAGCATTTAGGCACCAGTAAAGAATGTTAATTAATATTGGAAAGTGTAATAAGGAAATGGCAAGAGAAGAACAAGGGGTCATTGGGAAAGGTGGATATAGATAGACACAGTCTTCACAGTAGATGATTCCAGAGTGGCTCTTTGTGTGGTCACATGGATTCCTCTGAAATTGTCCAGACCCCGGAACTATGCTTTTGTATGCCTGTTTCTCTCTCTTCTCTTGTAGATCTCAATCAGAATCTCTGGGTTATCATCAGCTACATTTTCGTCATGTTTTTCCCTTTCATGTCCAGGTGTCCGACCACATTATTACCAAATGAATCCATCGTCACATCTCATTAGGCGCATCTTATTATTTATACTTAAAAAATAATGTATCCTATTGAAACGTTGGAAGGACCAAGTAAGCCTTTTAACATATTGCAAAAACCAGTATTGTCAAAGGAGACGACTGTCCTTAGGACAATAATGGTCTCTGCTCCCGAAATGGGATATGCCTTTTGGCTTTTGGACCGACCTTTTTTCCTCATCAAAATCATTTCCATTTTTACGTTCTTATAAATTTACATTTTTGACATATATATATAAAGTAGTATAATTTTTATTATTTTTTATTTTTTAAAAAAACTAGTAGTAGTGTGTGTTCTATGTTAATTTTCAGCAAACGGAATTTACAATCTGCAAGTTCCACTAGTGCCAAGAGAATATTTCCTCTCCTCTCTCTCTCGCGCGTTTAGTAAGTGGTCTAAATTGCAATCTCACGTGCAAAACACTGTAGCTTTTATTGGTTTGATTAAACGTCTTTAAAATCTCTTGGCTTTCCCCTCTGGGAAGAAAGATAAAAAGGGAAGTTCGTTTGGTCTTTTGGTATGTGGTCCTTTGGGTTTGTGCATGTTAAGATCATTTGGTTTTCTTCGAAGGAAACACTACTTCTTAGCTTCAACTAATGTAATCCTTCCTCCTTTAAGATCTCAACTCGTAAGACTCCTTCCTTGTACTCTAGTTGGTGGTCTATGCCCCTAATCCTCTCTTCATGTTTGTCTGCCCCTTGGAGTGAGAAAAAGAGAGAGATTATTAGAAAACACAAAGGGTCCGTCTGTCTGCGTGTTTGAGAGAGAGAATATTTAGACATGGCACTAGAGGCAGTGGTGTACTCTCAAGATCCATTTAATTATGGCTGCAGGGATTCCTGCTCCTTGGCAGGAGGAGAAGCTTGGGGCTATGATTTTGGGCTGCAAGAAGATGATAAAGCTTTCCTTGGGATTCTTGAAAATAGCAACATAGAGCAACAAGGTCTCCATGCAAAGTGGGATTCATCATCACCTTCAGCGATGCAACAGGCAAAAGAATGGGATCCTAATTCCTCGTCTCCTGAGACTTGCTATGTTGATCAATCTCTCCAAGGAATACCGTTTCCTGCGATAATGGAACCTGCACCAGGGACAACAACAAACAGGAGAAAACGAAGACGCACCAAGAGCACCAAGAACAAAGAGGAAATTGAGAGCCAGAGAATGACTCACATTGCTGTTGAACGCAACCGTAGAAAACAGATGAACGAGTATCTTGCTGTGCTTAGGTCTTTGATGCCTCCTTCTTATGTTCAAAGGGTATTTACCAATATATATATATATATATTTCAAATTTCTTTTCTTTTATTTTTTGTTTTTTGTTTTTCTTTTGTTAAAGATCAAAACCCTTTTCTTAACTGTGCATATTAATTAGATCCTTAATCCGACGAATTATCATAATTTTTTTTATACTTCCTATTATATTTTATCTATTTACAAAATTAAATGATAAAAAAGAATTTCAGCCCTACTTACGGAAATTTTTTATATAAGTTCCTTAAAAGCTTATTACAGTTCCATCCAATTGATCAATTGATCATCTTGATCAGATTTGTACTAATTCATTAGAAGTAAATTTTTTCAAACATATTTTAATTAATTACGTTAATTTGTTGTTCTTTAGGGTGACCAAGCATCTATAATTGGAGGTGCCATTAATTTTGTTAAGGAGCTAGAGCAGCTCTTGCAGACCCAAGAGGCCAATAAAAAGAACAGGCAAGAACCTGACGTTGATGGCTTCTCTTCACGGCCATTTGCTGACTTCTTCAGCTTCCCACAGTATTCGACTCGAGCAACTCAGCCTTCGTTGACGGCAGATGAGTCTGTGGCTGATCAGAACCAGTGGGCTGTAGCGGACATAGAAGTTACAATGGTGGAGAGCCATGCCAATCTCAAAATTCTATCAAAGAAACGACCAAGACAGCTCTTGAAAATGATGGCAGGGTTGCAAAGCCTAAGGCTTAGTATTCTTCACCTCAATGTCACCACTGCTGACCAAATGGTTCTCTATTCAGTTAGTGTCAAGGTTAGCCAGATTTGTATTAGTCAAATCAGTCAATTTTTTTTATTGACCAATTTTGATGTTGCTACTTTTTTCTTTCTTTCTTTCTTTATGTGGCAATAGACCATAAAATTAAATAGTAAATACCAATTGGAAAGACCAAGATGGTAAGCAAGAAATTTTGATATTTCATATAATTATATATTTTCTGTAGAGTATTTAATTTTTTTTTTCCCTTTGGTATGAATATTTTGGGACGAGGTTGAAGAAGGGTGTCACTTGAATACGAGTGGATGAGATTGCAGTGCTTGTTAATCAAATGTCTGTACGAGGATTGAAGAAGCAACTACTTTTACTCGAAATTTGTAACCCTAATTTGTTTGTGTTTTGCAATAGTTAATTAGGTTGTTAATTTGCCTCTAGTAATGTACTTTGCTCGTTTAATTTTCCCTTCATTTTAATCTCCCTAAGACAACTTTAGAGGAAATCTCAATGTAGTCGCAAACACACATAATATATATATAAATTGAATCCCAAAACCAATAAATTTTATCAATTAGGTGCTAAATATTTCAAAAACAAATTCAATTAGTTTTGTTTTAATTGATGTTCATCAACATTTTCATCATAATTTCTTCAAGATGATGTCATTTTAGTGCATAAATATGCACATTAGATCGAAAATATTAATATACATTATTTTTTAAATCAAATTTGATATCATTTAAGTGCAATAAATATGCAAATTATATTTAAATTATAAAACAAATCAACAAAAAGACATAGTTAAGACATGCAGTAAATATTAAAAAGTTAATTAATAAAATTTATAGGTTTAAGATGTAATTAAGAATTGATATATAGATTTAGAAAAGTAGTTTAACATTTAACAACTCTAGACGTAAATTTTCTACGAGTAACAATACTCAACACTAGCATAATAGTAGTCATCTTTACTACAAGAGACAAAATCTCAATGTGTATAGCTTTTTTTTCTTCTAGTAACATAGTTAAAGTCCATGTCCGATTCTTCTTAAGAAACCTCATCTCTTCTTCTATAATCGACTCCTACTTGATAGAATTTTTCACTTGCATTGCTTCACTAAAAATTTTTGGTTCTTTAGCATCGAGTCAAAAGCAAATAGTTCCAAAAAGGTGAATACCTTTGAGTGGGTTTGGACACTCTATTAGACCTCCTTAGCTAAGGAATAAGAATTAGTGGTTCCGATTCAATTTTAGCTTCTCTATCTTTGTCATTTGAGCTCTCAAGAGACCTCATCTCTTCTTCTATGTCTAATTGTCACTTGACGGAATTTTTCACCTTTGTTGCTTCAATAAAGAATTTTGGCTCTCTAACATTAATAAGAAGCAAATATTTTAAAGAAAGTGAACACCATTGAGTGGGTTTAGATACTCTATCGGATCTCCTTAGTTGAGGAGTAGGAGTTACTAATTCGATTCGGTTTTAGCTTCCTCATCTTTATCATCCGAATTCTAAATCGCAAATATAACATCCTTCAAAATCTCTTCAAAATTAGATTTCTTACTTGTTTTTGGCTAGTTCCTTACCCTATTAGAATCTATCCCAATGTAACATATTTTCGGTAAAGTTCATATCCCTATGCCTTGTGATATTTTTATTCCGATCATCTCAAAACCAATAACCAAATCATCGAACCATAACCACCGAAAAAACATTTTCTAGCATTAGGATCAAGTTTATCTCTAGCATTAGATCCTACATATATGTATGAAACACAACTAAAGATTCAAGTGTAAAAAATTTACCTCTTTTCTCGATCATACTTCTTCATGTAATTTGAAGCCCAACGGAATCGAAGGTTCTTTATTTATGAGGTAAATTGTTGTATTCACTTCATCGACCCATAATGCTTTGGGCAAACGAGAATGCTATCTCATGCTTCTTGCCCACTTATTCAAAGTTCTATTTATCCTTGCAGACAACACCATTTTGCTGCGATGTGATAGGAACTATCTTAATCATTCCGATCCCATTGTTTGAATAGTAATCTTTGAATTATGTGCTAAAATACTCTATTTTATTATCCGACTTCAAGACTTTGATTTTCAGACCAAACTAATTTTTAACTTTAGCCTTCCATCATCACCATTGGAATTAACCGCTACTATTGTATCCCTTATTATAACGATTGTGTATAAAATCCCAACCTTATTGTCTTATGCTACAACCATATTACCCTTTTTTATCCTTCATGATCCATTTTTAAATACTATTGTGTATCTAACATCATCGAGTTTACTCATAGAATTTAGATTCTTTTTAAGACCTAGAATATGTCTAACATTCTATAGTTTTTATTGCATTTCGTTGACGAGTTCTAATACAAACCTCACCTTTTTCCCACAATATCTAGAGGTTCATTATCTACAAGATAAACCTTTTCAAATTTTTTTAAAATATATTTATGTAGAAAATCTTTATATGGAGTAGATTGAAATGACGCATTTGAGTCTAGAATCCAAGAATCAAGGAGATTGTCTATATTATAAATCAATACATTTGTAATTTCATTAGTCATTGTACATCCAAAGTCATCATTCGATTCTTCTTCTTATTCGTAGCCTTACATCGATTTTTAAAATGCCCCTTCTTGTAGCAATTCTAAATCAATGCATTTGTAATTTCATCAATCATTGCATATCCAAAGTCATCATTCGATTCTTCTTCTTATTCAAAGCCTTACACTCGATTTTTAAAGTGCCCCTTCTTGTGACAGTTATAGCGAGTGATCTTTTTGTGATTTTTGGATTTTCTTGTGCCCTTTGATTTTGACTTGTCATGGATTCTCACCTTGCTAAAAGTCTCTTCCTCTCGCTATCAATACTCAAAACGGAATCTAAAGGTTCTCCCGACTCATTTTTGTGAAGATCTTTATTAACCATTAAATCTCAAACATCGTTTAATTTTAGATTTTCATTTCTTGATGAACTGTTGTTACCATTCCAAACTAGCTATTAGGTAGAAAGGATTACAAAATCGATGCCTTTATTTCTTTATCAAACGTAATGCCTATTCGACTTTAATTAATTGATTAACACATTAATGTGATTAATCGAGACGCATCCTCTGTCACTTTTAGATTGAATAATTGATGCATAAAAAATATCATGTTTGAGGTAGATGACTTCTCACACATATTTGATGACCCCTTCATCAAATCCGATGTGGCTTTTTCTTTCACAATGTTGAAAGCAATGTTTTGTGTCAATTTAAGCCAAATAACACCCAAAGGTTGGCAATCCAACATAACCTTATCAACATCTTTCATTCCTTTTGACTTCTTTCCCGATAGGGGTTCATATAACTTCTTTTGATACAAATAGTCTTCAATTGTATCTAGGGTTCTAATATCAATTGTCAATCCTCACTTTTTCTTCTTCGCCATCGTTTCTCCTTACCTTGCAACCTAGGGTTCTAATATCAATTGTTAGGAAACAAATCGAGCAAACAAATAGAATATAAAAAATAAAAACAATCACACTATATATATACACATATTACTTTTTTGGTTTTTTTCAAGATACATCGTTAATATTAGTTTAATCCGTGATATACAGATATGTCTATTGCAAAACTCCACGTATTTAGAATTTTTTTTATACCTTCCCTAACATACACTAAATGAAATTCCAAGCTGAAAAGAGAAAATCAAATGAGTTATATGTTAATGCTTTAAAGCCGAAAAGAAAAGATCAAGAGACGATATGCGTCAATGCTTCATCTACTGGCTCAATAATTAATATAAACGGTTATTGCCGGTCATTGATTTGGTCGATCTCATGGCAAACATATGGTATGTTCTCGGTAAATCACAAAAAACCTTTTTGTCGGGAGTCTATTTTCTTCAGCAGCATTCTATTGCTACTTCCTGGAAGGCTTCCTCTTCATTCAGAATTCGCTTCGTTATCCTGCTTAGAACATTCAATTATCAGTGGGAGCCACGTCTGTTTTTATAGTCTGTGCACTTTCGATTTGACGGTCTCTCTTTACGGAACTACGTTATAGGCCTTTGAGGATTACCCACCACATTACATTCTGTTTTTATATGGTTTTTTCTTTGTCTTTTTTATCTTAAAGGGGTCCAAATTAATCTCTCTCTTTTTTTTTTTTTTTTTTAATTCTAGACTATATTTTTTTATTCTGTCGAGCACGTTTTTATCTAATTTTTCTTTTATATAAAAATTTTAATCTAAAATTATTTATATAAACGATTAAAATGTCTTTCGTTTAAATCAATCTTATTTAATTTTTTTTTAATCTCTTTTTGCAGTAAGACGCATCTACCAGAAGCATCAATGATGATGCATCCTTTGTCGCTAACGAAGAGAGGAAAACAGAAAATGAACGCTGTCCATCTAATATCGGTACAAAATTGTATCGAGTACGTAGAATAAAACACACCGCATTAACTCCAGTCATATACTCAGATTTGAGAATTTAATATTTTATTTTTCCTTTTTGCCTACAATTCTTAGGATTGGGCTGTGTATAATACGATAGCCTCCCCACTCTAAATTCCATCTTATCCGTCTTGGAGATTTGATGACGAGATTTCATTTTGAAATTTTAAATCTTAATATTTAAACTGGGCAGTATAAATTTTTAATTTAATAAATTATTTGACATCGTATTAATGATATATATATATATATAGTAGCGCCGGGGGGGCGGGGGCATATGTTTCTAAAATAATTTCAAATCTAGGATAATGGAACATGGATAAAGGAAATGTTGTTTTTGTTGTATATCGTAAAGGCCAGAAACTTTTAAAATTTTCAAAAGAATTAAAAAAAAAAAAAAACACCTGGAGCTAGCTGAGGTAGATACAAGCCCAATAGCTCGAGGATATGAATAAAAATGATATTAGATTCAATTAAGCCCTGTGCTTCTTAGTTGTCCACCCAAACCAAAAAAAAAAAAAAAAAGGGTAGGGATGCAACATGTTATTTATATAATAAAAAAATGTTAGCATGTGTCTACTAAGAAGTTTATCCATCAAAATCTTGTCTCGATCGCTTTGCTGCATTCCTTGTCAAATTCAATGAATGATGAGTTTGATGAACAATATTCCCAGAGATGGCACCCCTGTATCTGAATCATAAAATAGATAAGACATGATGGGTTTTCAACATATGCATGATAGATATATCCACTCTCATGTTTTATCTTATACTGCTGGATATCCATGTTCGGACGGCGAAGAGATCCATTAGATTTTTGTTCTCACTTTAGGGAAAAAAGGAGCGATAGAAAGGCCTGATAGGAGGAAAGACTAGACTAGTTACCATGACGTCCCAATCTTTTTTTTTTTAATGAGTTGATTGATACTATACTACAGCTTTAAATACTTAACATAATTGGCAATGTTGATGTCAATATTTAGGGTCCCGCAATTGCGATAAATAAAAGCCTTTTTGTAATTACGTGATTATGGAAGAATGTAGACCATGTTTTCCATGGCATTATTGATAATGGGGTGTCAATTTAAATAAAGGCCATGGGATGAGATTCTTTTACATCACAAAAGTGCTACTTCCCGTGGGATCGAAGAAGTTTCGTAAGTGAAATGACCACCGATGAAAGAATCATGCCACACGAACAGCTGGTACGATATGCCCACATCATTAATTACGTACTGCGTGTATAAACAGAAGCAATAAAGCTTATCGAAACTGCTAGCTAGCTAGTAGAATGTATTATAATGCCTCTCTTCGTTTAGCCGCATTTGGTAACGGGCAAGGACGGATGGGGCTAGGTGTTACCATTCGCAACATTGAAAATTTGAACTTGAAAGAATTGAAGGGCGGAGGCCACTGTGGGAGTTAGGGGCTGCAGCTATTGGTCCCGTGGCTCCTAGAAAAATTCAGCTCTTTAATGGAATTCAATTATTAATTCAAACCAACAGATTTTGTAGCTGTAGAAGGTGGCCCGTGGCTGTATTGCGCTATATAATCTTTGAGTCAATCAGCTTTGGCAAACACAAAAATATATATGAATCCATTCACGAGCTCATATCTTAGTAGAGAGCATATATATATATATAGATCTCAAAAGAAAATCTAGATTGCTAACATTATGACTTCAAAAACCCTCTACCACTTTGGTGGAAGAAAAATGTATATAAAAAGGTAAGGAATCCTCTAGCAATTACTTTAATCCTAACACATCCAATATCCTTCCAAAACACCATAACAAACATATTCCATCTCCCTCTTTGTTTAATTTGAAGAAGGACAAAACCTTAAGACTGCAGGCTGAGACAATCCAGATAACAAAAGTCCGCACCGAAAGAACTGAAAGTATGCATAAAGAAAAAAGGCATTTGATTATTCTTTTCATATATTATTACTTTTTCATATTGAATCAAAAAGATTCATTAAACACCTAATTAAGTGGCTAAAAAGAAGCCGGCCGCCCGAGAGAGAAAGTACATGCATAAGAGGAATAGCCCACAAACGTCATTTGTTTATGGAATTTGTTGATTAGAATCCCCAACAAACAATGGACAATTTATCAAATTTGATGCTGTGTTTTCCATTTGTTTTATATATTGTTGTAAGTTTTGTCGAGATGGTTATGTTGATTTGACCATCTTTCAGTTTTGGTGGAAGTCGGTTCCATATATATAGTCTTTTAGTTTCAGTTTTCTTTAATAAGAATAAAAGAAGACAAAGAAAATGATTCTATGAGAGAGTTGACTGTGGAATATAACTCGTGACCAAGGAAACATGTGAAATGTAGACGAAATATTATAATCACCTAAAGTAATCAAAACAAGTTATTAAGAAATCTTTGATACGTGTGAATTCATAATGAAAAATATCTGAAGCTGTAGTGATATGTATATATATATAGACAGACAGACAGACAGACACAAAGTGGAAGTTATTAAAACGACTAAAGTTCAACCAGAAGTTTCCTCTCCACTGGCGTAGCATGAAATATGAATTTAGTAGTACCTCTTTCTAAATTAGATGCCTCAAATTTGAGTTTCTCTTTGGTGAATGACAAAAAAAATTCAATGGCACACACAACTAAAAATATCTAACACCAAAAGAATAAAGATCGAGAGAAACGGTTGAAAATGCATAACAATTTGTTAGAAAATAAAAAGGTGAAAAGAAGAAAATAAGTTAGATAAAAATATATAATCACTCAAATACCTTAAATTTTTGGATTGAAATAATTTTTTAATATAATATGAAATTTTTTTTAAAAGTATAACGAGTTTAACAAAAATTTTGAAATCCAAACTAATTGATAAATGAACGGCAATTGAAGAAAAGAATTAGAAAACGTATCCCATATAAAATAATTAAATAATACATGAGTAGTGTATAAAGTTTAGAATGGTTTATCCATCACAAAATTTTTAAGTATTTTGGTTGAAATTCAATTTTAATTATCAAATTTCATATGATATGAGAGTTTTGATAATTAAATGGTTACAAATTCAAAACTTACCACTCTCATTCTCTCTAATTAAAATAAATAATTAAGCACAAGGTAATGGTTGTACGAGTAAGTTTCAAATTCAAATAGTTTTGACTTGAAAATATACGTTAAAAACTAATATAAATTATATTCTATGACCTAAAAATATATGTTAAAAAATAATATAAATATATTCTATGATCTCATCTAATAATTTAAATTTTTAGATTGAGACGAATTTTTAACATAAAAAATATATGAAAAAAATTATTTGAGTTATTGTTTGCGAAATTATTTAATGGAAGGTAAAATGAACTTTTTTAATCTCTATTCTCCTCCTTTTTATTAAAATGTGTTCCCTTAAATTCCGAGTAATGAAAGAAAATGAATATTTTAAAATTTTTTATTCAAATTTAGGTAAATCCTTATTATTTATTTATGAAACTGTTTTCAAAGGATATAAATGTAATCTAAAATCAAAATCTCTCATTCTCATTCTTTAACCAATCAAAGAAAATTTTTAAAACTTAATTCATATAGTTACAAATCCAAAAAAGAGAAACATATTTTCTTCCACTCCCTTCCCCTCCTATCAAAATTCAAATGTTCCCGAACACGATGAAACGCTCCTAGATTTAGTATAGAACATTGGATTGAAACAGGCCAGCCCAGTAAAGGTAACCAAAAGAGCTAGGTGGACATTGTTTTTGCGGTGGACCGAAATCCAAGCAAAGGTTGGCCCAATAGAGTATATTTTCCCATTAGAGCAAAAATGGAATTTGGATTGCCCAGGTGAAAGGAAATCTCAGGCCGTAACTCACTCTACCAAAATGAAAATCCCAAAATGACACCAATTGTTATCAATAAGGACGCATAGGGCCGCGACGGAGCCCACGCCATGATCAGTTGTTTGTGAGCATTCCGTTATATAATCTACGATTCTAGATGATTTGCCTTCATTAGCTCAGTTTGGAATTCCGGATTTGAATTACAGTCGTTTTTGTGAGCGAAAATTGAATAGTTAAAAGCCCGGTTGAAAATAAAAGTTTTTGTAAACTATAAGGTGCTAGTACGTTAATAAATAAATATTGATTTATCGATCAAATTTAAAATTTAAGATTTTTATAATCAATATTTTTAAAATATTCGAAACTTTATATTAGTAAATATTATTTAACTATTCTCAAAAAAGGATTAATTTTAAGTTATGCAAAAACTAGTGGGAGAACATTCTTACTGCTGAAGAAAAGGGAAAAAAAATGCTCTTGTAATCCTATATATAGTAGTTGAAGCTTTAACATCTTGCCCGTCTGAAATGTCAAGTTTGACAAAAAGTTAGGTCCTGAGTCTCGACTAATTGTCAGTAGCCAGCATATTCTTTGACCAAATGTAAGGTAGGATTTGATTATCGCCTTCACCATGAAGCTAAAGTTTGCCGAAAATTTTCTGATTGGAGACCAAGGAAAACTGGGAACTGAAGTAAAGCATATTTGCACTGTAAGTATAGCTGCATAGAGAAGGTTTGGTTGGTGAAATAGTTGAATGTCCTAGCACATTAACCGACAGCTGTGATACATCGGAAGTGTGCACGATTTCAAAATGTTGCGTAAGACATTGCGTTTGATTTTGAATTTGAGGACAATCAAGTAACAAAACATTTGATGTACAATACATTGCTTGTTGAAATCTATGCTGGACTAATGTTACACCGATGTTTCTTTGACCATAAAAAAAAAATGCTGTACGCTGTTTCTATAGCCTCCAGTGGTTCATAATTTCATCAATATCACCACCAAGTTTTCATGACATTGCTGTTGCTGTTGATTTCATCCACGATCATCTTTAAGAAACTCTACTTCGGTCATAAAGTACAGAGGACAAGAACTATTCTATCAATTTATGGCTGCAGATTTCCCTCTTTAAATGTATATTTTTATTTCAATGTATTTTGTTAAATGTCTTCTATGGTCTATATCTGCAAGAATTTCCTTTTAATATTGCTATTTCTTTATAGAAGAACATTCATCTCAGCTTGAAACATCACTGTGATACATCCATTATTTTCAAATAGACATTTTTGAAAAATAGCATACATAGTTCATATACCAGATGTATTACTTCATGTCTGCAGAAACATGAGTAACATCCCCTCATGAGGGATTTCTGATAAAACTGGAACTACATAATGAGTTCTTGTTGGTGGAATTGATACCTCCTCCATCAAGGCATCCGTTAAATCACAATTTTTGTGATACAGAAACTTATTCTAGTTGCTTCAGAGCGTGACACACAGCAGCAAGGTTCATATCAAATTATTAATCTGAAGTAGACATTTTCTATCTGGAAGAACCACAACTTGTCTGGAGTGCCAGAGAAATCTCCGTTTTGCAGATATCTCATATAAAACTACATACCAAAAAGAGTGAAATCTTTGGATTTACAAGGGAAGAGTAGAGTTCAGGCTTCGGTTTTGCCTTGAAGTGAAAAACCTCCCCCACATGAAAATGATCTTTTCATAGAAACAGGACCTTTATGAAGACATTGTGAAATGGAAGAACTGCCAGTCAATTTAAACTCGCTTGAATGTGGACCATCTCCCTTCAAAACAATTTTTGATATTCTTTCCTCATTATTTTCGATCTGACTAACCAAGTTTTCCTCGGATTCAAGTGGACTATGATCAGTCAGGCCAACACTCGTAGTTGTTGCTTTCAAAGAATCCATTGAAGAAGACCTCCTCATCGGCTTTATATTATTCTCCACATCCTGATATTTATCCACAGAGTCACAAAGTACCTGGAGATCACCATTATCATTATAATTCACTTCATCCTTCAAAGTTTTTTCTTCACCAACCTGTAGTATTTCACCTCCCTCATCTGTTACAGCTCTGTTTTCGCAAGGTTCATTTCTCTCTTGAATATTACTAAATCCACTATCAACATGCGAATTCTCCATCTGGGAACTGACAATTGGATTTAAGTCATCGTGGTTCTGACCCACTGAAACCAAGGGAGCGCTAACCCCTCCATTTACTATATGTGCACGACACAAGGGGCAATTGGTGTGAGATCTCAACCAAGTATCAATACAAGATATGTGAAACGCGTGGTTACACTTAGGCAGTAGCCTAAGAGTCTCGTCTTGCCGAAATTCACTCAAGCAAACTGAGCATTCACTTCCTTCAATTAGCCCTTCACCCTTCTTGTACTTGAAAACTGTGATTGAATTGATAATTGACTGTTGCAAACCAATTGTGGCAATGAACCATATCGGGTGATCAACTCGGTTCTCATCAAGAAATTCTTCATCTGTATTTTCTTCTTGAGCTTGGGGCTGCCTGTTATTCCTGGAACCACACCAACCACAACAAGACTTGGCTACAATAACATAGTAGCTAACAATAAGGAAGAAACTGGCTAGCAAAGCAACTATGATGATCACATATGGTGATAAGTGGCGTTCTTGGGGCAAGAATGAAGGAGGTGGTGGTGGTGGTGGTGGTGGAGGCAACAAATAGTAGTCTGAGTAAGGATAGCAATTATAAGGACAAGCTGGGTCACAGAAGTCAGGGCAGTCTGTAGTTTGATTTGTTTCAGTTCCAGCTGGGAACAGTTTCCTGTGTTTCATTGCCATTAAAGAAACCGGTAAGAGCGAAAGAAATTGAGAAGAAAAGTAAAGAAAGATCAGCAACTGTGTGTTTGTGTGGGCTTCCTGGTGAGCTTGCTATCTTTTGTTTGAACTGAAAGAGAAGAAATTAACAAGGTTAAGAAACATGTCTTTTTCAAGTTTTAATCAGCAAGGTTGCATGATGTGTTTGGTAGGTTTGGCTCCATGTCTAGAAGCTCCTTGTCGTTTGTCTAAGATAAGCCCATCTGCTTGTGTTTTTCTGTGCCTTGTATTTTCAGCATTTAGTTGTATTTTTGCACATTTTTTAGACTTCCTTAATACTTACTCTTATGAAAGATGAGGGGATCGAAGATGTTACAGTAGAAAACAATATAAAAGATGATAAAGAAATTTAGTACTGTGGAGGGAATATCAGCAATTCCCAATTCATCCGATGATAACTACGTGGCTCAAGTAGACTATCGAGATCACCATAGCCTGAGAAAGATAACAGCACAGGATTACTTAATCTTATCAGGCCAGGGATAAAAGACTCACTGTAAACATAAGCTATTAAATGAGTTGAGTGTAACAGCATCCATACCAATACAAACAAAACTTCCCTTTCCCTGAGAATATTAGCAAATACTTCTCTTCCTGTGGCCATCTCCTTTTCTTTTTTTTATTTCCGATCCATTAGGTGGGATATAATACTTTGGAGCCGTCCTGTTCCTATTTTGGTAGCAAGTCATTATCATGACTATTACTATTACATATCTTAAATTTGGTGCACTTCATACCATCTCTAATAAGATAACCTCGGTGTCACAGTCAAGAGTAGTACAGACCTATGAAGTGAAATGGACCTCATATCTGCCAAGTGAAATTTTATGTACACAAGATCTTGGTGGAGCCGATTGAGCGGTGGCTCTTACCTAATTAATTACTAGAATATATGCTACACTTGCACCTAATTCACTTTAGTTGATTCCAACATCATATTCATCAGTTACTTGTGTGTGTCAGTGGTTGGAAACTCAACTTTCAGGTTCAGGTTTGATTCCCGAAAGAGGAAGTAGCTGCTGCATACTTGACATATGAATTCACACGTACATATGTAGGTCTGTTCGTGTATTTCTTAAGGGCGATGATTGAATCTTACTGGTCGGTACTTTCTGGACATAATTGAGACTTTAGTATTGAGTTTGATGGCATAGGTTCAATTGGGATGCTTATGCCAACCTTTGACACATCTCAGGTGGCATGTTTACGCAAACAATTTTAGAGGGGCTACAATATTTAATCAAAACTCACTTCTTTTTTCTTTTTTTTTAAGAGCGTTCTGTTGATTGATTTTGGATAACCTCACACGGACTTTCATATGTATTTCCCGCACAACATGCCAATTATTATTGCACGTAAATGACAATCTTATACAGCCAAAATTTTGAAGCGAGGCTAGCTTGTGCAATTTCCTTTTAGCCACAGTAGATATATAGCAGCTGGCCGCCACGGTTTTAGCTCTTCCATTCCTATGCTAGTGATTCCGCTGACCATGTGCCATAACATTGATGTGGAGGGACTGCTGTCCATCCTTACGTAGCAAGACCAGATGGTTGGTAATCCTCTTCTTCTTCTTCTTCTTCTTCTTCTTCTTTTTAATCCACTTTGCCTTTTGCTTCTATAGAAAGTCAATCCTGGAACATTTTCTGAGGAAACACGAATTGTCAGTGACAGCAATGATTTAGGGTAAATTCTTGTAAAATCACTCTTAGACCTCACTTTACATTGCATGAAGTTAAAGAAGTTGCATAATAAAACTTTTGAATCTTATATAATATAAAAACATTTTAACAATACTTATCATCAAATATTTTTTTTACGATAAATTTTATTTTACATGTGTAATTAACAATACTTGCTTTAAGCAAGAGATAGACAAAAAAATATATATGTAAAAATATTATTATTATTTTTGGTGAGTTTGAATGTGGGGTTTTTTTTTTCCTCTCAAAGTGAATTTATAAACATGAGTAATTATTGTTAGTTATTTCTTGAGTACATTTTTTTTTTTTTTTACAATTATATCAGCTACGACTTTTTGAAATAGATCCCTAGTTAATAGTATTTGTTGACTAAACAAATATGTAATATTTTTGAGGTTTATAAGTAGGTATATTCTGCATAATATCATTTGGAATTTGTTTCCTAGTAGTTATCATAAAAAGAAAAAAAAATTTATTATGAAATAATAAATGTCCATCATCATGTTTATCTACTTTTCATATCTCCACACTTATGATTTTTAATATGATTCAATTCATCATTCAATATGAGAAATTGAAAGGGTGATGCAATTAATTATTTATAATCCCTTTCAATTCTCTTCTTAATTTTGAAATCTATAAATATGTTTGATTGTTCATTAGTTAATGTATAAATTTTATAAAAAGAATAAAAGAAATTTTGAAGTTCCTATCACTTGTATCCATATTATAATGATTTCATTTTCTTGTCATTCTTTTCTTCAATTCTCCTATTATTTCTATTTTTTTATAACTTCATCTTCTTTTTTTTTTTTTTTTTTTTTTTTTGCAAATGCATGGGTCTAGATATGAATGATCTATTTAAGTTAAATTGAAAATAATATAGCTTCATTATATAAAAGTTGGCCAAAAAATATATTTATAATTGAGAAAGAAAATGTATTTATGAGCATCGAATGCACCCACCATTTTGAACTGGTGAGTATTGTTAACACCCACGCAATGCTTTTTTGTTTTTAAAAAAAAAAAAGATGTGAAACTCAGCTTCGTATCCTTTAAAAGCAGGCCATATAAATTAGGAGCTTATTTGGATGTCTGCTTCCCATGACTTTATGAGTTCACTTGTACTCCTGTATCATATATATGTTTGTCCAGTTTTCTAGTCATGAGGTATGTTGTTGACTGGAATTACCCATGTCTCATCTCCATCCTCATCACTAAATAACATTCTAAGTGACAAGGGTCCACTGGGGGTGAAGTAGTTGTCCATAGAGCTCCATAGCTTTTATCTAAGAGCTTGAATACAAAATTTTGTGTCTGCACATATAAATTTTTTTGTTAATAATAGTTTCAGTGACTCAGATAACATGTAAAATTTGAATTTTTTTAAAATTTTGTTTGCTTTTATGCGATGAGCTAGAGACTAGTTGCTGCTTTTACTTTCTTTATTTTCTGTTTCATTTTCCTGTGCTAAATATCAGCTAATATTCTCTTGGACTAAGCATATTTAAAATTGCATTTTAACTCCGTTGGTGACACATAGTTCACATGAAGCTGAATACAAAGTCAAGTGGTTGCAAAGTAAATCATTTGGAAGATTAAAAGGTGCATTTAATATTACATGCAGTGCATATTACCTCGCATAGCTGAACAGCAGTGATATCCCTCCTTCCTTGTTGATGCCAAATGACAAAACCCAAATAGTAAGGGTAGTTGCTGTTCTCATCGATTTTGATGAAGATATCCAAATAAACTCAACCGTCAGCTTCAGGTCTGGTTCCCAGAAGAGGAAGTAGCTGCTGCATACTTGACATATTAATTCACACATATGTAGGTTTGTTCGTGTAATTCTTAAGGGTGATGATTGAATATTACTACTCGGTACTTTCTGGAAGTAAATGAGACTTTAGTATTGAGTTTGATGGTACAGGTTCAATTTGGATGCTTATGCCAACCTTTGACCCACCGCAGGGGGCATATTTACACAATCAATTTTAGAGGGGCTACAATATTTAATCGAAACTCGCTTTATTTTTAGAGAGAAAAAAAAGTGTTCTGTTGATTAATTTTGAATTATCTCACACGGAATTTCATGTGTATTTCTCAGGGTTAAGTACAAGTTCTATGCTTTAAGGGATCTCAGAACAGAATTTATTACGAACGATTACTGAAGTCAAAAGGAACTCATTTTGTCTCTTTACAGTAGTCCCACGGCAGCTAAATTACCGAGAGTTAGTTCCCTTCCGCATTTTCTTAGATCTGCTATTTTGGTCAATTGAAGGCATGCCCCTATGTGCTATGCACTAAGATGACCTAAAGATTACAAAACTGCAGGAGACGTAGGAAAGGTTACGGAGATAAGGGAGAATGTAGCACATGCAGTGGAGAAAGTTGGAGTGGCTGAGAAGGTATCTGCTAAGATGGCTGACAAGCTTCCCAGCCATGGAAACTTAAAGATACAGCTCTGTTATTTGAAAGTATTTATAAAGGGGCAATTAAAGATGCCCATTTGACCAAGGACTTCATTCACAATTGATTCACATACAAAGTTCGCTAAATACAGTGGTTAATTCCATCGAAAATTCAATTAAAAGCAATCGACCTAATTAGCTAGAGAAGAAAAATTTAGTGGTTTTTTTCTTCATGATTTGCAGCCTCTTTCTGGTAACACTATTATACATCGGTACTTGGTAGTTAACCTCTTAATCTGAGTTTGGTGCCACTGTAGGTGGATGAACTGAAGCAGGAAGTGTCGGAGACAGTGTCTGAGCCATTTAAGTATCCGGAAAAGCTGCTGGACAAAGAAGATAACAGAGAATGTTGGATGGTCTTGGAATTTCGCTTCAAACAGGATGTACACGTATAGGTATGAATATGAAGCACGGACATCCGAGTAACTAATTCAATAAAAGAGATGTATTTAAGCTGACGATGTTGTCATTATCCCCCTCATAATGAATTAGTGTTTTACTAATAACAAAATACTTGGTCAATGCGAATTACTGCAGTCTACAATATAAATGAAACAACTAATTTCGCTTAGGCTATGTTAAATTAAAAAAAAAAAAAAACTGTCAACCGTGAACCTGAAACTCTAATGATCAACAAGCAGAAATCAAATTCCGTGAATCTAAAACAGGAAACACAGCCAAAGCGATGCAATGCAAGTTTCCATTGTGCTTGGAATATTAGTTTTCTGACTGAAATTGCCAAGAGAAATGCCATCGGAACAGATTGGTTAAGAGAAAAGTTCTATTTGAACAATCATATATTCACTTCTTACAAAAACAAATATCCTCTTCTTATAATTAATCTTTCTAGTTTCAAGAAGCGAATTGATTAGTTCTTTTTTTTTCTTCCAAAAACTATTTATTTAGTTTTATATTTTTAAATTTTCTTTTAACTGAATTCTTTCACTTCTTTTCAATTTATTTTGATTTTTTATTTTAAGAAATAAAAAAAAAGATAAAAATATGAAAAATGATGGAAAAAGATGGCATTTTTATGAAAGAAAATAATATTAAATTAAGTATGATGTATTTTTTCCAAAAGACTACGTAATTATTTTTTAAAACATATGAGACTAATTAATTTGTTTTTTGAAAATAAATGGACTAATTTATATTACTCACTTCTTGCAAGGATTGCATTGGAGATCCCAATTTGTGATTGTACAATCTAAATTAAAATCTTGCCAATTATTAAAAAAAAAAGAATAGAACCATGGCTGCCTAATGAACAATTTAGCAATTAGCATTCCTTCAGACCTTTAATTTGCTTGATTTGTTAATTCTGTTGATCGACATGCTTCTTTACAGGGCTTTTTTTCAGGCCTCTGTTTGGGATGTCGGACTCCCCAGCCCTTTCTTTGTCGTTGGGCCTATTATCACTAAAGTCTATGCCCGAGAAACGTTTGATCAGAGCCATATGCAGGAAAATTCTTGGCCAAATCTCGAATTAATCCCCCAGCTATGAATGTAAAATTATTTTAATTGAGTCCCTAAAGTATTATGCCTTTTTCAATTGGATCTTCTGTTTAAAATCTTCTCTTTCTTTGACAAAAACGTGAAATAATCCTCAAAACTAGGTCGTTTTATTTCAAGATGAATGCAATTTAGACTAAAAAAAAAACATTAACTGAAAAGGAGGAGGGAACTCAATTTAGAAGTTATTTGGTTTGTGGACCCAGTTGAGAATTTGCGGATAGTTGGAAAACTGATTTGAGGTTTTCCAATTTTTGTTTTTATAAAACCAAAATTATTGGTATTATTATTTTAATATCAAGATCCATGTTTATCATTTGTTTTTGTTTTTGTTTTTTTTTTTTTGGACAATTAACAATTGAGTTTGAAACTGCGAATTATGCGTCTTTAGAAAGCAATCTTTTTTCAAGCCAACAATAATATACTAAATCAAGGTCTCTACTCTCTATAAAGCATTTTGTTATCTCATCTTCCCAGTACGAAACCTCGTATGATCTTGCAGGAGATAAGCATGGTTTTTTTTTTCATCGCAAACCAAAATGGACTTTTCTAACACCTACACAAGAATTGGCTAGGAGATTTCCAAGAAAATAAAGTAAGAATTAAGTAACGTGAAGCAAAAAAGGATTATGTATCATCATTAAGTAATTTGACAATGAGATTAAAACACTAACCTGATTTCTAATCCCAAAGACCTTGCCCGGCAAGTGGGAATATTTATTAGATATATATTTGGTTCTACCATTTCTAAAAGTCAATATAATCCTAAATTTTTCTTCCAAGCACATTCTATACCAAAATTAAAACTTTTGAGAGATCTTCTTTTTGATTCAGAGATTTCTGTGATTGCACAAAAGCTTGCAATTAATCTTAGCAATGATGATGTCTGTAACAAGATCAATAGTTCCCTGCAGTGCTGTTGACCAGAGATTTCAAGTTTCTGATTCTGTAACCAGTCGTGCTTCAGAAATCACAAAATTCAAATACAAAAGCCAATTTCTAGGAAATCAAAGGTTGGAAATTCTCAGCACCACCCTGGAACTGCTCTATGCAAGAAATCCAAAGATGTACGGTTATTATTCTTTCTACAAAAACTTCTTTGAATGCAACAATCATGCAGATATTTTGCAGCTCTGAGTCTAATGCATGTAATGGTGCAGGGGCATGGCTGTATACAGTAGTGTAGAACCAGGACCTCCTCTTCCTTCTGATCCGTCTCCTGGTTCTTGGTAAGTTGACTTTACCAGTGATCTATGGATCAGATTAATTGCACTATGCTCTTCTATTTCATGTTCACGGCCAGTGCAATTAAACTTTTATGGTGATTTGCTGGCAGGAAGGGTTGGATTCTGGGAATGCTAATATCAATAATTCTACCCTTCTGCAGAAGCAAGTGGGGGCCATTACTATGTATAAAAGGTAAAGGATAGAAAAGCTTAACTTGCAAATTCTCTATGATTTAATGTGCATTAGTTATAAAATCCCATGTGTCCACTACTATTTGTCAATAAATGAGTTTGGTACTTAGCTTCTAAATTGGAAGTGTAGACAAATTTGAAGCAGTGGTGGAGACAGCAGATCGTGTTGCAGACATTGTAGAAGAGGTGGCTGAGGAGGTGGGGAAGGTAGCTGAAGAAGTTGCCGATCATCTGCCTGAAGGTGGAAACCTTGAACAAGTGGCCACATTTGTTGAAAACGTAGCGAAAGAAACAGCAAAGGATGCTAATCTAGTTGATGAATTAATTGAAAAGGTAATACCTAATACATTGTTTTCGGTATTACCATTAATTCAATTACCTAGTATCATATAAAACGATTATTCGTTGGGTCAGCATGAATCTTTTTCTATATCATGTTAAATTAATGTTTCTGTTGGAGATTAGTATCAATACAAAAGCCTACATGCTATTTGTTTAGGATTTTGACATTTGCTTTGTTGTTGTAGCGTAAGAATAATTAATATGATAATGCATATTATTATTGCAAAAACAAATAGGATGTATACAAGTATCTAGCAAGAATTTGCCGGTCCAGAATATTTAATAGCTTTATCTGCCTATGTCAAATGTTAGATTTTTTTTTTTTTTTAGAAAACAATATAAATCATATTTTAAGATTTTATCCAACAATTTAAATTTTTAAATTAAAATAATTTTTTGATATAATATCATAATTTTGATAATCAAATTGTTAAGAGTTCGAACCTTACCATCTCTTTTTTTATTTAAAATTTAAATTTTTTTAAATTTTTCGAATAAACCATTCTCCATGGAGATTAAGTTTTTTTTAAATAAAATTCAATTTCAATTCTTTAACTCATTATTCTTCATATGGTCTAATTGCATGAAATTTTATACAATTTATATAATAATTATATTTGTCTATATTATGGACGCATCTAGTTATTAGATATGAATTAAAGTTTATTAGACTCTAAACTTTTAATTACATTAATTTTATTCAAAATAAAAAATATAATAGTATATATTTTATTGATTTAAAATATGACTTAACATAGGAGCCGCTTCAAAAGATTTTGTTACACGGTTTTTTTTTTTTTTTTTTGTAACAAATATTGATTACACATATTTCATTTTCTTGTGAAGCAAGCTGCTTTTTAAAGAAGAAAGGATTAAAAAAAAACCATGCCCAGCTTTCTTTCTTTTTTATGAATAGCAGCCTGGCAGCTAATTCTGATATAAAATTCCAATAAAAGATAAAAATACACTTGCGTCATCCTTTGCCCGGCAAATTTAGGTTGTTTTAAACTTCTACTCCTTTTGTCCAGTTTGTTTATATTTTTATTTGTTACCGTCTTGTTTAAACGCATTATGAAGTGCTTGGTTTTTTTTTTTTTAATATATTCTTTATTAAAATTATATTTATTTTGTTTTTTATTTTTGTAAAAAGTCAAATACAATAAAAACAGGATAATATTAAAAGTTTGGAGTAATTTGAGATGACTTCTCAGCCTATTTATTGTGTTTTTTAACTTTATAAACAGCCAAAAAGAACAAATAAACAAATTAAAACAGAGCGTATAATATTACATAAGATACATTATACAAAATTATGGCATGGCCATATTATAATTACATGAAATAAACTAAGAATTTGCGACAATAAAAAAAAAAAAAAAGAACACGTCATGAAACAAAGGCAAAAGATTTATCTTTTTGGTAGTAACATTTGATTTTTTTCTTTTTTTGGTTACTTATTGAGATTAAAATGCAGGTTGAAGAACTGGGAAACGAGGTGGAGTCTGTCGTTGAACAAGACACGGAGAACGCCAACGGAATTTCCAAAGAAGCAAAAGACTAACGCTAGCTAAGAAACACCAATTCTTTATTGTAATAAGTAAAATTTGATTTGTAATCGAGTAAGGTTAGATAAGTTTATTTATTTATTTATTATTATTATTATTTTCAATTCCAATTGCATTCCAGTTCGCTAAATCTAGAGTTAATCCTTGATTAATGCTGGATTTCCTCCAGGTGCATCAGATTATTCTTTTCATAATCATCGAAACCTAGTAGTCCCGCCACTCAATTATACTGATTCTTTCAATTCAGTCCTCCTCTAATCATTCCAATTAAATAACACCTTCCAAATTATATGGATTAGATTATCAATTTGAGTAGATTACGATAATCTTCTTAAGATATCATAAAGCTACCACCAAAAAAATTGAAAATATTATAAAAATCCTTTTTTTAATTTAAAATCCAAATACTCTTGATATTTTTAAAATCATCCATTTAACAATAAGAAATTTTTTTAAAAAATATTAAATGCATTTTGGGTATTAAAAAAAAAGGAGTTTTTCCAAATCTTAAATTTTTTGGTGATTCTTGTAATTTTATGGAGTAAATAAAGATGACGGAGCACACCTAAACTTCTGTTGCTACATGTAACTGAGGAAGTGGGGAGAGTAGCTGAAGCGTTGCCGATCATGTGCCAGAAGGTGGGAAACTTAAAAAAGACGCAACTTTTGTTGAAATGAAACCAACGGCTCAATTTAGTCACTTTTTGAAATAGTAATTAATAGAAACCATTATACTATGGGTTAAAGATACAATATTTCATTCCATCATTTTATTTGTCATAATAATATCTTTTTATTAATTTTTTTCGATAATCATGTTCTTCTATTTTTAATTTATATTTTAATTTTATCTTCTCGATCAACTTTTTTGATAACCACATCAATTTCCGATGATAGAATTATAAGATGTTGACATATGGTATTTAAAAAAATCTTAAAAAATAAAAAAAATCCAAAATGCTTCTTTTTTTTCCCTCTACCTTTATGTATAGAAATAAATAATTAATTATCTATTACATATATATATATATATATATATATATATATATATATATATATATTTGCTTTCTCTCAAATTCTAAAGAAAAAAAAATCCTAAAAAGTCTTTCTTTTTATCTACTTTTATTTTATTTTTATTCTTATGTCATGAAAAAGAATTTCATAAATTCTATTTTTGGATTGGATTTGAAATAAATTTTCATAATAAATTTTTGAAATAAAATCTTTTTTCTTCCGCTCTTTCCTATGCATAAAAATATTTACAAAATCCTCAACTACTCTTCTTTTTAGGTGCCTTTTGTTTTTATTCTTATGCTATGAAAAACAAAATTCATAATTTTTTTAGTTTGGATTTGAAATAAATTTTCATAGTAAATTTTTGAAATAAATAAATAAAATATTGCTTTTGTTCTTTTCTTTTTTGGATTTGAATTTGAGAAAAAGCAAAAAAAAATTATGGGATTAAATTAATTAATTATTTCTATACATGAAGGTGGAGAAAAAGAGAGACACTTTGGAATTTTTTGATTATTTATTTTCTTTTTTTTTTTTTTTTGAAAAAAACCATGTGTCGACATCTTGTAAATCTATCGTTGAAAATTGATGCAATTATCAAAAAATTTCGATTGAAGGGACGAAATTAAAATGTAAATTAAAAATAGAGGAATAAGATTATTGAAAAAATTAGTAGAATGATACGATTACGATAAATAAAAATATAAAGTAACATCCCGAACTTTTAACCCGTTATACTAAGCACACTCTTTTTAGGACAGGGTCGAAACCTATGTAACACACAGGTTTGGTGTTGGTTTTGAATTTGTGAATGGAGTCTACTAGGATTTTCGTTTTTGTTCATTTAATAGAGGAGAAAATCAATGATGTCCTAGATTTGATAATGGTTTTGTGCAATTGTTCGATGTGAAGAATTGTTTACTTATGGCGTGATTTACATTCTGATATCTCATGAAATACGTGCAATTCAATTCCCCTTTCATAATAAAACTGGACAAAGAACGAAATTGAATCACAATGTTAAGTTTAACGCTAACATTGCATTTCTCTTACATATATATATATATAGAGAGAGAGAGAGAGAGGGGGGGGGGATGATATGCCATGTTGTTTTTTAAAAGAGACACCAGGTGATCGTCAAAATTAGTCTTGGATGTTTAGACTGCATCATGTTAGCATGGCTGTCAGACAAACAAAAGGAGACAGAGGGAACATCGAAAGTGTAGTATTAGGGGCAGTTTAGAGAAGTTTGGCCTTCACATTTAAATTGTGGAGAATTATTTATTGAGCATGAATTAAATGCGTATTTGACTTGCTTTCCTCTTCAGAATTTTATCAATTTAAAGAGTTATAATAGTTTCTTTCGTGACGGTGGATCTTTTCAAATTTCAATCTATAAAAGTCATATGGTCAAATACTGCTAATTGTCCAAAATTCCAAATAAAGCTCTTCTTCGAAGCTCCTTGTCGCCCGAACCTTAACCCCTTGAATTGAAATACTCCGAAAATACTAGGATTTCCGGCATCCCGCAGCTTGGATACGTATAACAAGCCTTGTAGAAATCAATCCTATCAGTGATGTTGAGTATTACAACATCAAGAGTTCCCCATAATTGTGCTAGCCCTCCTACCAGATCCAGTCGGAGATCTCAAGTTTATGGCACTAACTCCAATTTTCATTTGGCAACCTCAAAATGCAATCACAAACGCCAATTTCTTGGGAATCAGAAGACGAAAATTTTCACCACCACCCTGGAAGTACTGCACTACGGAAAGAATAGAAAGATGTAAATTTAATTTTGCTTGGCTATTATTATTATTATTATTATTATTACTATAATTATCATAAAGCTAATTGCAGAGATTAGGTCCTTATATTTTGTGACTGGTCGTAATTGTGATTCAGGGACATGACTGTCTACAGCACCGGTGTTGAATCAGGACTTCCTTTTCCTCTTCCTTTTGATCTTCCCTTTGATCTTAATCCCGGATCTTGGTGAGTACTTTTTGAAATTTCCTTGCTAATATTTTTTCTGTGATCTATTGTCTGAAGATATACTGGTGCAATAAAATGTCACTGCGCAGGCAAACTTGGGTTCTGGGAGTGATTATAGCCATAACTCCCTTTGGGATCCGCACATGGTGGCCGATACTAAAGTCAAAAGGTAGATGTTTCCATTCTCAGATCTAAACGCACATCTGCATTGAGTTTAGCATCCAACTCGCTTGTCCATTAATTATTGACTATTTCTTTCTGTCGTGTAAATTATATGATTCTGGGCCTAACTTAGCTTTGAATTGGCTGTGTGGACAAAAGTCGATTCAATGATGCAGACAGTGGAAGCTGTTGCCGAAACTGTAGAAAAGGTAGCTGATAAAGTGGACAAGGTAGCAGAAGACTTTGCCGATAGTTTGCCGGAGGGCAGAGTTAAACAAGCGGCAAGATTTATTGAAAATATTGCCGAAGACGCAGAAAAGGATGCTCATCTAGTCGATGAAGCTATTGAGAAGGTGCTTCCTTTCACTAATCTATTATCCTGTTCTATATCTTATGTTTTTACCTCCTGTCACGTAGAACCAGTTATCAACCATGTCATAATTAATTATCTTCTCTTAGTAATTATATTTGCCTCGTTAAAAATATGTGATTGCGAGAGTAGGATCTAAAAGAAAGGCTCTAGCCTTGAGTAATTTTTTTTTTTCCTAATTCATGAGAGGTCCAATGAACTTTTGGGCTATATAACTTTGCTTCACAAATTTTTTTGTATAATTAAAAAAAAAAAAGAATCATTAGTACTCTAACTTTGCTTCACAAATTTTTTTGTTATATTATTAAAATTTGTTAGGCAAAAAAACTCAAAACATGGACAATTAATTCGCTTTCCAGAATTGGCGCGTTATATTCTTGATTATTTGACCACTGATTCGTTGCTTTGCGTTGCTTCATTTCTCAACTTAGTTAGCTTTCTTTCTTTTTTTTGGAATCGGATACTATTTAGAAGCGTTTGCTAATTTTACTTGATTTTTGGTTTTTAAAATTGTAGATAGAAGAAATACAAATAGAACTGGACAAAGAGGCGGAGCGGTTCACTCAAGCCGAAACCAAAACCACAGAAGCCCAAAACGGTTGAGTGGCTTGCATGCCAGTGTACCAAATCCACATTAAATTTATGACGCTGAGAATCTGAAATATTGTGAATCAGTGTTCTTGTAAAATAGGTTACAAAGGTTTTATTTGTTCGCCATATTTTATGGATTGAATAGAATATCTAAAATTATTTAAAAAATTATTTTAATTTAATATTTTATATTATGTCATGGATTTATAAAAATATATATGAAATTAAAGATAAAAAAATCCAATTTTATAATATTTTAATCAAATTTTTATATTTAACTATTTCTTTTATATGTTTTCATAATTTTTCTACTTAAAAAGTAATTAATTCTTCTTTATCCATGGACTTTTAAATAAAATGAGAATATATATATATATATATATATATATATATATACTATATAAAACCGTAGTATTTTATAAGATTGTATAGAAAAAATAAAGTAACAATTAATGTAAAAAATTATATAAAAATAAACAAATAAAAAAATTGTTTTTGATTTTGATTCAATATTTATGAGCATATTAGTTTTTGAAAGTATGTATATTTGATTGATATATATTTTTATATGTTTATTCACAAAAAGAAATCAATGATATTAAAATAAAAACAATTATATTTGAATTATTGGGTAGTTATGCAAAAACATAATTTCATTTATTTAATTTGAAAGATATTAATTTAAATATCCAAAAATAAATAAATAGTAAATACTTAGTAGTTTGATAGTTGCATAGTTGACTTTTATAAAAAAAGATTCAATTATTTTTATATGTAAATTATATATATTGAGTGAGTTTAGAGTCTGCACAATATATATATAATAATAAATTTGAAATTTTTATATTAAAATAAAAATTATTAAAAAAATTAATTTCAATAAAATTTGATTATATAAAAAAGTACAAAAAAAACATGTGATTTTTTTCTTAACTAATTTTTTAACGCATAGCAATCACTTTATTTTTTCTGCATTTGACTCTCAATTGTTAATTAACTATTTTGAAATTTATTTTTTTAAAAAAATAAAGACAAATTATTTTAAATGCACTTTTAATAAAAAAATCATTTCAGAAAAATTATATATATATATATATATATGCATATATATATTTAAAAAATTATAAAATTCAATTATCTAAATTATATCAATTTTTTTTTAAAGAAAAAATAATCTTGTTCTAAATTTTACTCCAAAATCTAAAAATTGAGAATCAAATTGCAATATTTATAAAATATTGCATATAAAAGAGTTTTTTACGAGGATAATGAATAGTGTAACGCTGGATAGTAAATGGTATTATGTGATGTAGCATATAAAATGGTACAAAATTACCAAAATTAACAAAAATATCATTGTAAAGCATGCATAAAATGCCTTCAAAAAGTTTTGAAATTCACAAAAATGCACTGTTCAACCTGCAATCAATGAACAGTATTCTATGAGACAGTAAACAGTGTTCCGTACATTGTTTCTTAATTTTATTTTCGATGTTTTTATTGTATCTCTGAATTTTTTCAACTAACATCATTTCCATTTCTCAAGCCACCTACCATGTGGTTTCTACCTCCCATTCACGTGGTTTTTAATTGCATTTATTAGTAATACGCAAATGGTAGGAGTGGATTTGATTCATTAAATTTTCCTAATCATGCAATCAAATTCTCAAAATAATAATAATAATAATAATAGAATCAAGTAATCATCTATTCACGGTTAAACGGTATAGAATACCCTCGTTGTTGAAGAATTTGTTTATAGAAATCCTATTGTTCAAAAAAAGCAATTGGTTCTTTGTAGATCTAGGAATGTGTCAGATTTATCCTTTCATCCAGCTGGGATGTTAAAATTTGGATTTACAAAACTTGTTACACATGTCGCAAACTGTGTATTTGTCAACATTTTTTGTTGGCTGTTGATAGATAAGTTTTCGCAACTGAGACATGTGTAAAATTTATTGGTTATATCTAATTTTATTTTTTCAGCTTTTTAAACCGATGCATATAAAATTTGAAAAAAAATTTATCCAGTCCCTATAATTTTGGGACTATGATTTTTTTAAATTAATATCTATATTTTATTTTTATTTACAATTTAATCCTTGCTTGTAAGTTTTGAATCCTTGCATGTTAATTTAATTGAAAACTACAATTTAATCATTATATTACCTTTTAAATTATATGAACCCTAAGAAGCTATCAATTTGATTATAAAGAGAAATTATTTGAGCCATAAACTCTATCAAATAAAGAGCCATTGATAATCTTTGATTTCTTTTTTGCTTCAAAAAATTAATTTGCACCTTTAATAATATGATTATTGAAGGAAAATAGAAGTCACTTGAACCATAATAATAAAGAGAAACTATTTGAACTACATACGCTATCGATCAAATAGCAAGAGATATATAATAATTTTTATAAAATTTAAAGATTAAAATAATTTTGTTCAAAAACAATATTATTTTGGGTTTAATATAGGTAAATCAATCGCCAACCTGATCCAGTTCTAAAATTTGATCATTTATACATGCAAACTGGTCAACCTAATCTTAAACTGATTGGAAATGGCAAGAACCAATTGACCAAAAAGAGTTGAAAGGAGTTGGACGCTAACCTTCTCCTATGCTTACACACACGCTCAATTATTAGACTATTGAAACTTTTGTACCATAGTTGTAATTTATGATATACTAAGTGACCGATCGGTCAAACAACCGACTTAGCGACTTGATCCTAAAACCAACGACCTGACCTCCATTAAATAAAGGTTCTGTTCGGTTTAATAATATTATTTTAATGTTACAAAAGATGAAATTAGAGATTACCAATAGGTTTTGGATACGCATCCCGCACGCTAAAATTCGAATTCTAACGTCCAAAGGGATAAATATGACACATAGTCGAAACCACAGGGAGTCACTTGCTGTTTTCTGAACCTCGCGGTTTAAATCTATGAATTCTTGAAACCATATCGGTCTCCAGCTTTATCAAACCGAGCCAACCTGGGCTGGTCTTACTGGGCCAAACTTACGAGCGGCTCAAGCCTTCTCATTAATCAAACGGCAGGCAGGAAACCGCTTTCACCTGCCCGTACCACGATCTTGCCACTTGTACTCAATCTATTGAAGGCCCACATGAGATGCCACTTCAAATACCCTCAAACGGCTAGTTTGGAATCTCAAAATCCAAAAGCCGCCTTCCCTTTCAATTTGAATCCCCAAAATCCAAAACCAAAGAACTCAAAAGACAAGGGAAAAATTCCAGAGAAAAAAAATTATAATCTAAAATCCCCTTTCTCAAAGTTTCTAGATCAGCGACAATCAATTTTTGTGGGTTTGTTCCTCTCACTTCAAAATCAGTTCAAAACCTAGGGTATTTTCTTTTTTTCAAGATCAGAAATGAATCTACTTCAAGAAATCGACGATTACATAAAAGAAACAATCAATGAATCCTTAGGCCTACCAGTCTCTGCTCGCACTTTTCAATTAAAGCTTCGCGTTTACGAGGATGCTTATTTCCGTCTCCGTGACCAACACCTTCTTCTCCTCGGCAAATTTCGCCAAAAAGACCTCCTTGTTGACCGTGCCAAGGTAAATTCATTATTTAATTGTAAGTTATTTAGCTGATTTTATTTTCTGATAATTGATAATATGTGTGTTCTGTTTGGGATGTTTTGGTTTTTAGGCGGAGGCGAACATGAATGCAGCGGCGATAAAGAAATTTGTGGAGGAAAATCAAAGATTGGCGGCGGAGTGTGCGAATTTGGTGAGTCAGTGTAATAAATGGGAAAGAGAGTGTTCGCTTTATGATAATGATAGAGAGGCTTTAATGGAGTTTGGGAATGAGGCGGATGAGAGGGCAAGAGAAGCGGAGGAGAGAGCAAGAGAGGCAGAGATTAGGGTTCTTGGATTGGAGGAGGAGTTGGGGAAGGCTTTAGAGGAATTGCAGTTTTATAAGCACAAGTGCCATACTCGTGGGGTAATTTTTAAATCTTTATTTGGTTTCCTTTCCTTTTGATTGATTATTTGTGGGTTTTTGAGAGCTGGGTGTTGGTTACATGCTTTCTGGGCTTATAGAGAGTTAGTATCATTGCTTAGATGATTCAAAATTGTGTTTAGCTGTCAGTTAACAAAACTCCGTTCGAGCACACATTGTCGTTTCATGATGAGTTTTCTTTTTTGTAACTTTCTTATTGTTTGCTTGATTGAGCGGTGCAATCAATCAGCTTCAGTTAAAGGATTAAATTCTTATAAGGTACTTCTATTGATGTAAAATTCTCATAAGGGTATTTAAACTTTTCTATTTTTTCACAAAAGTAAGTATATTTATGTTGCAGGTAAGGTTAATTACATGACTTTATAGAATTTAATAGTGTTGTGTTCGATTCTTCGGAAGGTATCAATTGTACTTACCGGATCATGACTCAAAGGAATGTACAATTTGTTGAAACTGAAATTAATGGTTTGCACACCCTGATACTATTGTTTGGTTATGCATGATGGATAAATGCCTCCTTTTTACAATTGATTCCGCGTTAGTGTACATAGTTTTCACTTACAATCATTTTTTGCTTCCTTATGTGTATGCGTGCATACCACTCCAAGTAAAGGATGACAATGCATAATAACTGTAAACTTGTAGGATGATTCATCTGCTGAGAGCACTGATATGGAGGAGAATTCACTTGAGTCCATTTTAGCAACATTGGTTGGTAAAGATGAAGCGGAATATGGTCAAGCTTATCTGGAAGCGAACAGCGGTTATGAGTCATGTCAAAATTTGCTGAAAATGTGGAATAGGTATACAAATTTATCCGTCCTTTTGTGTGCCTCTCAAGTTTGTTGAAACACAGTTCTTTGGTTTACAAATATTGGAGTGTCTGCAACATTTTATCTTTCTACGTAATTATACTTTTCATGAACTTATAGATGAAGTTGGCAATGCCAGCAACAGTGTTCTTCGCCACCACTTTTATTTTATTTTCCAGAAATGATACAATCAGATCCTCTTAGCATGCGTTGTTTCTCTGACTGGAAACCCAAATCAGTACCGAGTGTATGCCATGTTTTCACTAGCTTTCCAGCAATTACAGTCTTGTACCGTGTCGCATGTTTTTCTGACGTTGACAAAGCAACCTTCTCTGTTGATAGAAAAGACACTTGAGCAATTCGGGGATTAACTCAAGGAATAATTATTATTTTAGCTTAACAAGCATTTCCACTTCTATTCTGAAGTGGCATATTTCCACTTCTCTACATTTCTAATTGCATCTATAAGGTTCTTAAATAATGTTTAAGTCTTCAATCTGTCATTCAGGTCAATTTTTTCTACCATAGGCAAATTTTTTGATGAAAATACCCTTGATTGGAATGCCAAAACAAAAAAAACACTTAAAAGAACACGCCTTGCATGTTCCATTGTTGAAGTCTTTTTCTTTTTTCTTTTTTTTGCATTTTAGTCAGGAGTATTTTGGTAAAAGAATTTTGCTTGAGGTAAAAAAAATGATGGAAAGTACATATTGGAACTTAAATATTTTTTAGGAACATAATAAATGTAATTAAAAATATAGAAACAAATTAGAAACTCGAGCTATTATATAAGTACAGATCGAGCTATTTATCTTATTTTTTTAATTATGTCACAACAACTTGTGCTTTTGACAACCATGTTATTATGACTCTATTGCTTGAGAATGTGACTGTGCCAAAAAGTGGAAAAAAACCATGTACTTTCTCATGTTCTTGTTGCAAGCTCTGTTTTGTTTCCTGGAAGTGTCTTCCTCCAAATTTTATCACCTTTATTCTCTTTGAATTTTGCCCTTTACTTTGGTAGTTTGAGGCCTTCTACTCGGAAAGCATTATCACTAGCTGCTAAAGCAAAGACACTCCAGCAAGATAAGGAACATCTCAGGATTAATCTTACTAGAGCTGAAGAGGAGGTGATAAGAATCATGCAAACTATTTTCTTGGAGGACTCCAGGTTTCCTGGTCATAACTTAACGAATCACTGTCATGTGTAGGTCAAGGTATTATTTGAAGAGAACAATATACTGGATGAGGTGAACAAAAAGTTATTGAGGAAGGAACACGGAGAACAGAACTTCGATGGTTCTGGTGGAAAGCATACAAGCAGTGCTTCTGCTAAGGTAAGAGAGGGACGGGAAACTTCTTTCCTGATTTGTGTGTCTGTATGAGCATGTCTGCCTGTTTGTAAGCATGACCATGTTTTTGATGCGTGCAATTTCTTGTGCAATCATTGATGTTCATTTTGTGGTGTGATTTCCTTGACTTTATTGCAGAGAAGCAAACGAAAATCAAGTCCCAGGAGTTGCCCTGTCGAAAGCCAGATTGATTCCAAGGATATAGATTTATTGAGACAGCCACTGTCACCATTGCATCATAACTCCCCTGATTGTAGAATGCATAAGAAGGGATGATAAACTTTGTGTTTTTCTAATTTCTTCTTATTACCTCTTGGTAATTAAGGAAGCAATACTGAAGAGAAATATAGCTTTACTTGCATCTGCATATATGTTGTAAGAGAATTATGACCAATTCTTAACGAACTGAGGATTCTCTCTCTCTTTCTTTCTTCCCTACATTTAATTAAGGCGTCTTCTACTGATACGATGAGGTGGTGAAATTATTCAAGAACTAGTATTTGCCCTTCGCTTTTTTATCAGCGTTTACCAATTATTCATGCATCTCAGTAGTCGGTAGACCATACTCATTTAATCTGATATTCGAATCTGTTGTTTTGTGCTTTTGGTATAAAGGATAAAGAAAACAGCAATTGGCCTCATGACACGGCTCAAGCTGCATCCCAACACAAGAACGGAAATAACCCTGGAGAGGATAAGCCAAATAGACTCCGCAGCATCCCTAGAAGCTCCTAGCTTAGCTAAAATCAGCAGCACTTTCCTTCTCACAAGTCTCAACACAAGCTGCACGCTACACTACTAATCTTGCTTGATCAACATCTTAATATCCCTCAATGAGCAGATTACAAGGACCAGCAGGATTAACATGGCTAGTAATTACCCTCGCCGATTCTAGAGAATCAGACTCTAGTATCACTCTGCGATATCCCCTGTTCCAAGCAAGCAGCAATCTGAACCTGATAGCATTAAGTTTTGCACTCATATTCGTAGTCGAGCCTGTATACCCTGAAAAGCCTAGGATCGTTAGTTTATAGTATGCCTCAAGGTTCAAAGTCACGCCTATATACCCGGAAAAGCCAATCATCTGTTTAATCCAAACCTGAAAGTATCAAGTGTTCAAACTTGTTCCTTTTACGCGTTCCGTATCTGTTAATAGTTTCTGTCTTGTCCTAAGCATGGCAATTCAAACTCCCCTTGGGCACTCTATGCTTTTTAGATCGACTCTACAACTCTAATTTCCTTAGTTTCAACCTCTCAAGTCTACAGTAGTCCGATGCTAAAGATATGAACCTGGATCTATAATTGCACGAATCAGTTGAAACCAACATAAGTTAGGGTTGCTATCTTCGTGAGCAAACGAACAATTTATAGATTTACAAGAGCAATACTGAGTTTTATTTGTCTATATTATAAGAAAGGAATTCTTGTTCTACATAAGTCCGTAAATTGTTACTTATATCTATTTAAAACTTTTCATAACCCATTCTCGTGGGATATAGACCATCACGACTTCACGTAGCTTAGGAGTAAAAAAAGAAAAAAAGAAAAAATTATTATAATAAATTTAGCTTTCTTAAAATCCAAAATGAACTGAACTCGATCATGATAGCTCAAACGGACTTGTAAAGAGTAATAACACACACACACACACACATATATATACATGTACATGTACATGTATATATGTATGTATGTATGTATGTATACACACACATTCTTTGGGTGCAAATGAGGACAAGAAAGAGACTAGCTTCTGCAAAAAGCTACACCCAGAACATCTGCATGAATTGCATTTCTCAAGCCAGGAGGAGGAGGAGACCAGATTTGCTGGAAATTTCGCTGAGAAGAAGCCAATTTAGCTGAAAACTGGGCACATTGATTCCCTTCACGAAAGATGTGGTTGATTTTCAACTGAAGAAACTTAACAATACCATCTCTAATATCAGAAATAACGTGGACAAGAGGATGATAATTATCAGGCTCAGAGTTAAGGAATCTACTAGCTTCAGAACTATCTGACCCAACCTAATGGCCAGATAAATGCCTATCTTAATAGCCTTCAATTCAGCAATCATCATCGATGAGGAACCAATATGAGAGGAGAAACCAGAAATCCATCTGCCATTATGGTCCCAAGTAACACCTTCAATACCAGCAGCAGCATGGCAGCACGCTGCCATCAGTGTTGAGCTTCCACCAGCCAGCTTGCGGACAACACCAAGAAACAAGGCAAGAAGTTGCAGCAGAAGCATTGCAGGAATCTTGACAGTAAAAGGTTGAACATAATCAGAATAAAGCTAATGAAGTTGCTTTATCTGAATGGGCAACAGGATCATAGAGCCTTCAATAACCTCTTTATTGCGAGAATTCCAAATCACCTAACAAACAGATAAATTTCCAGCACCATTCTCGAGTCTTGTTCCAGCAGTTAGCTGATAACCAATGAAATAAATCATCTGTATGGAACTCCGCAACATCAACGTACAAAAAATAACTCCACAACTGCTTGGCCCAGTAGCAATCACGAAGAAGAAGGACAGATTCACAACACCATCCACAACGAGCACAAATAGACGTTTCAGAAAGCTGTCTTGAATATCTTACTTCAATCGTGAGCAATCTGCTCCAAGCTGCTAACCACAGGAAAATTCTATGCTTCTGAGCTAAAGACCCTTTCCAAATCCAGTTCCAACTTCCAATACCGTAATTTGGTATGGATTCCGTCAAAGTATCATAACATGACCTGACTATATACTAATTCCCAGAACAAGTCCCACCCCAAATCATTTTGTCAGAGCAGCATTGACCAGACAAACGAATTGCCTGAACACTAATTAAGTCCAGTATCCATACCCAGCAAAGAGTCCAACACAGATAAATCCCAAGACAAATCATCTTTAATAACACCACTGACTTTGTAATCATGAGGATAAGGAGGGATGAAGCTAACACGATCACAAAGACGGCGGTTATCTAGCCAGCGATCAAACCAAAACAAGATATCATTTCCATTTCCCATCCGCCACTCGTAAGAATCTTTAAGGAAAGTCAGTCCCTTAATAATGCCCTTTCCGTACTGGAAGCAGATGAAGGAGTTTGGTGAGTGAAAACAGACTCATTATGCAAGTATTTATGATAAAGTAATCGAACCCAAACTGAATTACATCGAGCCATAACTTCCCAGCTTAATTTACCAATCATTGCTATGTTATTTTCACCACATTATTTGGAGAAGTGACGACATCCCAGCTTAAAAGGCGAACACCTTTCTTCTCAGAACCAGGACTCCATAAAAAAAACCACGGGGCTAACCAGTCAATCTCATCACAAACCGCTGTGGGAAGCCAGCTGGTTTGCTTCACTGAAGTAGGAATGGCTGTTAAGGAATTTTGAACATGGATGGTATGCCACCACGGTTCAAGGCTTGCCCTTCCAACCCGCTAAACGATTCTCAACTTTATCAACAATATAAGCATAGGTTTGTCTCGTACTCCTTCCTGTGCATAAAATGACACCAGGATAACTGCCCATATCAGTAGTGAATGAGATACCTAGCAGTCTTTTCATGCGATCCTTCCTTTGCTCCTTCATATAAAGACTAATAAAACCCTTATATCTTTCAGAGATAACTGCCATACCTGAGAATCCACAGAAATCTTTAAGGGTTAGATTGATTGCCTAGCTAGCCTGGGAAACTGAAGCTTCAGCAAATAAAATGACATCGTCCACGAACAAAAGATGGGAGATTGAAGGTGCATTAGCAGAAGTGGCAACAGGGACATTCTCCTCTAGCAACTCTTTCTGAATAAGTATAGCTAATTTCGCCCTACACAGCACAAAAAGATAAGGAGAAAGAGATCAGTTGGAAATAAACCAAACGAATATTAATATTCAATCCTTATGTCTTGCGGATTCCATCTCTTAATTGATGTTGCTTTCTTACTTGACATAGGATTGGTTGTTACTGCTACTTAAAGTTGGTTTCCTAGTTAATATTGAACTTGTTATTTGTTGGTTAGAGCTACTGTAAATGTAAATATGAGTTTGGGTTTTGTTTTAGGTGTGTCTAGTAGCCAATAGAAAAAAAACTAGAATTACAGTCATTTGGGTTTAGTAGGTATTAAATAATTTACATTCCTCAACTAAATATTTATTATATAATAGTTATTTATAATTAATGAAGAGTATACTAGTAATTATTTAAAAAAATGATGAAAATAACAATTTAATTAATAAATTTAACAGTATTCTTTTTCAATGAGTAAATTAAAGTATTGTATTTTGTTATTTGGTAGCAAAGCTTGGAATCATTTAACTCTGCAAGGTTTTTAGTTGAAACTTAAGCAAGTTTTCAAGAAAGAAAAAGTTCCAAAAGGAAAAGAGTTACAACGAAATTCTACAACCAAATATTGTACATGTAATTTGGATTTTCATAAATATAATGAAGAAGTTGTTTGTCTTGAAAAATAAATTTTGAGATTGATAAAAATTGAAATTCAAGAACTTAATTTGTGGGATAACATTTTAAAATTTGTTGGTGACTTTCATCCTTTTTAAGAAATTCAAATTGAAAAATTATGTTTTTCAAATTATAATATGTTAAATTATAGTATGGATGATAAATTTATAGATGAAGTTAAAAAATTAACAAAAATTGATGTAGAGAATCTATAATTGTCAAATTATAGTTTGGAGTCTGAATTCAATAAATTGTCAAAAATTAAATTAAAAAAATTATTTTGTGAGACAATAAAATAGAAAGATAAGGATGAAGAAAAATTTGTGAACTACCGCAAGTTGTCGCTTGATGATTGGTATCTCGTTTGCTCATTAAGCATGTCCTGTGTTCGGACCACGTAAGACTCTTGGGTTTGGGGCGGGCTTCGAGACGATCAGCCCTTCGGTTTTCTATATATAAAATGAAAAGGAAAATTTGTGGTATATAAAGAGATAAAAAAGAATAAATTAGTCGAGAAATTTGAAAAAAAAGAGTGAGAGTTATATTTTTCTTGGAGGAGAGTAAGAAAAAAATTGATTCGGTGAATTTTAAATTAGAAGAAAAGATTGAAAAGTCAATTACTGTATTTGAAAAGGTAGAAGAGAAGATGATTTTTTGGGTATCAATGAATTCTCAAAGTTAAAATATATTAGTGGTGTAGGTTATGAGGGAACGGCATGGCTATAAGTTCCATTCATTATCGTCGGTACCTGTTTTGGGTTTGGAGGAGTGTGGATAAAAAAAATGTTATAACGAGTCTAAGCAAGTAAAAGAAAATTGAGTATTTCTTTGATCTTCAAGATCAAGTGAATGGGATTTGTTTCACATACAACATTCCACCATCAAGCACACAAAGTTAAAGAATTTGTTTGATTATAAAAAGGAAAATGCTTTTCGAATAGACGTTGGAGTCACTTATTACAATGACTATGATATTTGAGATACTTGTGCTTGATTTAATTAATTTGCACTTAAGTTTATGGTTTTTGAAAGTTTTATTTTGAGAGGGGATGTTGAAAATAAACTGAGTATTAATATTCAATCCTTTTGTTATCAGGATTTAATGTGTCAGCAAGTGTTGTTTTTTTTATTTAATGTGGAATTTGTTATTAATCCTCGTTAAAGTTAGTTTTCTAGTTAATATTAAACTAATTATTGGTTGATAAGCTGAATTACAAACAATTAACTTTATGGATTTTAAATAATTTAGTGTCTGCTCTGTTAGTGCTAATTTTTCAATCAATATCCTTTCCAGATTATAGACAGAGAGCTTCACCAAGCACAATTCATAATCTGCAAAGGAAATCCAAACTCACCAAGGGTCGTTTGCTAAAATTTCCAATCCACACGATGATAAGCTTTAGCAAGATCAATTTCACCTTTTGAGAAATGATGATTTTGTGGAAAGATTTCCTACTAAAGAACGAAGCTAGTTTGCAACGGACTAATCAATTCATCCAACAGCGGGCGAATAGTAGACCACATTACATAAACTAAGGGGACAGAATTTGGTTGAAAGTAAAAATTAGAAAACAACGACAAAAACATGGTCATGCTGCTTAGAAAACGGCCTCGTTTCGATGGCTCCCAAAAACCTTCTTGCTTCCTTATCCAAACACAATATCACGGCATTTTATCAGACAAAAAACCAAGTGCGGTTGCTCGACCTCGCTCGCTTATGGCTTCACTTCGTCTTCGATGTTGTCCCTCATCAAAAACACCTTCCTTCTCCATTCATCCAATAACCCACAAGTTATCTTCTCTCCATAACCAACCTAACAACTTTACTTGTAATCTCAACGCCAACAATTTCTCATTCTCACGCTCTCTTTCTTTTCCAATTAGAATCAACAACAAAAAATTCAGGCATTTCGTTTTGCATTTCTCTTCTACAACTCAAGACCACCCGGTTGTTGATTCCTCTTCACTTAATGATGCTGTCACCGAGTACCAATCAAAGACTGAAGAAGAAGAAGAGCTTCCGAAAACCAGATTGCTTGCCTCGAATGTTCCATGGAATTGTACCACTGAAGATATTAGGGCTCTGTTTGAGAAGTTTGGGACAGTTGTAGATGTTGAGGTTCGTATTTCTTTTTCTTAATTTGTTTTATTTATTGTTTTCTTACTTTGGGTTTTTGTAACTGGATGTTCTACTGATTTGGGTTTTGTTGTTGTTATTGTTGTTGTCAAGCTTTCAATGTATAACAAGACCAGAAACAGGGGCTTGGCTTTTGTCACTATGGGCTCCCCAGAAGAGGCAGTTGCTGCTCTTAATAATCTCGAATCTTTTGTAAGTACATCATCTTCAATTATTTCCTTCTTTGGAATATGAAATCATTTTTTCATAATGCATGAGAAAGAAGAGAAATCAGATTGAGATTATTACTATTAAGTAGTAACCGATTTTAATATGACATTTGGATATGTATTTTAATCCAATTTATGCTAGCTTTTTGCTACTCGAAAAGCTATTAACAAGAGTGATAAAATTTCAAGACTTTGTTTTTTTTTTTTCGTTCGTTTCTTATTGTGCATGAATGTTTGTCTGGCCCTTCTTTTATGAACTGAAACATTTTAATCTTCTTACAAATGGTTTTTAGGAGTTCGAGGGCCGTACTCTGAAGCTGAATTATGCAAAGCCAAAAAGAAAAAACCATCACCTCCTCCGCCACCCAAGCCAGGGCCAACGTTCAACTTGTTTGTAGCAAATTTGCCATTTGAAGCCAAGTCGAAAGATCTTAAGGAGTTCTTTATTGCAGAAGGTGCTAATGTTGTTTCTGCTGAAATTATATTTCATGATAATCCTAGAAGGTCCTCCGGTTATGGATTTGTCGCATTCAAAACTAGAAAAGAAGCTGATGTGGCCCTTTCTACTTTCTCCGAGAAGGTAATACTGGAATCTGATTATTTTATATTGCTTCTGTCTTAAAGGATTGTGAAATGTACTTCTTTATTTGATTCTGGAACAGTTTTTTAAAAGTGAAGAACTTGCTCTGTGATAATTTGCTATCCTGTAGGCATTTATGGGAAGACAACTTAGAGTTGCGCGCAGTAAACAATTTGTCAAAAAACGAACAGAAGATGCTTCACAATCTGATGGTACTTCGGATGAGTTGGAATCTGACAAGGTGCAAGCAGATACACCTAATGACAATTGAAACAGAAATATTGTAAGGCACTGAAATTGTTTGATTTGCTTCGCTTCATTTTTGTAGGTAATAAAACTTCTTAAATGTGTTCCTGAAGATCAGAAAGTAATTATATACCTTTGGCCTGCTCTCTCTAACATTCAATTGGTGTGGTATATTGTCAAGTAATGCTGCAGGTCCAATACCAAAAAAAAAAAAAAAAAAAAAAAAATAGTAATACTGCAGATCTGACGCCTGACTTTTATTTTTTTGATGGAATAGATTTTGTTTATGCTATTAGAGATCTACGATTTTGCAATATAGTGGCAGGAGAAAAGATATATTGCAGAATGACACGGGCTGATCATAGGTCTATAACCAGATTTGGATGGTATACACTTACCGTCCCAAATCTTATAGCATCCAACATTCCCCTGTGTGTCTGTATGTGAGATTCTCATTGTACTGCATGTAAAATTCTCTGGAGAACAAAATGAAAAACAGTCACAGGGAAGTCATCAATTTGATCATAGTGATTCTGTGAAGAGAATGGTCGGACTAGCAAAGTGATAATCATAAGCAAATTGGAAAATTCCTTGTCATATTTCTCCGGGTGATTTGATTGTTAATTATGTTTCTACATTCAGTCCTTGTGGTTATGGGGACCTTACTTGCTTCTTGGTGATCTTCATTGATGGCTGTTTTTGTCATTTACTATCTTCTGAAGAAGTTTGGTGCCTTTACAATGCTTTTGGTTTCGTGCATTCAAATGAACTTGAATATTCAAATTTCTGCTATATATTGTTTGATGACAAATGATAATTACGTTTCCTAAATGGTGGAAACTGGTATTTGTGGTATGACACTTCGCTTCAACTTCCAATATATCTTACTTGTATATTTTCTCAAACATTCGGTTCTAACTTGTAATGCATGGCAAAAAACCATAGTTTCATCCAATATTAAATTTCATGATTGTTGTTTGGTTCTAATCCGTTCCGAACATTTGTGGCAAAAATTGAAACGATTTGTAAGGGGTTCATGTTTGAAGAGTTGGAGCATTTATGTTTTGGAATTAAAATGATTTACCCTGGGGAGTGGGGGAAGCCTACTAAGCAGCTGCTGGTTAGATATTTGATTGCTAAGTTTAAATCTTTTTCTTTGATCAATGTTAAAAATTCAGCACAAATATCTGATATGCCTCTATCTGAAGATTTATAGAATTCCCCTTGTTTTGAATATAATTCAGTCAGAAGTTTCAATTACACAGGTTCTTAATCTCTAGCCAGTAAACAACTTATTTTTCAGTAACAGACGAACAATCAAGAAAGTGGACGGAAACTTACGAATAACTTCAATTGATTGGGCTTCGTGAAGTCTATTGAGGAAACCATACATCTAATCTGGTATGTTTTTGGTGTTGCAATTAGAATCATGAGGTCCTTAGATTTTTATGCTCGCCTTAGCTGTTCAGTCTGGGGCGTTTTGTATTCCCAAAAAATGGGGGATCAGTCATTGCAGGGGTAAAAATGAAATCAATCAAGAAACAAAATAATTGATGATGGAAAAAATGGACAGGATATTTATAAAGAGAGAATGAATGAAATTAACCTTTATGTGTTAGTTCAAGTAGTAAGTGAGATTGTTTCTCGTTGTCATGCCGAGTCTGAATTAAGGGGGAGAGACGAATTTCGTATCAGAGCACCGAGATGCAAAAGCTAGAATAAGAATATGCTGAGTGTTAAAAGACAAAGAAACAATGAATGTAACGTGAGAAAAAGGGAGAGGAGGGGTGGGTGGACTTGAGCTAGAAGAAGAAAAGGGATCGGTGCACTTTAGGAGTGGGGCAGCTAGCGCGTAGTTGGTAACGGCTCATGAGGAAAGAACACACACAAGAGCAGTTGGTGAGAACTTGAAGGACCCCAACAGCCCAACCGAACCCAAAATCACCCTCACCCAACCCACCATATCTAAAAAGTACACCATGCCTTTTCGTTGAGCTTGGATGCATGGGGTGCCAGGTGGCGTTATTTTGTTTTGGGTAATCAATGCAACGGTTTAAACACCTTTGTGATAATCATGTCCATGGGTGACTTCTGAGCATGTTAGGTGCTCGGTTTTTATCAAAATAGGGACATCGCAACCTTCTCCTCAAATCTGCATTCGAAGAATCCACCCAAATTCTAATGAGCATGCAACAAAAATTTATGCTATATATATATATACACACACATACGTTCACCTATAAATGAAACATCGCTGTCTTCTCATGGCTTCAAATAATGAATATGCAAATAAACAAGGTTAGATTTATCAGTAAAATATTTATGAAAGTGCCTCGTGCTCCTTGTGATTTGTTAGACTGTTCCTGGGTACTTTTCCACCATCATCTACGTTCAGATGATATTCGTAGATATATGGAATTTATTTGACAAAAGTTTCAGTACATTTTTTTTTTTTTTTGAGAAATTCAAGACATTCTTAGCAGAAAAGCAAAACAACGACGACAAAAAATGGCGTTTAAGACTAATTTGGGTAATATTTACTCGCATAAGATTTGGCTGCTTTTCATAATTCACAAAATCCATCATTAAAATGCTCAGCCGGCCAGCACAAGCATGTCAAAACATTTACTTTCAACCTAAAACCAAAATTATTGGGCGGGTTAATTCCTTGATATTATTAATTAAGCCAAAATTCTTTACTTTAGCCTCCAATAACTAGATCGATATCAATCATACACGTTTAAAAAAGAGTTATTCTTTTTGTAAACTTAACTTTGACGGAAACGAGCATAGTCAAAGCAGGCATTTAGTTAAAGGAGTATTTGTCGTCGATGGAGTCACGCTAAAATAAGGTAAAAGTCGTGCCCGCATCGTAATTGCGAGAATAGAAGCTTTTGTGGACGCTTTTTGGTTCAAGGTTTTGACAAAGAGCACAAAGAACGTTCATTTAGGAAGGGCTTTCACAAGGAACATTCATGGAAAAACTACTTTTGGACCCTCCAACTATCATATATGTTTCGTTTACATTCATCCTCTACTAGAAGTTTCAATTAAACCATTGATGTAAAAAGATTGGTTCAACATTAGCCTTTTCATCCAACAATAATTCGTTCTATCCATCAAAAATTCAAAAAAGCATCTCATAACCATGCGCATAAACATTTCTTCTAAGAAAACAAATCTCGAATGCATCCAATTCACTTATGTTTTATCCATGAGTATTAATTGTTGATAGAACGAATAAAAAAGAAAAATGCTATAATTTTTCATTATATATATATTTTAGTGTTCCTGTTAGACCAAAAATTGGTTTACCTGTAACCTGTAGGATCCTCCTCCAAGTCTAAAAAACCTTTTTTTTTAGAGATAGTTTATGTACTTTTTAAAAAAAGATTATGGTTTTTGCCTCTTTTATCTTTAGTACTAAAAAAAAAAAAAAACTATAACCGTTAAAGGTTAGAGAATTTGCTACAAGTTTTGTTCCTTAGCGGGATCTAAAGCTCATTTTGAGTTGATTTAGCTTAATTGATCCTTAAATGCATAAAGTGACAAAAGAATTAAGTTTTTTTTGTTGATTTATATGGTGGAAAATGTTATCGTATGATTATCGTGTATGTTTTGATTGCAAGAACAAATGATTATTGGATGAGAGGCCGATCTTGCATCAATAGTTGTAATTCAGTTGAAACTTTTGACAGATTGAGGAGCTAATCGAAAAGAATATGGTAATTGGAGAACCTGGATTTATTTTTCCCAACATTCTCTTGTGTTTGTATCTACCGGAATATTCATCCAAAAAGAATAAACAAAATGGCCTTTATATACGAAGGGGATACATAGGATGCAGGAAGCCACTTCTGCCTGCCCATTAGAAGCATCTTCCTTTTAAAAGAACAACTTTCCTGTAAGTTAATATCTCACCTTTAATTTCTTAGAACTTGCAGACGTAGGATTTAAGTGTTCAGTCACATATTGCTTTCTATATTTTAATTTTTTTTAATTGTTTTTTATTTTTTACATACACTCAGAATTATTAACAAAATTAATATGATAAAATTTAAACTTAATCTGAGACAACTATAATTAAGCTATAAGTTATTTAATATTGGATATATTTAAGTCGATCGGTTTTAAAAGAAACTATGATGTTAAAAAAATTCAATCATTTTTTCGTTATATGTCTCATAAAAACCTTCTAGATATAATAGCGTAAGAAAAGAAAAATTATTAGTAAAATAAATTAAGGCATTCCGTAAAAGATAATCCATCATTACCGAAAGATAAGATAATGCTATTCAAAAAGCTTGATAATTAGCATATAGTACTGTAATAAATAGAGATGCCTTTTAGGTGTCCCTCCCACTCCCTTTCCCACGCTTAATGAACCGGCTTTTGCACCTTTTTTCATTAATTAACAGTCATGATACATCCTTTTCTGAAGCCTAAAAAAAAGAAAAAGAAAAAGACGCATCTCTTCCTAACAACTTGTTCAAGCGAAGCAACAAAAGAAGAGAAGCCGAGGAAAATTGGACCCACTTTCCCTTGCATTAGGTATGGAGTATGGGTTAAGTTATCTTCATGGAATTAGTCACTTTCGCAATCTTAAAGTTCTGTGGAATCAAGTGGACCTAATTCTACTCACCCCACATTTACTCATTCCACTATATATGCAAGGAACACATCAACAACCATCCCAAAAGCAACCCAAATTCCTTCTTCTCTTCTCCTCTGTTTCTTCTCTACTTTTCTCTCTGAAAATGGTAAGTTTAGGTTCAGGATCAGTTGTTTGTGCAATCCTCGTAGTCTTGTGTATGGTAAGGCCAGGTTTGGCTACGGATTACACTGTGGGAGATACCTCAGGCTGGGCAATTGGCGCTGATTATAGCACATGGACCAGTGGCAAGACCTTTGCAGTTGGTGACAACCTTGGTGAGTCCCATTCTCTCATTAGTCAATACACATGTTACTAATCAAAATCAGTACTTAATTAACTAATCAAAATTATATTTACATATTAGTGTTTAACTATGGAGGAGGCCACACAGTAGATGAAGTGTCTGCCAGTGACTACAGCACATGCACTACAGGCAACGCCATTACTTCAGATAGTAGTGGTGCCACCACAATAGCCCTCAAGACCGCTGGCAGTCATTATTTCATTTGTGGCGTTCCTGGCCACTGTGGAAGTGGCATGAAGCTTGCAGTAACTGTTGCAGCAGCAGCAGGATCAAGCACAACTCCCTCCGCCTCAGGGACTCCATCTTCTACTGGCACTACCACTTCTCCAGCCGGTAGTAACACCACAATCTACAAACCGTCATCAAACAAAATACCTGATTCATCCTCAGGGCTTAATCTTTCCCCGTTTGCGGCTACAGTGGGTACTTGTGTTGCAGTTTTAGTGATGGTTTTCTCATAAGTTCGGAAAGGGTGGAGGCCACCCTAGCCAGGATAGAGGCAGTGCTTCCCTAGCTTCTTCTTTTCTTCTTTCTGTTTTTTTTTTTTTTCTCTTTTCATCCTGTCCTACTTGTATTCCGGGTTATTACTGCTTATCGTTACGAATGAGTAGTAACATGGGATTATGGATTAGGTACGTAATCATGGTTCATGATTGAGTTTGGTTTTTACTTTTCTCATATGTACCACTAGAAATTCTATTTCATTTCTGCCAGCGTAGGTAAAATTATTATTATTATTATTATTTAGAGAAGAGTACCATTTAATACTAAAACACTACTTGTTTGGTATTCATTAATCTTCGGTGTCATTAACAACTAGTCTGGTACTGACGTAGTGTTAAAGTGGTTACAACTTACCAGTGGCAGCATGGTAACCCATTTTTATCTATGATGTTCACCACGTACCGAGTCGGTAAATTTCGAAAGCGAATACGAACTGCTCAGTCTTGCGAAGAAGCTGCCTCAGTTCATGCATAATCGGCTCTGCCAGCAACACGCAATCGGTCTAGTAATTAAATGAAAGTTAATTGTACTGATTGATGTGGATGATGTTATTTTGTAGCTAAAATTCCTGTGAAGTTCTTAAACTCTTGGAAGTTTTTAATAACTTGATGCGTCTAAATACTACCCAAAACCTCTCCCTGATCACAGCCTTCGATTGATAAAAATTGAAAATCTGACCCTCAATTTTATCAAGCCAAAAATTTTCAAAGACAATAGGACTGGCTGGAAGGATTGTTTTGCTCTACGACGGTTAGCTCTCAGGGGACACACATGGGAGATAGGACTCCTAGTTGTTGTTGTACCATTTACGGACTCAGGCAATTTGCTCCAGCAAAAACAAAAGAAAACGATCACACGGGCATTTGTTGTTTCCAAGGCAATAAGGGGAAAGCTAGATGGGAATTGAATCGATGGATTCAAATTTTCCTTGCCAACACTAATCAGACAAACCGCTTGAACCCGTCAAAGACGTCCTTTGGCCACAAAAACTACGTGTCAGAAATGGTTGTTTCCAGAATGCGGTTCCCACATGCCAAGACCGACAAGTAGTTTTCCCAAAAGAAGGCAAATCATGAAGAGAAACCAAATAAATAACGGGTTGAGGCCGGTTGAACCAGCCGAACCAGCTGTGTCCTTGTCTTTGCGACGAGAGAGCAAAGCAGTACAGTGTATCTTCGTAGCCTACTTGACTAAACTTTCTTTATTACTTTTTGAGTATGTTAGCCTAACTATCATGGATTCAAATAAGTGATTGAAAACATTTCTGAAAGATTCAGTAATAGTTTATCAAACGGGAAACAAAAATGTCAAAAACAATATGTGAAGGACAAAATGCTAATCGTCAACTCTTGAGCCCACAACTAAGCCCAAATTAAAGCTGCAGTATGGACCTGGTAAAGTAGCTTAGTGCTTTAGTCTAATGGGCTTGTACTCGACAGTAATTCATCTCTCTTTATTTACAAGGTCGTGGAGCAATCCTCTATGATGCTGGTATATATGCTTTTAGACGAAAGCAGGTTCTTTTATCTATTTTCCGTCTAAAAACAATATTTGAGCAATTAAGGTCTATTTTCTTATGCTTTTGAAATTAAAATATAGTAATAATGTATTACTCTTAACATAAAAAAGAAAAAAAAAGTGGGATATACCCTTGCTTCCAACCTAAATCATCAAAACAAGTTATTAGAAAGTCCTTATAACTCAACAAAAGAACAAAAGCACATCAGAGCTCTTGCTCTAGGTCTTTTTAATTTTTTTTTTAAAAAAACAGATAAATCTAAGCAAATAAGATCATTCCTAGAAAGAATTCCTAAATTGGGTTGTGCATCATGCATTAAAAGCTTTTAGTAATGAAGGAATTGTTTTGCTGGGAGAATAAAGGTGCTTAATTATTGCACCTAGCTTTTGAATCTTGACATGAAAAACAGGATCACTTTAGCAAATGAAAAAGGTTTGGACTTGGGATGGGGTTCAACTCGTCACCTGGCCGAGGTAGGAAGCCTCAGAAATCCACTTTGAGAAAAGCTATAAGTCGTGGCACACGAGAGAAACTGAGAGGGAGAGAGTGGGGCACATGGTACTCGATTCTTATTTCTTTCTGTGATAGCGAGCAGTGCACCCACTTTAATTTCTCGTATGACAATTGATAAAAGAAAGAAAGTAGCAAAATCCTCAATAGTAAGCATGACGTGTATAGCACCACCATCATCACAATTTGTTACTAGCTAGTTTTTCATAAGTTGCTAATATTTAATTAATCTATGTAACAAAGAGTTCTATTTTAAACCACCAACCCAACCACCCCTCCTCTCTCTCTCTCTCTCGCTCTGGTCAATGCCAAAACGAAAACAGCAACCGAGTAGAGTAGAGAGTACATGTCAGTGTTGCTGCAGTTGAACTCTCTCTCTCTATCGTCTGTTGGCAAAGCACATGGGCCTCTGTAACTTTAAACCTTCAATTTACAGCTGTGGCCACGTGCATGACAAACCTCAAACCCTTTTTAATTTATTTAACTTCCATTCAACATAAAATTAAAACAACCAACCAATAAAACAGTACCACATCACCATTCACAACAGACAAAAAACCTCCACAAAACCTGTACTACCTTCCACTTTACCCACCCCCCTCCTCTCTCTCTCTCTCTCTCTCTCTCTCACACACACACACAAAGATAAAAAAATTATGATCCCTCGAGATCAGATCCAGATCAAGTAAATTGCAATGATCAATTACTACATTAAAGTAAAATTAAGCATCAAGTAATTAAACGCAAATTGGCAAAAGATGAGACAAATAAAAATTACTCGATGAAAAAAGAAATGATTGAATACATAATGAACAATCAGTAATAACAATGATATCAAAGAACAAGGATAATAATCAAATCTCAACCGTCAAAATAAACCAAAAGAGTCACTATCACCGTCCATAAACAAAATTACAAGGAAAAAAAACGACTCCAAATAATAACAATAATAATCCCTACTAAAATGAAACATAAATAAAATGGTAATAATCAACATCCGATGATTAGATCTACAGCAACAAAGACCACACACCAGCCACTCCAATCAAAGCACCAGCCACGGTGGCTCTGTTCAAACCGGCTGCGCTTGGAGGAGTTGTAGGAGAACCGTCACTTGGAGGAACAGACACGGAGGGACCAGGGGCCACGGGAGAAGGTGGTGAGCTGGCTGGAGAGGAGGAAGGAGATGTGGATGGAGCGTTGGAAGGAGTTGGAGCAGGGATTGATGGAGCAGGAGTTGGAGCTTTAGTTGGAGCAGGAGTAGGAGCTGGAGGTGGAGTTGTGGGTGCAGCGGGTGCAGGAGTTGGTGGTTTGGTTGGAGGAGCTGTTGGTGCAGCTCCTGGTGCCTGAGCCAAGGCTGAAACAGCAAAGAGAGCCAAAAGCATGAAACGCATCAAGGTTTTGCAAGCCATTGTTGTTGAAAGTTGTCAAGTAGAGGATGCAGAGAAGACAAGAAAACACAGAGAGATCAGAGAAGAGAAAATAAAGAGACAATAGGTACTGATGAGAGAGAGAAAGAGTGTGTGTGGTATTTATACAGAGAAAGGAGAGGGTTAAGGTTTAAGGTTTTAGTCGGAGACACGGCAGTTTCCTGTTTGTTTCTTTGAATTTTGAGAAATTACAACTTTGTACCCGTTCGGTGTCTAATTGAGAGGCTAGAAGTGTAATTTAGAGTTGGGAGAGGATCGCGGAGGTACGCGTGGCTGTAACGGGTAATCAGAGCCGTGAGATGTAGCAACGATTGTTCGATGATTCGAAAACGCGTTGATTTCAAGCTTGGGTAAGAAAGGTAGAGGGTTTACTTGTTGGGTTCGTGCAGTAGATCGATGAGTTGTTGATTTGGTAAATTGTTTTAAAAAAATGTAGGAAAGTAAATGAGCTCAATGATCTATGCAGTCGTAATTAATTATGAACAAAAATTCTGCTTACCGTTATGATTAGCACGTTGTTGCTTCATTTTTCTACTCCATTTAGCAGCTTCCTTGTAGTCGTTAAGAAGTGTGACAAGTCTAGTTTTCCGTGGAAAATAAAAATACTAACAAATAACGAATCAATCAGCGCGCTTATAGGTTATTGTGTGATATTCTATGCCAAATTATTATCATCTTTTCTTTTTGCATCAGCAAGCATCTTCGGAATTTAACGTGCCAGCATTTCAAGCGCTTCCTTCCAGCTGCACAGTTTTTAGATTTTCAATTTCTTATGACTACGTCTCTTCGTAAGTATTTAGCAAAGCTAGACGATAGATAGAATTAGACAAGTGTTTTAACCAAAATTTGCATGTGCGAGAGGGACTGCTAACAAAAAGGAACGCGTCCGTTTTGGTGGTTGAACTAAAAAAAACTCAAACCCTCCCTAAAGGCTAAAAATAGGACGGAAAATGAGTTATAGAGAACAGGGGAAAAAAAAAAGTCTCTTATCCTAAAACGTGGATTAACGTCCAATTAAGACATCCAATACCCATATTTCATACGTGTGAGTTGACAAGTTCCAACCAAAGAAATTCACAACTAGACTTGGAGGCCATCTCACTACAACTTGGGTTAATATTGTTTCTTTCCAATTAATATGAGTTGGCCTTGACAGTTTGCTTCGCCAATTATTATTTTCTGAATAAATATCATTCAAGTATATAATTCATGATTTTTTTTTATTTTATCTTGGACCCACCTTTATTTTGGTTGACCTATACAAATATTAAGCTTGTGCACATTTTGGTGGACAGCTCCTTTACAGAGTTCATTCAAATAATTATTGTTTCTATTACTATTATTTTTTTTGTAACATGCGCACCAATAATCCAAAATCCACAATGATAAAATGACAGTTAACAAGGTTCTGGCCATCGGGACAGGAACGCCGTTGATTTATTTTTCCTTTTTAATAGCTGATAATAAAATTCAATCATGGCCATGTTAAATTAATCGAGGATAACCACAAACTCTTTGCTGATCAAAAATAAAAAATGATAATTTATTTTATGAATTCAGCGATAATTCAGACTGCAATGCTACACTTAAAAACAAATCATATACGAACCAAGTGGCAATTGCTTTATTTATGTTTTACCGACAATTTAACATTTATAAAATCTATAACTAACTATTTAGTTAGTTATTAATACTCGAAGAGAATGAGAATCGAATTTAATATTCGTTACAAAAAAAAAAAATGAAAAGAAAAGAACAAAAAAAAAAAAAGATTAATATGACTATCATAACAAATACAGAAGAGTTAACTTAATCTATTGATTGCTTCTCTCATACGGGATGTAAACGAAATTAATTTTTAAACAACTTAGAATTGAACTTATAACTTATTGATAGAAACCAAGAGGCAACTACTACGTGATTTTTTATAGTTTTTTTTTTTTTTTTTGTTCTCCATCACTATAAATTACAGTAGCAACTGAATACAGTGTTTGGGTTAGAAAGAATATGAGAAAAAAATAAAAGAAAAACCAAAAAATGACTTTAAAAATAGAATTTCTCCAAAAAAAAATTTCTTGATTCATTCATTTTTGGGTAATTAAATGAGTTTGGAGTAAATTATAAATTAGTCTCTAGTTTCAAGAAACAGATTAATTAGGTTTTTTGTTTGAAAAACTAATTATTTAATCTTTATATTTTTAATTTTTATTTTATTTTATTTGTTTTAAGCAACAGAAAAAAAAATACAAAAGGATCGATGAGAAAGAATAATATTTTTTAAAAATAAAATAGGTCAACTCCACTGTTGGAGCCAGACGCGGGGGACTAGATAAGATAGGTTAACTCTTTAAATCATGTGATTTAGATAGATAATCACTTTGAAACGAAACCAGCAGTCCGATGGCAGAAAGAATCAAGAGTGTTGTTGAGATAAGCTGTCCTTCAGGATAACCTAAAATTGCAACAAGAAGGCAGCATAATTACGATGGGTGATCCGTTTGGCCCGGTCTTCTCAATTGATCAATGGGACATGGACCTTGTCAAAGCATGGCATTTCCCAACAAACACATAGACAACTTTTCATTGAGGCCGTATTGTTTATTTCTAGTTCGGGACTATAGTTTGTTCAGGAGGGCTTAAAATGACAACAGTGACAAATCAACAACCTACCAAACAGGACTTAATGATATGAAGCGACGTAACACTTCTTTCGCAATTTATTCGCAAGAGATAGTGCTAACTTTTGCAATTCACAAAAAAATAAAAAAATAAAATAAATAAATAAATAAAAAGTATAATAATGGTAATTCATTTTTCTAGGATATAAACCTGTCATAATAGTTGTTAATACACACGCAATTACACATCTCCCCAATGTTTTCATGAAGCTATTGCCAACATCCAGTTTCTTGTATATCTTGACTGCCCAGATTGAGAGTTAAAATGCATCATACTCCTCGCATTTCCTTATTTATGGAGCCAATTTCAAAGTTTTTAGGTTTGCATATTCTTGAGCAATACGACCCAGTTGCGACTCCAATCCATGCAACAAACGCTACAACATACAATTCAAGACAAGCATTCTTATCTTTGAGGTTTCATTCACATGATAAGCGGATTTGTTGTTTTGGTTGCTATTTTGGATTTATATCAATGATGAGACTGAGCTGTGTGTATGTATATATACATTGTGATAAAAGAGCTCGGATCCGCATCCTCCACGTGTACGTGTCAGACAAACCACAAGCATGCACACAGCTAGTTCAGCATAACTACTCATCGATATAGGATTCGTGGGCTTGTTTGGTGACTCACAAAACTGAGAAAAAAGAATACTTACAGGATGTGAGATTAAAATATATCTTCAAAAGTTATCATCACATCCCACAATCAAAGAACCACCTTACTAGTTAATTGTTAATTTCATGGGCTGAATATAAATAATCTGATCAAGTCCCCACATAAAAGAAACGAAATCCCAATGAAACTAACATGTTTCTTTATTCATTTAACTAGTTGAAACTTGACATAAATCAAAGGATTTAGTCTTTGAGCCGCGTGGAAAAATGGACTAGGTAAAATGCCGTCGAACGAAGGACGTTTCTGTAATATGTGGCTGTTTCTCCGAGGGTACAAGAAGAGAGATTGTTTGCTTGTAGGACGAGAAGGCGCATCATTGCTTACGGGATTGTCCTGTCTGTCTGTCACGATATATGTGGGTCACTGCCAGATTGTACTTTTGAGGCTTCACGATTCATACACCTGCTCTTGACAAAATAGCTTTCACAGAGACCCCATGATTAAGACCGCTGAGCACATGCTTCAAAATTATTAATCAGTCCGCAGATTGTCGCTTTTGTCATACTATTGTTGAGTAATAAAAACATTAAAAAGTAGGTATTAAATACACATGGATTGCCAGCCAGCTTATGTCTACTAATGGGCTGTGTATGAAATCAATTGGGAGAATGCTGCACAAAACTTAAAATAATCTCCATAATTCTTCCTATCAATTTATTATTTTTTTTGAAGGAATTCTTCGTGACATTCTTTCCACAATCTATTTAGGAATTACGAGATGCAATTTCCCTGAGTTCATCTCAGTATATACAGCTAATAGGGCATTATGCTTCTTGCAGAAGTGGAAATATTTTGATCAATTGATGGAACAAATGGACGAACATACATCAATCACATTGTAGCAACGATAAAGCTTCATGATCTTTCAGATCTTTTTGATTGCATTTATCCTGGGAAAAGTGATATCCGCTTCATCTGTAACCATAACCTGATGCCAGGATCCTGAACATTTACCGAGCCAAAATTTGCGATCCTAGTCATTCGAAACATTCATCAGTAAGCAGCTTCAGGTTATTTCTGTTTAGCTTCAAGAAGAATTGATGAGTGTGGAGCCACACTATAGGTGCTTCCAATGCCAGGAACACCTCGAGGAACAAAGTCAGCCGGGGATTCAAGATTGGTGTCTACCTGCAATCGAACAGAGAGTTTAAGCCCATGATTAAGATGGAACTGGTTGATATTCTGCAGTTTTGAAAAATTCATCTGCAAAGTATAATCAATATAAATTGATTGTCAAACTGTTTTCACAGTTAACTAACTTCATGTCTAACACCACCATTATAAATTGAGCAAGGGAGATATCAACTTTCAAAAAAAATGGAGCAATAACAAATCTCATGTAAGATAAAGAGAAATGCTTTAAGACTGAGGGCATAAGTGCAGTACTTCAGTATCGTACTTATTCTCACAATATAAATCTGCTACGTGACTATATATATATATATATATATATATGTATGTAGCAAATTGGCTGCCTTTGAAAATTAATAGCACTATTCGAGGGATCCTTGTATAAATCCAACCTCAAGAACGCTCCCAATGTTGGATACCACCAACATAGCTATCTATTTTGTTGAGCTACCAACATAGCTATCTATTTTGTTGAGCTTTTTGCATGAGATTCCAAACATCAGTGCTCAGACCACAAGATCAGTTGGTTTTGGAGATCTTAAATTGATTATAAAAAAAATAGCATAGCAACATAAAAACGAGAAGTTTGCAAGATGCACAAAGTGCTCCAACAGACGAAAGGCATGCAAAAATAGTATTGCACCAAAAAGGCAAGATAATTGCAAAGGATGCAGTTTAACAGTGACAAGTAGCAGCAAGAACACAAATAGTATTGCACCAAAAGGCAAAAGAGTTGCAAAGGGTGCAGCTTAGCAGTGACAAGTAGAAGCAAGATCATTGGCTTATGTGCCAGAAGCGGAAGAAACACTAACCACACGAAGCCAACACCTCTTGGATGGTGGTGGGGGTATTGAAACTTCAACAAAATAGTCATGAGCATTGAAAGCCAAATAGATATCTCCGCTGTTCTTGTCATGAAGCCTGCATAACAAATTGGTTGATGATGCAAGCAAGATACTACAACAAATTATAAATGCAAATTGAACAATTCAGTGAGAAGACAAGTAGAGTTTCTTACGTAAAAGCAAGAAATTTGCTTTCGTAATTGTCCCAGTTGTTCTCATGCCATGTCACATCATTCTGCATAACATGTACAGAAGAGTGTGTTAAGGGCTATATTATAAGCGTTGGTATGTGAAATATAACATACTTACAAAAATGCGTGTCTATTAAGTCCCAGGAGAAAAATGACTTACTTTGCCAACAAAATTGTCATGGGTAAATACTTGATGTGTCTGTCGAAACTTTACAACCTCTGAGAAAAATCTGAAGAGGCTACTCTTTTCTGCATCCAACTGTCTTAACAAAGGATTCTGTGCTTAAAAATTAACTGGATTAAGCTGTCAAAAAAAAAAAAAAAAAAAAAGCAAGAATAGAATACAAAAACTTACGATCCCCCATTGGAAATTGTTGATAAAAGTGTCATGCCCATAACTGTTGTTATTTCCATAGCGACTGTGTCCGTATTCATCTCCCATTAGCATCATTGGTGTTCCCTGGAGAATAAACACACACAAGCATAACACTGTAGCATATCCAGTGCACTTTAAAACGAACCCCTGAAATCTTAATGTAATGATGGAAAAGCTATGAATCCAAAAATTCTTCATTCATCAAAAGACGAAGAAGATGCTATGAAAAGATGCATGAAAACCTCGTAGACAAGCACAAAGGAGACAATCTAAAAGATGCATGAAAAACTCAAAGAAAAGCATGGAAATATGAAATCACATGTGAATTGAAAACCATTTATCCGAACTCAATAAAGTTTCAAAGGCATGTTTTGTTTGTCTGTGCTCTACTGGGTAAGGAATAACGTGGCACTAGTATGTGACACATGGAAACTGTAGTCTGCACAGTACCTGAGATATCATTAATGCTAAATGGAAGTTTTTCATTTGCCGGGAGCGTAAAGCTTTAACATTATGATCGTCAGTTTCTCCTGCCAAATGTATATAGATAAATTAACACCTAAAGAAAGAATAAATACATCATCAATTAGATTCTCTTACCAGCAGCCAAACTAAATAAAAGAATCTATTTATCACATGAGGTTTGACACAGCTAATCCCAAGATCAACCACACGACCAAACTGGAGGCTAAACTAAATGCATTGATTTTATGGTAAAGAACCTTGACAACACAAAAAATATTCAGGCAGTAATTCTACGAATAAGAACAGCTGATTACGGCCAGCCTGCAATTTCCCTTCACAATAGCATGCACACAAGGTAATGACTGCGAGTTACTACCTACAGAAACACTGTTGGATTGCTACAAGATTTAACACTCTGAAGCTAGAAATGATTTAAGGAAAAATTCTGATATAAGCTGTGTTTTTTCAACTCTACCTTCGAATCCACAATTCCAGCTAAAATTGTCATTGCTTCCATCATTTCCACCTTCTCCATTAGCATCATTGTGCTACAAAACCAATAGCAATGAGACAAAAAAATGGATATTGAATGATTCACTAAATCAAATTGATGATCTCACATACCTTGAAATTGTACGAAACAAGATCACGTAGTGTGAATCCATCATGTGCTATAACAAAATTCACACTATGACAAGGCTTGCGCTTATTGACCTACATAATAAACAAAACCATGAGTTGCTTTAACATGAGTAAATCTAAGTATGACAATGATATACTATTCCAGGTAAAATAATATATTCGGATGAAAAATTGGCAGATCTAGCAACAATCATTATCTTTGACATTAAATGCTTACTCTGTAGAGGTCAGCAGATCCAGCAACCCGGGTAGCGAAACTCCCTTTCATACCACAATCACCCTATAATATGCAAAAGCTATAAGAAAAAAAATTGACAAACAGTAATGCTCTCGAGTAAACCACAAGAACAATTTGTTTCTCACAGTAAGAAACATAATTGTGTTTCATGGTAGACAGCAAAACTAAAGTGTCATCTGACAGACGCATAAAGAAAGAATAAACCATATTAATGCAGTGATTAAAAGAAAAGGCAATCAACAAGAAAAATGAAGGCTAAGTAAAAGTTTCACGAATTTGGATGATAAGATAATCATTTTAGAAGGATGAACAAAATATGAATTTTTCAGCATAAAAACACAAAACTGCAAGAATGTGATTGCATTGTAAGCATTAAAGTTTTAGAACATTGGTTCTATAAAATAGTTTCTAACAATACCTAGTAAATTCATCAAAATCATCTCAAATCCATTTGAAACCTTTCAAGCATGCCATTCTATTTCAAGACAAGTTGCATTCAGTCATCAGTTTCGGTTAAAGTTCGAGTTGCTACCTTGGTGGGCCCTATATTCTGTGCTTGCTAAGCTATCATTAAGTTGAATAAGTTATGGATCAATCTAAGTCAATTAACTTTCCCACTGGCATCACCTTAATAAATCTTCTAATGTCATCACGGTACTTGCCATTCCACTCTGCCCATCTGAATAAAGAAAAGAAATAGGCACAGGTGAGCTGGAACAGGATTCCGAAAGAAATAGAAAATGTAATTAACAGAATGCGTTACCAACTGATAATGATAAAAATAATAACATATCACTGTGATTGCGTTTATCAATTTGATAGTGCATCTTATAGTACACACATTTATTATTTAAAAGTCCAATAAAAGTAAACAAAAGTTACCTGTCCCAATTTGGAAATTTTCCAACCAGATAAAGGCCTCCACAATCCCAAGGCTCTGCAATAATTTTACATCTTGACAGGATGGCATCTTTTGCAATTGCCTGGTTGATTAAGCAATATCAAGTTATTACACAAAGTTCACTGTTGTAACTATATAAGCCAAAGGCCACATGAATTCGCATATGGAGGCTTCCTTCTGCCTGAAACAAAATAAGCATCTCATATGTAGTTGTAGACAAATTATGACACAGGAGCTTTCTCTAGAAATCATTCTATTATTATACTTCTGACATTAGGGTTACTTAGGGTCATCTGATTAGCATGTGACTTTCCAAAGAATTTCCTTTATAGGCTAAGTAGTTTTACTTGGGGACTAAGACCAGAGATCCTTTTCCTACAAGAATCTAGGGCTTTAACTAATATAAATAGGCCGGTAGTGTTACCTTTGTGGTAGCTTTTTGTTATTTTATCTTAATTTTAACCATTAATCTGCTGTTTCTAGTGTTTTCCCCTTCCCACACTAAATCAAATTAATAACACTCAAACGTTCTATATGACTTAAGAATTTTTTCAACTTTCTCCTAATATAACAGCACAAAATATTTCGCTGAAGTAGAGGAGCATTTACATCATTGTGAAGGTATGCTAGTAAAGGATCGCTTTTGTAACAATAACTAGTCATAAGAAACAACGGCAAAAAGCATTAAATATCACAATGAAGTGGGGCACGGCTTAGTGATTGTTTGCCCCCATTTACAGTATGATCACGCATAAGGAAAGAATTTATATATATATCCAAATTGCGAGAGAGAAAATTTTCGGTGAAGTTTGGATGCATGTTAAGAACCTATCAACATTCTAAAGGAAATGCCTGGCCTTTTCCAATTGAACTTCCTCCCAGCATTGTGCTCGCGCAATGTAAAACTGGGCTCTAGGCCCATCCATATTTCTGGTCTTCTACACAAATTGAAAGACCATCAATTCACTTCTAAGTCAGGAATCCTGTTCTCTTAGTGAATTAACATTGGTAATGCACGTGACCACTCGATTTGGACAAATATAAATTTAGACGTGTGAAAATATCTCACCCTGACAAGTGGGGGCGTCAAGTGGAGACCCATCTGTTCCTCGGCAAAGTACACTGGCAAGGTCAAATCGAAATCCATCCACATGATATTCAATGACCCTGCATTCAGTAAAAGAGAAGAATGAGAAATAAATCACACACATATGCATCAGAACAGAGAACAATATATGCATGTCTCTAACACAAAACAGTCCTAGTCCTTGGGAGCTAAGGATCACAAAAGGATATAGGTAAACTTCAACATAAATGGGAATATCATTTGGCAATAAGATCAAGTTGACAAATTTGGAACAGTATCCAAACAATAGAAAACTTCCAAATCATTGATATTAAGTTTGTTATTCAAGTGCTGCAAAACAAAATTGATTGTTTCATTCTAATTAGCACATACCAGTGTCTCAAGCTGTCTAGGATGAGCTCCATGACCACAGGATGATTACAGTTTAATGTGTTCCCTAGAAAGAAATAAGACACTGCAAGTGAAAGAGCTGTAGATGCATGCAATAATTTCAAATTCTTTACAGAGAAAACATGTTGAAAAGGCATTTGCTTGCTTGTTACTTTGAGCTCAACAATCATGTAAGCTTATTTCAGATTTCATCTGAACCTGCAAGAAATACCAGGAGTCCTAATAACCCTCATGTCTGCATGCTGTATTATAAAAGCAAGCAGGATTTGGATGGCCCAATGAAACTGAAAATATTTCTGGTATATTTTACGAATAAAAAATAAAAATAAAACTCTAATGATCTTGTCACTTCTAGTGCTGGAATAGAATTGCTGGTCCTTCTCAATATGAGAATCTGTAGGACCTTCGAATATAGGGAAAATACTTCAGCATATTGGATAAAACAGAGAGTCTTCTCCCTGTAAAGTCAGTTTCAAACTGCACATGGAAAAAAAAAATTCAAAGTAAGAAGGTTCAAGTTTCAGTTTATGTAGGGAAGCAGAAGCAAAAGTTATTTAGTCAACTTATGTTTTGCTCCAAATTTGTAAGAGATGGTGATCTGAACCATTCCCAAAACCCAACTTAGCCAACTTACGAGAAAATTTCAAGTTCACCCTGAATTAGGTAATAAATTCACCATAACTACAGCCAGCATAAGTCATCTCAGCTGCCTACTCACTAGTATGCTACCGCCACCATCACAAAGAGCATCAATTTTTTCTCTCTGCTATGATTCAAAGAGTTGATCAGCACGAGAGATCCCATGAACACAGAACAAATTACTAGCCTCTTAGTCCTAAACTGTCTAGTTTGGCCATTACTCTCCTTTTCCCATTCTTGGTGTGATATATCATAAATAAGGAAATTTTAATCGGTAATTGAGGCATAAAATACTGGTTCAAAAATAAAATTATGGAAGCAGTCCTCATGAAATAAGGGAGCCAAAACTTCACTTAGGAATGAAAACTAATGGAAAAGGGAATAAAAAGCAATGGAGCACAAAGTTTATACCACATCCAGAGAAGTTAAGCAACTGGCCATTATTATTGACGTCCACCATGTAATAAACCTGTAGATGGATAACAGGACATGCATTGAGAAATGATGAAATTGCTAAATAAGAATGCATAAGATGCTATATAGATAATCATTTAGATGCGTGGCTAGTGAGCTTTTAATGGTATAAGAACCAATCAAATACTCCAGAGCATTCACTAAAGGCGTAAAAAATTTCACAGCTGACAAGTTTGAAGAGAAACTAGGCTGCATTCCGCAAGACTAATAGAAAAGAACACTAAAATCCAGGAAGCATCCGCAAAAGTAAAAGGCCATTACAAAATTGCAATTGCTAAAATATTCTAAAACAATCAACCAGTGATTGAATGGGTGTTTCTCAGGCCTGAACGATTCAAAAAAGTCTGGTAAAGTTTGAAATCATTGTTAGTTCATTACAACCCTAACAGCAGAAACTTCAAAAATAGACAGTGAAAATCACCTTATTATCGATGCCACGAAATGAAGTGGTATAAGGATTTTTGTCATCAGCCTCATTTGTATGGTTATAGACTACATCCAAAATAACCTGTTGAAAGAAAAAAGCTCAGTAAATTGCTTAAATAACTATTTCAGACTCTGTGTTCATGTATGCTGGAGTACATATATCACAGACTTGTGATACCGAAACAACAATAAAAAATTGCTCCCAACTTTGAAGAACATGTTCTTAACTATATGACCAGAAAACACATTATTACCTCAATGCCAGCACCGTGCAAGGCTTTGACCATTTCCTTGAACTCCCGAGATGCATTACGAGGTCCACCACCTCTACTAGCGTAGCAATTCATAGGAGCAAAGAAATTTATGGTTGAATAGCCCCATGTATTGATCTTTGAGAAAAGGCAAGAAAGAGAAAAGAAATAATAGTTCAACATTAAATTCACTACATCAAATTAAAACACCAAAAATAAAAAAAGGAAACTCAGCTGCAAGAGTATTAAGCCATAATATCGAATTTTATTTGACATGTCTAAGGGCATGTCGACTCAAATCTGCTTAGAGAAAGGGGGGACCAAAAGGGGAAAAAGTTGTGTGGAACTGTTCCAAAACTTCAATAATTCAAACATAAAAAGAACTTTGTTTAAAATCAGAAACATAACAGTTCATTAATTCCATTATGAACTTCTTTTAAAAAACAGAAAGATAACATAAATGATGGGATGAAGGAAAAAAGAAAAAGAAAAGCATTTCAATGTTTCACAACAAAGTGTGTGTCGTTAATATACATAAAGAAATTGTGAGGAAAGACACAAATTTTGAAAAGTTTATTTTACCAAGTGATCTCTGGGATTTGGGAACCTCTGAAACTCAAACTCATCAAATTCAAACACAGGCAGCAACTCCAATGCATTGACACCAAGCTCTAGAAGATGTGGGATCTAAAATTGAATGAAAACTTACTGTCAGGAGAATAAGATATGTGCAAACAATCAAATGCCACTAATATAGACTGCAAATGAGTTTTAAGACATGATTTTAACAATGGAAAGATTTATGCAATTCTTGTTCCTAAGGAAGTGTTGCTGCTCTTTGTTCTGTTCCATGATAAAATTTGAACTTAAGATTCATCCTACCCTTTTAGAATATCTCTTTATGTGCATCACCAACTAAAGAAATTGAAAATGGAAAAACGGATATAGAAGACACAGAAGACCTAGCGATATTGCAGCTTCAATGTGACAAAAGCTGACTATCTTAAGTGATTACTGGAATCAATTATTAACCAGAAAATCAAACATTGCATATGAAAGGCTTTTCTAAATTTCCAGTTTCTGCACGTCATCTGAATGCATAAAAAAAAAAAAAATTCCTTAGTTGCAAATCTTATAGTTGCTTGAAACTTCAAATTAAGACATTATTGGCTCTAGCAATGAATTAAGCTTCCAAATTATATTCATAGATTAAACATTACCTTCTCAATTATACCAAGGTAACTTCCACGTATATTTGGATCCAAGCCACTGGATTTATCAACTGTAAATGCACGCACATTCATTTCATATATAACAAGATCTTTCTGCAAAAACAGTAGCAAATATAAGAAAAAGCAAAAAAGGAGATTAAAAAAAAAAAGACGGATTTAAGAAATGCAGCTCAGACACACGGCTGTCAAATTATCAACTGAATGTCTCAATACATGCATAGAAGGCACATAAAAGAAACAGCAAAAATCAATTAGTAATTTACTCATTCAGCATTAAAAAAAAAGGGGCAAAATCAATTAGTAATTTACTCATTCAACGTCAGTTGGAAATAAGGTGGTAGAAGAGCATGCAATTGCCGTATTTCAATTAGTGGCAAAAAAATACCATGGGAAGCAAATATACAACAGAAATGTAAGCAACATTGGAGTACCTCTGGTAAATTTGGAGGCTTGTAGTTATCACCCCAATCAAAAGGCAAGCTATCAAAATCATAAGTTCCATAAAATTTTGACAGCTTATTGCTGGCATCACCAAAAAATCGGCGGCCTTCAACTAGCTTAGCATAAGGATCAATAAGCATGATGCTGCTATCAAATCGATGCCCTTGATGCCAATCTCGAGGACCTTCTATCCGATAACCATAAAGCACATCGCTCCGTGGTAAATCCTGCATTTGACGAAATGATACAGATAGCATGGAAATGATAATTAATGGCAGCTGAACTGCAATGGTAACTCACTAAAACATGGAAACAAGGATATGACTAAACATAAAAAAGAGAAAAAAGAACATTACTGTCAGCTGCTATACTGTTATGAGAAATATGACTACCTCAATGCATATGTGCCAAATGTCTCCGGTTTTATTAACACCAGGATCCAAAGCCACCTCAATCATTCCACCATCCAACCTTTCACGCTTTCCCCTAAAAAAAAAAAAAAAGGTGAAGTTTGTCAGAACACACCTAAAAGGAAAAATAAAGATCAAACATATCAATCAACATGGATCCACAAGCACATCCCCTTTTTTTATTCTGTTTATTTTTTTTTTCAATTTTCATTATGATTTCCTTAAAGAAAAAAATTATGCTAGACTCACTCATGTTCGCATAGAATGTAATTCTATCTAACTTAATTTAAATATAGAAAAGACAATCACAGCAACTTTTTAATCAATCAATCAGAAAGAAAGTAAATTGTACCTGTGAGGGAGTGATAAGCAAAGCGTGACAGCAGTGGCGTGCTGCGAAAATATAGCAAAATTGATCCCATTTTCAACTTCTGAAACACCTAATGGAAATGCCTGGCCTGGGAATGTTTTAAATCCCAACTTTTGAGGTGCTTCTTCCTAGTTAGAACAAGCATTGGTCTTACACCGCCAAAATTCGAATATAATCCATCATGCTAAAGCAGATTAAGCATAATATATGTAAAATGATGATCAATTAATACCTCAAGCACACTTTCTTGAGCACGACGACCGTAAACATTAGTTGTTGTAGTCTTGGTTCGAGCCTTGCTGAAGAATCCTTGCCCACTGCTGCTACCGGATGATTGTTTACTGAATTTCAATCTAAAAATACATTCAAAAATTAATATTCAAGTTAAAATTATGTACCTGGTCAACTAAAAAATAGCGGTAGAGGAGGGAGATTACCCCATATCGAGAACACGGCAAGTGGCTCTAGAAGGAGAAGAGCCATCAAAGTTACTGTTGTTGTTTGAGAAATGCAAAGCAAAGAGAAGTATGTTATTGGCAATTTTGGAATCAGAAAAGAGTGGAAGTGATTGATGAAGCATATTCACTTGCCACTTGCTAACTCTTCCTTTTAGGTTAGGAGCAATCACATAACAAAAACCTTTTTCTGTTTGTGCGAAAAAGAGAGAGCAGAGCACAAAAGGATTCCCATCTTTTTGTTTTTTTTTAATATATAGTTAGTGGAAACTTGAAAGGGAGCGACTTTCAAAGCTCCTTGGGGGAGAGGGACTATGTAGTATGTATGAGTAACGCCTTTTGATTAACTTTTTCATTTTCCGGAGGGTTAAGGCCCAAGGGTTTTGGGCGTTTCCGAGCGAGAGAGAGGAGTCATGTCTGCCACGTGAAAGGTAACGTTGGAGTGTAGACGCTTCATGTCTTTACACGTGGTCGACACCTTTTCCGCGCCGTCCTTAAATATCAAGATCATGTTCCTGTTCTTGTTCATGGATGGATCCTTAGCTTAGATCTGTTGCATAAAATATCTTGTGCAAAATTCCCAATGACTTTTGGATCCATACCCTCCCATAATTTGTTTCTTTCTTTCTAAGCTCTTTTGCTTTCGTTTTCTGCAACTATAAATTTTAAAAACAGCTGAGCATGGCACCACGTCCACAAGTTTCAATGTTTGGTGAATTTAACTCTCTATCTATTTTTAGTCAAATCCAACCATCTATTTTCAATTTATAACAGATTAAATACTTCTCATGTTCTTTAGATTAACTATGAATATCGCATCCTGGCTACTGCTTTGAGGGACTGCATGTGGTTTTTGCTTTATATTTTTATCCCAAAAACAAAAAACAACAACAAGAAGAAATACAGAGCAGAAAAAGGAATAATGGGATTGCGAATATATGAAAGCAGGCACGCTGCTAAGAAGCCCCAGAAAAAGGAAGGCCCCAGAAATTTAGCCCATATGGGATTAAAACATAGGCCCTAGCCAGTTAACCCAACCCAGATTTAAACATAGGCCGTCACCACTCTTCTAAACTATACATTATAAGAAACCCAGCCTAAATGTTAAGCCCAGCTCCATATCAAAGCACTCTAGTTTCTGGGCCAAAACACGCGGGCCCAGGCTCGCCTTCGCTCCGTCTTTACCATCAGTCTCCGACCATCAAGATTGTGAAGAATGTATGGTCCAGTGAGGCAGTGACCAGAACCCATTCTGTAGTTTAGATAAGATCGAAAAGAGATCAGTCTCGTAAAAGAAGCAGTCGAGCATCAGCGTCTCGGCCATTACCAGAAACCGAGATTTATGAAGAAATCTTCGTTAGGATTTGGAAGCATAAACCAATCGTATTCAGCATTGATATTAACAAGATAAATATATCTTGATGTAGCAGTAGCGGAACACAGAGAAAGACCAGAAACACAAACCTACGGCTAAACATAGTGTGTTTGTGACAAAAGTAGACTGGTGCATGCGTACTTTCAGTTGAAATCCTCCTGATACTAAACAAATATCTTTCCCCTTTACCACTGCACAATCCTCAAAATAACAAAACCAGCGCAACCTTCAGAATTTAGAAAAAGAATCGCAACGTTTTTCTTTTTTCTCTGACCGGGTTAATGAAAAGTGGAATTAACCAGCTCTAGTTTGGCTTATCATCTCACAGAAAATGCAAGTGATTGCAATAGTGCATTCAGGGAAGTCCATATACAGTATGGCATGAATAATTCCTCATCGCAGTCGCGAAAAAATTTTCACCAGACTCTGCTGCATGTTGTCCCCTCTAAATGGGAACAGAGATCTTACATGCAGTAACAACTAACAAAAGAAGGCCCCGGGAAAAAACGGAATCAAAATTTATATGCAGTTTAGGGGAATTTAGACATTCAGGAAACATCAATGTGCATCATTTTCCCCCGATGTCATGTGAAAAAATGACCTTGTTTCTTGGCGTGGAATAAACATTAAGAATAAGACTCTTAATGGATGGAAATTTAACTCAAATTCAATCCGAATTTGATATGGTTAAATAAATTTAGTATATAATTTTTACGATTCAAATTTGTTAACTAATTTATTAAATGAATCAAATATAAATTTGCTTTGATCCGGTCCGTTAATAACTCGATACGAAATTAAAAATAACATTGTTTTTAATAAATATATATATTAAAAATTTAAAGAGAAAATTATATAAATATGAAATTAGGTCGAAATTTAAGGTTTACTTATTCTAAATTCTAAATAACACGAATCGATATGGCAAAAGTAGACAATAAATCTTTTGCATGATCTATTATATAACACTTGAATCTCTAAATTATATTATTATTTTTGTATCTTTTTACTTCTTAGGAGAATATGTAAAAAAAAAAAAATTAGTTAGAAACTAAAATTTACGATACTAAAAAACTTGTATTATTGAAAAATCAACAAGAATTGGATTAAAAAAAATGTTAAGAAAAGATAATATTAGTTTTTAATTAGTTATGTAATATTATTAGTAAAGTAATATGCACTAATAATTTTTTGTAAAACAACTTGTTACAAATATATAATAATATAAATAGATTTTTTTTTTTTGGTAGGTTTTGACTTGTAGCACTATCATTTTAAAATTTGAATTAACAAATATTAATTTTGCTATCATGTGACAAGAAACAAAAAATATTTTTTTTATTTTCTTTAATTTAATCATACTTCTTATTTAATTCAAGGCAAATTTTTATTAGAATTATTTGATTTTATGTTTGATTTTTTTTACAAAATTAATAAATGAAATATACATATATATACACACACTAGTTGAAATATATTTTATATTGAAGCAGTACATTAAATGAAATAAGTATAAATTTTCTACAAAAAGTAACTGATAAATACGTTGGAATTCTAAATCCAATTTGCATTTGTTAGGATGCGAATCGATATTTTCAACCTAATGCGAATTTGTTAAACACAATTCAACTTGTTTCATTAAACAAATTGAATTGAATTTGGATTATTATGATCCGATCCGTTGATAAATTAAATTTAGACGATTATAATCCGATCCATTGACAATCCTAATCGAGACCAGTTTTTTGTCAGTCATCAATCATCCTTCTCTTTTCCCTGCACGGATTGCCAGAGCCTTAAAAATACGACCTGCATTCCCGCCAGGAAATTGTAAGGAACGAACCTCGCTTATAGTCTTGTGATATGAACGTCTACAAAAAGATGTGCCCAAAAGGCAAAGAGATTCAAGGAGTTGAAAAAGAAATTAAAGTCTAATGAGTCAGTTAGAGATGGAAGGCGGGAAGATATGAAATATAAACTAAGCGTTAGTGTCTTAGCTCAGAGATGAAAGCAATCCATATTCAGTAAGAGGCCTAAAACATGAAGCCTCTTCGAAATTGTGAAAAAACAAAAACTCACTAGTTGATACTGAATCAGATGTTCTGCCTCGTTTAAACATAGTTCTCAACTAAAGGTTTAAGCAGTATAAAATCTTTAGCTGCCAGCAATTTTAAAACAAATCGATCTTTAAAGTATCATAGCCAATGTCCCAGATACTGATCTCACTTTTCTGTTATATGGGATTTTTAGCTTTGAAAATTTAGTCAAACAACCTCCCATCCCAAATTGCACTGAACTCAGCTCAAGTCCAAGAAAGAAATGCTATAAAAAACAAACTGGTTTCTCACCCATAAGATTGCCTTTTTCCTCTGAATAAGAATCTCACCCGTAAGATTTTATTTCCAAGTTAAAATAAAAACAGCTATATGATACAGACGAAAAGAGCTATAAAACCAGCACAGAGAGAGAGAGAGAGAGAGAGAGGCACACACAGGAAGGATGAACTCCAAACCTCTTGTAACATTATTTACAAATATATATTGTCAATGCCTATATTTAGTATCCTTAGTCCATCGTAAAATAAGCCCAAAAAAAACAAGTAAATCATCTCGTGTTTGTGATCTCTGTAATCTCTTACCAAAATTGCATCTGGAAAAGTGAAAGTTTAGCCTCTGTCTGAGTTATTCTTTTCCCATCACAAAATGTCCTTACTACACAAAAAAATAAGCAAGTCCCAGGTAATTACTAACATTATTGAAATTTAACCAATTGCGGCAGCAAAACGAAAACCTTGTATTTACCTTAGCCATATACCAAAGCTCATCCACAAGAAGCAACCTGAAAGGTGAAACAGCTGAACCAGATGTCAGAATAAAGCTGGTATGAATCAACTGCCAATTGTTGATAGATTGACAGATTCTACTATCTATCCCACCAAGAAAAAGAAGGCCTATTTAATTGCGGCAGAAGCTGAGGCTACTGCAGCTTCTGCAATTAAGGAAACTGGTTGGCGAGCCTGCAGGCAAGCACCTATGTCGAAGGCATGCAGTTCGGAACCATCAAAAATTAGATTAACGCCTGGAAGAGTTACTTCTCTACTATCAGCTTCATCAGGATCAGCTTTTGCAGAATTCATCACTGGGGCTTCTTCAATGGGCCTTGTGGCAGCCTCATACACTGGAGTTAGAGCATATGATCTGCAACATTATTGGACAATTATAATCTATGGATTCATAAATTGCACAAGGATACAGCAAAGCACATTTGCAAATCATTCATCAACATGAGTGAAAAACATTAATACACATAGCAAGTTTTTGTATTATGACCTTTTTTTTCAATAGGTATGCCCATATGCCATTCCAATGTCATGCATACATACTCATGCAGAAGTAATCACAGGTTAAAGTTAACAAAAAATGGTATCCAGAAAAATTAAGAGTTTATAACATGAGAACTATATTGGCAAATGCTAATACAGAGAGCAAGGAGTATGATATAATAGAGGAAGCAAACCAACACAGGCAATAAATAAGAGGGATCCAACAGACCTCAAAATGCTACCGTCAAAACTTAGGACTTCAGTTCGGCATCGTTGTCGATTGGCAAGTTTTAGTCTCTGATGCTCACTCAAGGCTCCCGCAATGGGAGAAGATGGGTCCACTAGGGGATTCCATCTTCCACTGGCATAGTTCATGAGTTGTCGAGTTGGCTCCTTTGATTGCTTTGATTGCTCTTTCTGGTACAGAAGTTTTGCAGCAGGACCTGTTGCCTGGTACTCTGTACAGACATCACGTAACCTTTTTCGCAAGCCTTGCATGGCCTCATGGTGTTCAGTAAGTGTATCTGATTGAAGCAATTCTGATGCAACAACCCTTTTACATATATTGTTGCTTAATTTTGGACTAAAAAGAGGAATCCCGAATTCCACACTTAGGGGGACCCATTCATATTTTTTATCATCAGGTGCAAAGTGGTCTGATTCTCTTTCACTGAAAAGCTTTAACAGGCGAATGTAACCAATAGTTGGCAATTCCATCTTGTTTGTTAGATTATTTAACAAAGAGTTTAGTTTCAAACTATCCTCTTCACAGAGACCGAGTTCATTCCCCACACAAACAATTGAACCATCTGAGTTGTTGAGGGGCAATGGTACATCCATAGTGATGACTCTTCCTGATTCATCAAGGTCATACCTACTGAGGGGCTGCACCAGAATGGCCGAGTATTTAAGAAGTGAATTTAAACAATGTAAAAGTATACTTCCCTTGACCAAATTGCCTTCAAACTTGCCTCCCAACCCTCCAATTGTTGAACCATCCCAAGACCATATAAGGGCTTTCTCACAACCAGCCAACGGTGCAGGAAGCATGCGTAAAGATTGCCCTTTCATCAAAACAACTGACAAAGGCCCACTACCCACAGTTGAATAAAGCACCAACTTCATCCATGGAGTCAAGGATGAATGCGAGGGAGGACCAAAATGAATAGGACCTTTTGGTCCAGGAAGAACTGCTGAATGAGGGAGAGGAACTATAGACACAACAATATCATAGTCACGAAGAAATAATGAATCTAAAGTTGATGGTGCCAGAGCAGCCAAACTTTCACAGCGGAGAATATCCACACGATAATCCCTTCTCTTCCTTAAAATTCCTTCTCCAACATCAGACCCTTCAACTGGAATAAGCTTTTCATCATTCTGGACATCTTGATCTGATTTGGTGACCTCACTTGACGAATTTATGTCTTCAGATAAAATAGCAGAAGTGGTGACAGCACCAGTACTTTGAGTAGCAAGGTCAGCCAAAACAAAACCAGCTTCAGGCTTACTTGACTTCACGGAATCATCAGTGTCATTTTTAACTTGACCAGTGGCAATATTTTCCGAATTTTCGAACAAAGCAACATCAGCTATCAAAGACGTAGCCTCGTCGATGCTTGAAGCTAGTGTGCCTGTCATATTGCAAACTTCCTCTACTTTTGCATCAGCAGCAACCCCACCTGATAGGAGGCATTCCAGGACACAACGGAGGCTAAATGCATGATTTGCGAATTCCTGCAATTCACCCTCGAACTTTGCTCCTTCTAAGGTACCCAGATCCTTGCAAAGATCTGCAATGCTAGCATGACCCAACTTCCCTGCTTCATATAGAGTTACAGCATGGGATTTCAAGCCTGCAAAACATATGAAGCAACCTTCGTGAATTGAAACAAACAAAAGAAGGAATATAACAATGTTGGAAAGATGTCATGGATGAAAAATCACACCAAGCGCTTTCACATCCAATAAACTAGTTATATTTCTGCTTGGGGAATAAAGTAACCATGATACAGGTCATGTTCATCTCTCCATTAGTACCACACTATGCTACAGTTTACCAATGTGCAATTAGCCAAAAGAATAATTGGATTGCATGCATGAATCAATTTTCTCCACAGTATAATGGAAAAGACAGAATGCAGTGTCTTGACTACCAAAATCCCAGTAGGTGGATTACAAAGAATAATATTCAAGTCTAACTAATTTCTCAGTCTAAAGGTTCTTCAGACTCTGGCAACATCAAATCATATAATGCTTTCCATAACTGTTTTATGATGGATAAGACTCTTCACAAGTTAACAACCAACTCTCAAACACATCTTAAAGAAAACTGAAATAAAAACTCTATGTCAGTAATCACTGTCTTCAGGCAATATTGTTTACACAAGACAATAAAATCAAAGATGGAAAATAACAGGCCTTGTCATACAAGGAGATGTATCTAGTGCCAATTCCAATCCAATAGACCTTAATAAACCAACACCAGGAAATCATCCATTGCAAAACGTTGTTAGGGTGATAATTTTCAATAAGAATGCTTATATTTACACAATAAACAATTTCCAAAATATTTGCCCGTATTTACATAACCCAGCAATGAAAGACAGATCAGGGTGATAACTGAAGGAAGAATGATGAAAGAAAAATCTTTTGAAAATATACATGGTCACTTCTGAAAAGATCCAAGAAGAAATTGACAATGGTCATCGTGGAGGTTTGCCAGAATTTTTGTATTTGCAAAATCCTAAATTACTCATACTGCCACTCCCTTGACATCAGATTCTATCACTTTCTCAATGAATGGCTGAGCCTATATAGTGATAATGTCTCAAACAAAAAGAAAAGGATATACTTCCTCATTCAAGAACACAGTTAACAGCTTGAGAGGCTCCACATTTCAGCTCCCCTTGAAACATTACTAACAATATTTACGAATCCTGCCTACATGGGTGGTACCTAATCTTATTCTCACTTACCTTCAGCAGGAAAAGATAACGGAGAAGAATATAGACAAAGGAGAAGAGAAGGACCTGGTGAAACAGATCCCATCATAAGATAAGATGTTATATTGGCATCAACAATAAAAGCAACACGAGTGTGGTTGGAACGTGGTCCATAATGTTCTGTCACCGTAAGATCTCCATGCTGACTAGAATCACTGTCACTGAACATGTTTGCTGAGCGTATACTAGAATGAACAGCATCTTCCTCATCAACAAGAGTGCTTTTAGGGGTCCCAGGTATGCTTGTTTCCTGAAGAATGGATCCTGGATCGATCAATTTCTCTGCCCATCCTAATCTACAAGCAAACGATGCAGCAGCCTGCAGCTGAGAAAGATCAGCCTGTAATGTTGATGCCAGTTCAGCAACAGTAGCATTCTCACTAGAAACAACAAAGACTGCATACAGTAACCTGGATAATAGAATTATAAGCATTAGGATCTCATTTTCTACCACTAGTAAATTGCAAAAAGGGCAAACATCCAACTGCCTTACTCTTCAGTAGGATCTTCGTAGGACTGCTCCCTGTTGGAAACAAACCCCTCAAGCCTGGAAACTGGACCATAAAAAATAATATCAACTCCAGAAATCAAACAGGATGAGTAATCTTTTAATGACTTACTCAAAATATTTAAAAATCACAAAAAGAATGGAAGTCAAACAATTTCCAAACTTAGTTTCAGGTTCCAAACAAAACAACAGGAAAAGCATGGTCAATAACGACTATATACCATTATTATGCATATTGCTCAACACAGCTAGAGGGGATCAATTGAGGAAACTGCTGGAATGAATATGTTGCAATCATGAAGGAAAAAAAAAGGATTTGACTGATATTCCAGGCAATTTAAACTTAGTCAACTTAGGGTTTTGAATTGTGAATTCTTTGTGCTACAACTGATGGGACGTAGACGATTTCAAATTTGGCAACTTATGGTTTTGATTTGCGGAGCACCTTCACTACATCAATGCAGTGGAGCATACTATGGTACTACAGGCTTTCGTATTACAAGTTTTTGTCTCTTTCTTCTTCTTTTTCCTTGTTTCCAGAAAGCTCCAGCAAGTTACTTTTCATCGTGGCATCAGCCATCTGTCACCAAAGTATGTCATTTTCCTACCACGTTCAACACACCTATTTTTCTTATATATGAATCTAAAATTCTCAACTTATACACATTGGGACATTGCAGTCTCATAGAAAATTACTCATAATCACTTAAAAGGCAGCAACACAACCAGAAACACACAATGTCCTTTGATAAGATGTGATCAAGGAAAATATAGGCATTTTGTTTTTGTATAGTCAATTCTCCTGTCAAGTTAAAGAAATCAAACCATAGGGTTCTTTTTTTTTATTTTTTTACGAAGGAGGAAAGAGGCACGTAACAGATAACTCTAAAGCATTCATCAAACAATGAGTATCAGAATGCAAAGAAATTCCAGACTGGGATAGTGTTTCATGAAGAAACGTGCATAGGTGCAAGAAGTCATAATAAATGACACAGAGATATTCAAACAAATCTACATGAGCCGGAAATGAATTCAAATAGACTTTCTAGTAAAGAAGAACAAAATTAATGCTTTAAACAAACAGGAGAGCATGGATAAACCTATTGAGCTATTTTGCAACCCTTAAAATAAAATGACCTTTAAAACGATCGTCTGGGTAGACGGGGACATCAAAGTAAATTAATCCTCGTCGGTACAGGCCTTTTACAACGTCAGGATCAAAGAGGATAAATGCATTAACTTCCTCCTTGCAAACCTTATCAATTGTTGCCATCTCTTCTTCAGAAAGTTTCTGAAACGTCAGGAAAAGAGATTAGTTGTCATCAGCAGCACAAGGCTTGACTGTTGAGCAACCAAATGCAGGCAAGGCTTCTAAAGGAAACCTAGGTACATCTGGTTGGTGAGTATAAAGTGTCTGAATTGTGCCCAAAAAAAAAAACAAAAGAAAGCGAAGAAGTGACTTTGTGCAAGAACTTTTCAGATTCAAAAGGATCTCACCTTAAATTCTTCCAAGGTAAAATTGACAAGACACACTCCCCACCATGGTTCAATTACAAAGTCCACAGGTTGTGTGGGTAAAAGTTCTTTCGCAATTGACTTGTTCAGCTTCCACATAATTTTCTGAATAGCTCCAAACGAGTAAACGATGAGTAAGAAAACAATTTGTACTCCATTAAAATTATGATATGGAAAGGTTAAATTTTTTTTTTTTTTTTTAACCCACACATCCATGGCTCCTAGCAGAACTAGTCCATTAGGATTTGAACCCGGTGACCTCTTGTTGCAAGAGATCACTACCACTGGACTACAAGCTTTTTGGTTGATATGGAAAGATTAACAATGAGCTCAATCAAACATACATCCATGTGAATCTCCACACATACAAGCAAGCCAGTGTGGTACCTTAGATCTGCATTTGTTCATGATATCAATGAATTCATTTCTTCCTATTCCTGTAAGACGCAAGGCGTCTGCTGCACTAAAATTTGGGATGCTGTCATATGGTTGTTCTGCAAACAAAGGAATTGATATGTTAAGTCTCATCAACTATAAGCTATAATGGCTACATAATTGAGCAGCCCATTCAGTTTCGATAGAAGAAATAGCTTCTTACCATTTCTCATGACCTCGAATATCATATCACAGTAGTATCTGAAAGGTGATAACCGCATCACACGGCAAACATATTCTGCAAGGTGATAGGGAAATAGCTGCAAGCAATGAAGTCAATGAGTAATCTACATGGATCATTTGGAAAACATAAAGGCTATAATACTTCCTCTACAAGATGATGAGAGTGATGATTATATTGGAATCCAAAACATGAAATTCAGTTTAGAGCAACATTACACAAGTAGGATATTAGAAGCACGAAAACTATTCTAAATGGTGCAGCACATATCCATGTGGTGAAAATACTAAAAGTTTCTATACATCACGTACCGCCAGATTCTTTCGCAAGTAGCGCATCATGTCTTCATAATATTCACCTTCTTTGCATACTTTCCGAGCAAAACATGTATTCCATTGGAGTCTTTTCTTAATAGAATGTTCAACTACCCTGCATGCAGTCACCGCGCAACCAAAATAGATGGGAAAATGTGAAGGGGAAAAAAATCTAAGGGGAGAAGAGGAGGGAAGTAAAAGTAAAAACCCAATTTAAGCCCGCCCACAAAATTAGAGCTCCAAATATCAGTTCCAAGCACTACAAAACAACTCTTCTGTTCTCAAATCTAAAAGTTCCAGAGCAAATAAAAAGGACTTGAAAATTGTTAAAGGAAACCAACTCAGTCCAACCTTCTGTGCCATTCCTCTTTAGAATTAATAGTAGCTTGAAGTCTTTTTGGGAGATTCTCCCATGGGCATTCCTCCTTTATCGCTTTCAAAACCAGCTGCTCCTCAATTGTCACCGGAGCGCGCTGCATAATGCCAAATCACTTGATCTGATCCCTGCAAATTAAAATTACAAGAAATGCCACATAAATCACACTCGTCAAGCATACAAGACAAGATAGAGCTGAATATACAAATGCAAACAGGCAAACAAACAAATTCGATATGCGCAATTCTTACTTGGAAGAAAGAAGCTACGTTTATTAATGCAGTCGAACGACAAGCAAACAAATTAGATTAATTTTAGATCAACACAAGTCAACATGTCTAAATTTTTGTAGGCATTTGAATTTAACTACAAAATGGCAAAATTAGTCAATTTTTTCTAGGTTGAACAATTCAGAGAAAGAGAGTCTGGAAATCTAGCGTGTGGCCATGAGTGAATAGTTTTGTGGATCAAATAACCAAAACCTGAAAAGAAGAACGAAAGAGAGTGGAGGGTAGGTACCCGATATCGATGGCGATCGTAATTAGGGTTTTAACAGCGTGAGAGATCTAAGGAATTAAGAATTGAAATGTTGAAGTTGAAAATTGACAAAGTAGCATGGCTAGCTGTTCCTGTATCCATAATGAATGTCTTGTGCTGTGACAGGCGTGGCTGACCCGTTTCATTATTTATTTTCAGGACGTTAGATTCGACCCGCTCTAATCCTATTTTACTTAAGCTAATGATACATTAGTCTCTATATTATAGTAAAAAAATTTATCAACCCTTTAGTTTCGTGTTTGACTTTCAAATACTTGATTAGAAAATCTTTGTAATTACATACACTAAATTTTCATTACCTCTTTGGTTCCTCTATTATAGCTAGGGTTTTAAATAAGTCTGACTATCTTCATATTCAATATTGATTTATGCAAATTTAATTGAGTTAAAACTAAATTCAAGTATATATTGAGATTCAAAATAGTATTCAACCTTCATTTATTAACTTTTCAGATCAAACTCGAGTTTGTTCACCAAAAAAAAAAAAAAAAATCTTATAAATGTGAGTATTTTAAATATAGTAATTGTTTGAAAACTGATTCTTTTTATCTCAAAACTATGTGTTAGGTTTATTTGAGTGTATAAACCACTTAGTACATTATTTTAACTATTTTTATAGATACTTTGTTTTTATTATAGAATAAAATATATTTTTAAGAAAATGAAAATTATTTGAGAACATATTTATATTTATGAATGTTTTGAGCTTAGCAATAAATGATTTAAGTTTGCTCACGAAAATATTCAAATTTTAAAACTATAATTAAACTTCATTCGTTTATTTGACAATTAAGTTATCAATATATTTATCAAGTCTGTCCTAAATCATTCTAGCAGTCTGATTCGTTTTGTATTCCTAATTGCAGTCATTCAGCTTAATTAAGTCTTGAAAGTGCTCTTTCAAAAAATTTACCCCATTTGAATGATGTAAGCTCAGACTATATTTTTAGCATTAGATTGCTTTTTATTTCTTCAAAAAAAAAAAAAAAACTCGAGCATTAGATCGGGCCCTGGCCTAATTCAAAAACATTTCCGAAACCCCAGCTTGCAAAGAATTAGATGGGCTCTACCTCTAGACGGCCCATCATCTCAACGTTTTCTTACCTAAAATGTTTCGCACCTCATTGGCCCCACATTCTCTTAGGTAAAATGGAAACAAAACAGAACAAAAGACCGCGTACCGGCACAGCCGCCGGGGAAGACTGGGCATTGCCCTTTGGTGCAGAACATTAGGGCACTATATCAAGCTCCTTTTTCCTCAGCAACACTTTCACTTCCTCTCCTCCCTGTAAGCTGCTTTGAATCATTGTTTTCCATTTTCTCCCTGTTAAATCTGCAGAGTAATAATACAGAGGACGTTCTTTCAATGGCGCTTCGTTTCGAGGTACAACTCTAATTTTCATGTGTCAGCTTTCCTTTGATTTCTACTTTATTTATAACACACCATCACAATGTGAATGCACTAGTGCTTTACCAAGCTTGAAGGAATAAGTCTCCCTTGTTGTTATTTACTGTTTATTATTATTATTATTATTATTATTATATGGAAGAATACATTATGCTTTTCAATGTAACTTAAAATTGATCAAGAATGCAAACCAGATATGAAGAGAGAAAGTTTCGCGGGGAAAGATGTTTGTGTTGAGCTGTGCATATATTATGTGCTCTCTTTTTTTCATTTTTCCTTTTTTTTTTTGGTTAAGTTAGAATAACTGTTTATTATTTTACTCTCAGGGTGGAATTTGATTGTTCGGTTTTATATTTATTTTGTATTCTGCTCTTTTTTTAGATTCTTGGGAGGTTTAATCGTGCTCGTGCTGCTCGATTGACGCTTCCCCACTTTGTATGCCAGACTCCTCTGTTTATGCCTGTAGGCACACAAGGTTAGACTTCTTTCATTTATCTTTTCTGTTCTGCTTTTGTCTTAATTACATGGCAGTTACTATGCATTGGTGGTCTACCTGGTTGCAGGGACAATTAAAGGTTTGACCACTAACCAGCTTGAAGAGATTGGCTGTCAAATAATTCTTGGAAATACATATCATTTGGCCCTCCGTCCTACATCTGAGCTTATTGATGAATTAGGGGGTCTTCATAAATTTATGAACTGGCCTAGAGCTTTGCTTACTGACTCCGGTGGCTTCCAAATGGTTTGTCTATTGATTACAAGACCACCATATTGTTTAGAATTTGAGTAATTGTTTTGTTATTGTATCTGCCATACAGTAGACCATACATGAGCTTAGGATTTTTACATCAGAAAATATTTACCTCAGATTTCCAACTGGAGTACATCTGATTCATGTTATTAAGTTGTAGCTTTTTGGTGCTCGCTCCTTTATCTATTGGTTTAGTGCAATAGTTTTCTGGCTTAACTAACATGTATGAGCCAAGCTAACTAATTTGCATTCTACTCATTTTCAGGTATCATTATTACATTTAGCAGATATTACTGAAAAAGGTGTTACGTTTCAGGTACTCGTTATTTGATAAAATAAGTGAAGTTTGGTTAATCTGGTTTGTGTTTATTTGCTTGCTGAAATATTCGTAATGATGATCACTCACCACAGATTGTGTTTAAGGATCAAACCGATTGTTTTTGCCCTTTATGCAGATAATATGCTTAATTGGTGAAATTTATAGTTTAAGATTGCAAATGTGGTTGTGCCATTATATATATAAGAATTATTAGCTTATGTGGTCAAACATTTGGTATAATAATTTCTAATATGCGAAACACTCTCTTGGTGCACATTGAGAGTTGATCTTCTGCATCTAGGCATACCCTCCTCCCTGTTCTGATATCTGTCCCATCTTGTATTACCTACTCATATTGTTGTCCAAAATATAAACGTGAATAATTAATTTGATAAACAGTTCCTTTTTCTTTTTTCTTTTTTCATTTTCCACCGTTTGCTATTGTTGCTCTTATTCTATACAAGAACTGGAATACACTGCTGTTTTGGTATTGTTGTAACTAAGGCTTCATTTTCTTAGCTCAGTCGCCAGTTGATGGAAAGCCTATGCTTCTAACACCTGAGGAATCGATTCAAATCCAAGTAAGCACTCTTCTATTTATTTTTTCCTCATGCTCCCATTTGTTAAATATCATTCAATTGATTTCTAAGTTTTTCAGTCCCCCAACTTATGCATCTTTTATGTTTTTTATTTTTTATTTTTTTCAGAACAGAATTGGAGCAGATATTATTATGGCTCTTGATGATGTAGTAAAAACCACCATTACTGGTCCACGGATTGAGGAGGCCATGTATCGCACTCTCCGATGGATAGACAGATGTATCGCAGGTAATTTTATTTACTGCTAGATGCCACTAAAAAAATTTGGACACAAACTAAATGGAGTCAAATATCTAATTTGGTATCTCATTCACAAAAGCTTAAACTAAACATTGTTTGCAATACATGTATGACCAGCCTAGGGTTGTTTAGTTGGAAGATTGTCAGCCTTATTGTAGCTTCAAGGTTAGTTTGACTAGTTAAAAATGCTCTTTTTGAATGGTCAATTTAACAATTGAGTTTATTAGATCATAGTTCCAAGTCCTTTGGTTGGTAGAATTGAACCTGAGATTTAAACAGCCCCATTCCCCCTCTAAAATTTGATTTAAAGCCCAAAGGCCTCCAGATTAATGGATATTTATTGACTTGCACATCTTTTCCTGAATGCACTGTCTTCCACTTGTAACTTGCGGATTATCTCCATCAACCATGCCCTTTTTTTTTTTTTTTTGGCTGTCTCACTATTGATGGTTTTGGTCGATTTACTGTTCCACATTGGTTTCTGCAAACAGCTCACAAGAGGCCGAATGAGCAAAATTTATTTGGCATTGTTCAAGGTGGTCTGGATCCTGTACTAAGGTGAATTTAGTTAAACTGCACTCTTCTGCTGTTACCTTATTGCTTGATGCGCTACTTATTCTCTTCTGTTTTTTGCTTCTGGTATTACTTACTGTTGTCTGTCTAACCAAATAATCAGGGATGTATGTGTTAGACACTTGGTGGAGAGGAATTTACCTGGGTATGTTCATTCATTCTTTTGTAGGAGTTAATTCAGTTGTTAAAGATCATGTGGACAGTATTACTGATTTATTTATCTTCATCCATTTTGGGCCTTCCTTTTTATTGCTACTGCCCTTGAGCTTGATCGGTGATTTGAACCATTAAATTTGTTTATGGCACATGGCTAAACAAATTTCAAGTGATCCCTTTGTAGATTGCTTTGCGGAAAAAGTAAAGCCAGGCGATTAGATGAAATGTCGTTTTCGAAAGTCAAACAACACAGCTTTATATGTCGAGTTTTATCCGCTACTACTTGTTACATTAAGTAGCACCATTTTACAGACTCAGGTCTTAAGTTTTAAATGTAGTTACGTGTCATTTTCAAATTCATCTCATTCTCTAATCATAGAATACAAAGTCATGCCCTTTTAAATCCTGCACGTATAGCATATCTTTCTTTGAGATAGTGCAGCGTATTGTTTGTTCAGTCTTAGGTTCTTCATGAACTTTCTTTTTACTGTTCTTATTTAACTTCAATTTATGTTCTGAGATTGTTTTGTTGTGATCAAGCAGCCAGATTAACTGAGTTTGCTTCTGCGATAGCTATGCTATCGGTGGTCTTGCAGGCGGTGAAGATAAAGATTCATTTTGGCGAGTTGTTGCTCTGTGTACTGCTTTGTTGCCTGAAGATAAACCACGATATGTGATGGTAAAAACAACAGTTATCTTTTTAACCTACATTATCTAAACTTGGTTTGATTGAGGAATTGTTAGCTGCTTTGCTTTTCTAATTTGTCTTTCATTGCTGCACCATATTTCAGGGTGTTGGTTATCCACTGGACATTGTTGTTTGTAGTGCTTTAGGTGCTGACATGTATGACTGTGTTTATCCCACTCGTACTGCTCGTTTTGGCACAGCTCTTGTACCAGAGGTGATGTTTTCTTCTTTTATTTTTCTTAAAATATGTGAAATAAACATCGAAAACACTGAAGAAAATCTTCACATTGTTCAAGTTGTTGCTGCCTTCATGTACTTTAACCATATATTTTTATGAACTTATTTGTTATCGTCTCCTACTTTAACCAAATAGTATTTTCTATTTTTATTTGGAACTAAATTTTCCTGTCTTTCAGTTATACACAGTTTGTGATAACCTAATTTTGGCTTCCAATTTTCCTAACAAAATTTTTGAAGAAAAAAATCAAAATAAAAAATCCAAAATAAAAATATATATAAAAAAAAATTACTTGCTGCCTAATTTCTATCATTTTTCTGTAATTTTTAAGCAGTTTTATAAACTTTTAGGATTTTAGGATATGCTAGTACTTTTATTCCTGTAAAAAAAAAAAAAAAAAAAGCTAATGACACAAAAATAGTAATAAAAAAAAAGAAGAAAAAGAAAAAGAAAAAAATAAAAAGAAATTGAGAAAGCCAGGAGAAAAAAATAAAACAAAAAAAATGTCACAAGAAAAACCCTTGGAGTCAGGGTAAAATGGAAAGAAATAAAGAAAAGGACTGGTGAAGGAATTGAAAAGACACAGGGTAAATTTTTAACCTATATTCTTCCAAATTCTCTTGTTTCAGTTTGACCTTGGTAGTAAATTTTGTTTAACCTAGTTTTTTTTAACAAATTTATGCTGTATCTATGCACTCTGCATGCTTTGGAGTCATGTGTGTCTAATATCTTGCAGCTTTTTAAGCTATATTTGCTTGACTAGGAAATGACTTCGTTTTACCACATTACGAACTTTTAATAAAATACTACTATGGACTTACTTTAACGAGTTTTGCATTAAATGTCTGTTGTAATCCATTCAAAACTAACCTCGTTTAATTGAAGTTTCTGACATCCAAGTACTTCATGCAGGGAGTGCTGAAACTTAAACACAAAGCAATGGCTGAGGATACTCGTCCCATTGATCCAACATGTGCTTGCATGGTATTTGAGTCATGGAACACTCATATTCTTGAGCTATTAGATTATTTAATTTATGTTACAGTATAATCTGCATTATTATTTGTCTTCCCCTGCAGGTTTGTAAGAATTATACTAGGGCATACATTCATTGTCTTGTTACAAAAGATGCTATGGGATCACAGCTTCTGTCATATCACAATCTGTATTACATGATGCAGGTATAAAAAAATAATAATAATAGCTTCTTTCCGTGAGCTTTGTTCTATCTTGTATGGGAGAGTAAAATACCTTTAAAATTGCAGCTTAGCAGAGATCTACACTTCTCGATCATTGAGGGAAGATTTCCAGAGTATGTGTGCCTTTTACCATCCGACAGCTAAAAAAATTATTATTTCATTATTTTAATTGAGGAATTACTTCATGCTGTGCAGTGTGCTATGGATTTGACTTTCAGTTCTATCTGTTTGATGCAAACTGATTTTTCTACTCTGCCTTCTATCTTTGCAGTTTTGTCCGTGGGTTCCTGCAGAAAATGGTAAATGTTGTGTCTGTTTGTGTGTTTGTGTGCCCATGCATGTGCTTGTTCCAACAAAGAGTGAGGGATTGGTTGATAACTTTTAGCTGCACATTAGTGATAAAATGTCTCTCTATCGTGTCCATCTCATATAAAATGAGTAGATATTGGATACATGTGATTTTGCTTTTGAAAATTTCTGGTCGAGTTGATTAAGATAGTCTCTGTTTTTGTCACTTTTATACTTTGGTTTCTTATTTTTTGGAAGAGGTGAATACGCAATAGCCATCCTTGATGACCTATTATTTGTTTTCCTTTTCTTCACTTGATATCATCTGCTGTTTGATGTACCATGCTAGTTTTTAACATATGCAATTGTCAAAGCTACGATTTTGGGCTCTGGTTCTGCTGTTAGAGTAGAGGGAGCAGGTCATAAGTACATAACATGCAGAGGAAAGTGATTGAAGATGCAGCATGAAATATATTACTGTACGATCTTTACTCCTTGTATGATTGTTGTCTTGTAGTTTCCTAAAGGTGATGTCCCTGAATGGGTCTGCAATGCCATGGAGGTTGCCGGAATCAAAATCTCATCCTGCTGTGCTTCATTCTCTTCCTCCCCTGATTTAGAATTAGAAAAGGATGCACCAACCAAGAAATTTGATGATGATGAGGTAGCATTTGACAGTAATTAACGACCAAACAAGAAATTTGATGATGATATGAGCTTTGATGAGGGATTTGACAAATTATTTTCCTAATGAGACATCAACATTAATTTATATAGGTGAAAACACGGCAGTGTAAATTTTGTATCTCGTACACTGCTCCCTTATAAACGACCCCCGTTTAGGAGATCTTTTAATTTTCTCTATTTCTGTTTTGTCGATCAATTGATTTTTCGCTATACACGTTGCAAATTTGTAATACAATCTTGCTCTCATTTTATGTTTTTAAAATGTGTTGTACTGTTTGATATGGATGGATTTGCAGATGTCTTTACCATTTGCTGTAGATTTAATTAGCTGGTTGTACATATTATGCTGTGGATCAGGCAAATTATATGAAATTATGGTTTATGTTAAAAATCTATTTTAAAAAAAAAAAAAAAACCTAACTTTATTATTTTTTAATCAAAATTTTGTAATTAATTAATTTGTTTATATTTATTTTAATAGATTTTTTTCTTAAAAAAAAAACATGATTAGTTTTTTCTCTTCATATGGATTCTCAAATAAAAATTTATAATAATCTAAATCATAGGTTTCAATTAATTAAAAATTAAAAAAACAACATGCAAATTTAATTATTTTATCATAAGATTGTATTGAAAAAAAATAAAGTAATAATTAATGTAAAAAAAGCATAAAATTTTAAAAATAATTGTTCTTGTTGAATATCTGTGAGAAGATTAATTATTCTTTTCAGCTCAATAGAATACAAGGGGATGTATACACATAAAAATGTTTATCTTGCCGTTTATTATTGGCTATTAATTAGATTCGAATATGAAAAAGAACTCGTGGCAAATAGGTCGTTATTTTTTCCCCCGTCTTAACAAAACTTATTTGCTTTACTATAAGATAAAGAGATGTAATAAGTGTGGGAGAAATGTGTAGCCTTCTTAACATAAAAAACTCGTGGGCTTGACTGCCAACAAGTCGCCAAATTGACAGGCGTCGCCGCGTCGGATCTTCAATTAACTGTTACTAACAAGGTCGGTGCCAAAAAGAATTGACGGCCAATATCAACGGCTCTGCTAGGACGGTACGATCCGTCTCCAAGAAATTCAACGATGAAGAGTGGCATAGAAAGTCGAGTAGCTTTGTCTCTAGCGTTTCTGTTCCTGTCCCCGCTCCTTTGGTTGCGTCTTCTGGGGGCCCCGACCAAATCTAAGGGGAAAATGGGTAAAGCAGCAAAACACGAGATAGTCGTGGCTTTGTTTTATGCAGCCTTTTGATAAATCTCGAAGCGGGACCAGCTTACGCAGCAGCGGCAGCCTCAGAGTGGTTGTCATATAAGGTACTCTTCCAAATGAGATTATGATGATTATCCTAGCTAGCAGTATAAAAAAGAATTAATAACTGACCAATTGAAAATACCATGACTTGAATTTACCCTTAACTGGGGAAGAAGAATAATTGCCCAAATTGCTACATTTGGAAGTTTGAGTGCATCACGTTATACACTGAAAAAGGTGATGGATGGAATATATGTAGTGTAGGTATGTTAGAGATAGATGCAACGTTGTGGCATGTGCTCCACAAAAGCTATTATTAGACTTGATAATAGCTAATCTTTTAGACTTCCTTAAAGATACTCATAGTTTGTGGGCCCATATCAACTGAAAATTCAAAAGCAATTCATCAACCAGACACGGATAGTTGTGGGGCGACACTATCCTCAACAGCCCTCTATACTCTCTATGAATTCTTGCCATGCAAACCAGCAACTGCATTTTATAGAGAAGTTTCAGGGAACTAGACGTAAAGAGCGATCTTCAGATTTCTTTGGGCAAAAGTTTGCCACGTGGTTAGTTTATATCTAAGTCTTGGTTGAATGACTTTTCTGTATCAGTTCAGACTTCTCTCTGAACTGCAGCAGCAGGATGCATTCATCAATTTCCAATGTTAGATATGTTCAAAATAATCTAAATGTACAAAAGCTGTTTTACTTTCACATACGATTAACTACTGGAAACAACTCGATTTCAAATCATAACTTCCGGTTTCTTTTTCTTTCGTTATATACTAGCATATATCCCGCGTATAATTGTGGGATGAATTATATATCATTTTTATGTATTTATTACTATAAAATGTAATATTTATAAATCATTATTTGACAATATTATATGAAAATAATTAAAACATATATTTCATAATTTGTTATAGGATTAGATAATGAAAAATCTATAAAGTTGAGTAATATAATATTGCTAATTAGATATTTTTTTATATAAACATGTATTTTATTAATAGCTGATAATTAAAATAATAATGTGATAGTTTTTTGAATATTTGATGATTAATTTTTTACCATATATTATTCATTTGTAATTTATTAATGAGATAGAAAGATCATTCAAAACAAAAAGATAAAAAAACTCTATCAAATCGAGAACTTGCCAAAGAAAATAAAAATAAAATTACACATGATAAAAATTAAATGATTAAAACAAAGTAAAGATTATAAAATCATAAAAATAAATAAATAAAACTTTCACTAAAAACATACAAAAAATACTTATAAATAATAAGTCTAAAAAAATTTCATTATGCATAAGGCATGAACAAAAGTAAACATTATAGAATTTTAATGACTAAAATAAAAAAAATTAATAACATAAGAATCAAAACAAAAAAAATTTCACTAAAAAAAAAAACCTTAAGATAGTTAAAATATATTTAATTTTAATGCAAAATGATTAATAATTAAATATAATAAAAGTTTAATGATAAAAAAAATGAAAGATCATAAAACAAAAGCCAAAATATAACAAAAAGTTTTATTAAAAGTAAAAAATAGTTCATTGTAGGAAAAAAATTTTAATTGTCAAAATAAAAAACAATTACAAAAAAAAGACTAAAAAGAAAATTTACTAAATTTAATGACGAAAAGAAAGAAAAAATAACAAAAAAGAATTTAGAATAGAAAGAAAATTTCAGTAAAAAAAAAACCTTAGGATAGTAAAAATTATTTAGTTTTAGCATAGTAAGGATAAAAATTAAATATGAGAAAATTTTCATAACTAAAATAAAAACATATTAAAAAACAGAAAAAAACATAAATTTTTACTAAAAGATAAAAAAAAATTGATTATAAGGATTAAAATCACATATAATAAAATTTTAATATTTTTGATATGGATAAAATTCAAAGATCGGAAAAGTTGAAAGAGCAAAATTAAAAAAATAAATAAATAATAAAAAAAGAATAAAGGGACCAAGATAAATAACAATTTCCTAAGCCGAAACGGAAGGAAAAAGAAAAAAGAAAAGAAAAAAAATAGCCGGGCTTATGCGTCAAGCTCAGGCTGAGCGGCTCGAGCCTACGAGTTAGGCACGGGCTGATGCGGAAAAAAAAAAAAAAACAAGGGTTGCAACTTCCGCCGATCGAGGTCGTCGGAATCTTCATCGAAAAGTCGGAGTTCAAGTTTCAAACCCCTATAAATTGAATTTCAGTATCATTTTTTTCCACAAACACCTCTAAATGATCGAATAAAGCCAATAAACATATCTAAAACCTTAAAAATAATTTTAATGCATAGAAATACAAAAACAAATTACACAATCAAATAGGAACTTTGTTTCCTTTTTTTGGCTCCAATCTACCTCTTCTAATGGTTTAATGGCTTGCAACAACCATGGACAAACTCATCTCTCAAAAATAAATAAATCTAATAGATTTTCACCGGTCAAAACGGCCTAAATAAGCTTGGCCGATGATTTTCTCGCTCCTCCCTTCTCTCTCATCCGAGAGACCAAAATGGATGAGCAAATGAAGATATGGACCGAAAGAGTAGTTGGCAAAGATCGGGGACCAAAGTGTAAAAAAATCAATGAATAGTGAATTGTGAGTGTGTGAACAATGTTTGGAACGAGTAAATCAACGTTTTGTTTTAGTTTATTTAGTTAATATGTAATCAAGACAAGGTTTTCTTTAATTTTTACTTTTGTTTTCCTTATACATCTTCGGTGGATAATCAAGCTGTGAGACATTCATTTGAACATTCAAAATATTCTTCAACGAGTCCTCAAAGTTGCGTCACGGTGAAAACGATACCGTCAAAGAAAACACATTTTTCTTCTAAGCTGAAAACTAGCTAACATAAGCCTCATTGAATAGCAAGATCTATTATGGTGTTTTTCCTCTTAAATTGATGTGTCGTGTTGTCATTTGATTTGTGGATAGCGAGAAAATATCGGTTCTTTGCTACGTCAAAAATATTGATCGTAACAATTGCAATTTGGGTTGTAATGTATCGCATCTTAATCCAAATTTGATTAGAATTTGATATAATTAAATGAATATGATGAATAATTTTTTTTTATCCGAGTTCAATTATAATTTGAATATGTTAACTCATTTATTAAATAGATTAAATCCGAATTTATCTTGATACGATCCAATAATAATCGATTTAAAATTAAAAATAATATATATATATATATATATATATATATATATATATATATATATATATATATATATATATATATATATATATATACGTGTGTGTGTGTGTGTGTTGAAAATTAGATTTTATTTATTATAAAATTCAAATAAGGCATATTCTTTTTAAATTTCTTGTTATTTTCTTGATTCAATTTCGTGATAAATTGACACACACACACACACACACACACACACACACACACATATATATATATATATATATATATTAATAAATTGTGTTATTATATTTTTTATCATTCTATTTTTGCTATAAAAATAACAAAAAAAAAGAGAGTAAGAAAAAAAAGACTAGAAGAAAAAATTAATTGATTGGAATCAAAGCAAAATCGAAGAGAATAAAAAAAGAGATATGATAAAAAGAAAAAAGAAAATCAATGCAATTTGGAGAAGATTAGTGCAATTGAAGTTCTTTTTCTAAATAAATTTGGAAAAAAGAAAAAAATTTCTGATTCGAAAATACTCTTGAGTATCTTGAGCATAACTTCATGTATGCGAGTTCAATTCATACAATTCTCGTGGCAAATTAAAGTTAAAAGATAATGTTATAATTTATTGTTTTAAGCTCGGTTCATATCGACTTGCATGTTAGAAAAATTTCAATAAAAGAGTAGATTTATTGACTATCATGGCATCTTTACTTTCGGATGTTGTGAAAGCAATAATAACTACAAATGATTGGCTTTCAAATTGAAATGGAAAAACATATAGTATTTCATTAACTTACCTCATTACATCTCTACTCTTTATGCATTAACAAATTATTAAAAATATATGATAATATAAGTAGATTTTATTTTTTATTGCAAAAACATATATTTATTATTTATTATTTATAGTTTTATCATACTTCCTATTTAATTAAGATAAACTTTTATTATGATTATTTAATTTTATACTTTTGAGTTGTGCATCATTTTAAACTTTTTACAAAATCAATAAATAAAATATTATCTTAATATGTTATATAATACAAGTAATAGTTAAAATATATTTATATTCAAATAATATATTAAATATACTAAATAATATATTAAATATACTAAGTACAAATTTTTTACAAAAAATCAAGTGATAAAGTTGATGGAGTTAGAATCTGATTTAGATCCAAATTTATACTTTTAAAACTCAATTGGAATATATTAATTTCATTCCGATTTATTTCATTAAACAAATTAGATGCTGATGTACTAAAATCCCATCCAAGTCCAACTCATAACAACCCCGCATCTTTAGGTATTGCTTGCTAATTGACACGACAATAATAAGGGCATCGAAGAAAATAATGGCAGGATTTCTTGAAGAACTTAAGACAGCAGCAGTAACGTCTTAACCTCGTTGCTTTAGCGATTAGCATCCAATCCTGAAAATAATTTATCTGATTGGGATTGGTCTGTCCCTTTTAAGTCCCTGGTGATGAAACGTCGAACAGCACAAAATTCCCAGCTTTCTCAAGATCCCCTTGTTTTTTCCCCCAATGTTCTTCACTCTGTCAATTTCCTAAAACTACATGCACAAACCTGCAGTGTCATTGATTTTTGTGGCCGTTGTGTACATCACCCATGGAGTTGCTTAGAGATGGGCGGTGTTTATTTTATAAGAATGAAGAAAAGCTACCTTGGCTTCTATGTTGTTTTTTTTAAAAAAATCTTATTTTCTTGCAACTTAAAAAAAAAAGCATGGAAAAGAACCTTAGTTCAGGGCTTCTCTCTTGAATTCTGTAGGAAGATGAAAGTGTTTTGCCTGACCCAAGACGGTATAGGATCATAATAATAGATGGATAGATTAAAAGGAATAGTATATATTTGAGCAAATTCCCATATTCTCCTTGCTATCCACCCAAATTTAATCATAATTTCACATTTTCATGCAACGTAATCTAAAAAAAAAAAAAACTAAGAAAGAAAGAAAGAAAGAGCATGGATTTTGGACAAGAACATTAGTTTATGGCTTCTCTCTTGCGTTCTGTAGGAAGAAGAGTGTGTTTTGCCCTAACCCAAAACTGTAGCTTGGATCATAGTAATAGATAGATAGGTAAGATTTGAAAAAAAAAAAAAGAAAAAAAAGTACTATAGTTCAACATATTCCCTATTCCCCTTGTTATTCCATCCACCCAATTTTTCTCTTATCATAATATTTACCGAAAAACAGTGGTATCATAATAATTGGCACATGGCTTTGGAGATTTTTGCTTAGTGATGTGTTAATCGGGACATAAAAATAAAAGGAAAAGGGTAATGACACCTAAACCGATTTTGCTATGCGGAGGTCGCACTATAATCCTTTCCATTAATTTGGTTTAGCTACAAATTAATTATATTATTACATAAATAATACTGCTACTACTAAATCCTACAAGTTGCAGCAATTACAGGGGATGTGACAACACTAAAAAAAAAACAATTAAAAGATGATTTTGTGTCGATTTCAAATCTCATTCACAGCTCACAAAGTTAAAAGCTGCATAACCTGTATATAACAAGTGTGAGTGGCGAAGCAGGTTCACTGCCTCTTGGAGTTTACATTTCTCTTTTTCCTTAACATGATTAGACAATGATTAGCTAGAGGAGGAGTGTATTTTAATAACTGTTCTTCTTTCCTGAGTTTCGTCTACTTGTTCAAAAGCTTCTATTTTTCTCGGGTTAGGCTACAGTGTTCTCCTTTTCGTCTTCCTTTTAAGAGCTTCGAGATTGAGTAAAACTAGTGATACTTGAGGAGGGACATCCTTTCTACTTGAGCTAATTTTCTGCTCTGTCTCTTTCTTGCTATGAAGCGGTTCAATTCCTCAGAATCCTTGGCTGCTTTCATCTCCATTTCTTCTTCGGAAGGTAAACAAAACTCCACACCAGGTCAATAAACCTGTTTTATTCAAGCATGTGCCCACATGATCAAGTGTTTTTAAATTTTTTTTTTCTGGGCTACCAAACAATGTCTGGGTTTTGTATGACTTTCGAGTTCTTTTTTTCTCTCTGTTTGTCCTGTTAATATTACTAACATCTACTCTTTTTAACCTCGTTAATCCAGAAGAGAGGACTCAAAAGGGTAACCATGGATACAGTAGAGATTTTCAAGCAATGCTAGATAGTCTTGAAGAAGAAGACTACAATGAGGAACCCAACCATGTAAGTGAGAAGAAACGCAGGTTAACCTTGCATCAAGTTAAGGCATTGGAAAAGAATTTTGAGGTCGAAAACAAGCTCGAGCCAGAGAGAAAGCTGAAATTAGCTGAAGAATTAGGCCTGCAACCACGACAAGTGGCTATTTGGTTCCAAAACCGTCGTGCCCGTTGGAAGACTAAGCAATTGGAGAGAGATTATGGCACCCTCAAGGCCAATTATGAAGCTCTAAAACTTGATTACAGTAATCTTGAACAGAAGAATGAAGCCTTAGCACAAAAGGTATTGCCTCTTACATTTGTTAATACGCTGAGTTGGGTACATGTATTTTGAATAAACTTTTTAGCTCTTAATTACCCACTTTGTACTTGAAATTTAGGTAAAAGAATTGAAAGCAAAGCTCGGTGAAGGTAAGGTTGATAGCAGCCACTCTGTTAAAGAAGAGTACCATGTTTCAGAGTCGGACAACAATGCCTCGGTGCACAGTAAGAACCATGATTTCAGTGAAAATAATAATTCAAGTGCAATCACCAAAGACCACAGCAATGTTTCCTCTTCACATGGATTGATGAACTGGTTTCAGTTATCTGATTCAAGAGCTATTTTGGGAAATAGGTATCAAGTATATCAACCCCATCTCATGAAATTAGAAGAACAGAGTTTGTTTAGCACTGAGGATTCATGCAATTTCTTTTCAGTTGATCAAGCTCCCACACTTCATTGTTATTTTCCTGAGCAGTAAATCTAGTGTGATTCTAAAAAGTTCCACGTCTTGGAAAGAAATAAGTTGCTTTTGGAGATTATTATTGTTTAGGACTTCATTTTTATGTTCCTCTATATTGCAACAAAACAGAAGCTAAACACCTTCAACCATGACGGGAACAGTGAAGTTTTACCATTTACTTCAGTGTAAAAATCATACTACCGTATAGTACCATCCAGCAACCAGTGCTATTTAAGTTGTCAGGTCTTTACTTTTATATGTCAGAAATCAGCCGTGCAATTTGAATTTCTAATAACCAAACGTCTTACTCTCTGCATTAGATCATTAAAAGATGGTTAGTACATCACATTGTGAATTGATTAATTTCCTTAGCTAATGACAAATTAAATAAATGACTCCCTTTTGATGTGTTTGTGGCTGTTACATAAACTGCCCCACAATAGGGAGTGGAAGATTTGGCATCAAGCATTCCTGTTTCATCCACTCTTGCATGCACTATCTTCTTTTCCTACAAGGATTGACTAACGGGTCAGTTGGAAATTTTAGCAGCAGCACGGAGTTCGACATCTTAGAAACTTTCATCTTCTACAAAATTTGTCTTTGGTATATGCTTTGAAATCGAATTAAGGCCCCTCTTACTACCAAACAACAAAGTCGTCCATCTTTAAGATGTAATAGATTTTTTTCATGGAGTTCCGAATGAGCACTTATCAAACCATGTGGTTGGTAAATAGTAGATCCGGCCGGACCCATGGATTAGCTGACTACTGTTCTATATTCAATGGCAAGATTGTGCCAACTGCCAAGAGCTCTTTTGGTGGGTGTCAATCTCTAGAGCCTAGATGCCATGTAGCTCTGCCGCAAAAATTTGTAGACTACTCCCACGTTCTTGAAAGGAGATTGTCAGTAACGAAGATCTGAAAAGCCATAGCTCGTTTATGTACCTTATCTCTCATTATCTAACCAAAACTCATATCTCATTGCTTTGAACAAGAATTGAGTAGATCTTCTGTGATCTTATTGATTACCCAGTTAGTCTCTCGCTTCCATGAACTTAAAGACCAGTCTAATTTCTGATCAGTTGACTAGCATTCTTTTCTTGTGAAAGAACAACCCGAACCTGCCAAAGTAGATGTTTTTCGATTGACATGGATGCTTAAACTAAAAGCATTTATATATGGTAAATATGCACATTATCTCTCGTTATCTAACCAAAACTCATCTCTCATTGCTTTGAACAATAATTGAGTAGATCTTCTGTGATTTTATTGATTACCCAATTAGTCTCCCACTTCCATGAACAGACTGCTAATGTCACCTCTAATTTCTGATCAGTTGACTAGCATTCTTTTCTCGTGAAAGAACAACCCGACCCTGGCAAAGTAGATGTTTTTTCATTGACATTGATGCTTAAACTAAAAGCATTTACATATGGTAAATATTTTTTTGATTGATAATTAATTAAAAACAGGTTTCGGTAAGCAATCAATCTTTACTGAAAGAAAGATCTTTTGGAGAGTTTAGTAGCCTATTAAGGTCTTGAACAAGTGGAGGTGCAGACAACAAGGGTCTCTTTCCACTTTTCTCTGAAGTTTTGAGTGGGACAGAGACAGACCAAAAGCTGCTGCGACTCTTAGCTCCTCCAAGTCACTTTCATGTCAGAAACCAGGGCCCATAGTGTCACCCATGTTTGACTGTTAATACCCTAAGGAATCTAGCTAGCTAGATTGCCATGACGTTTGTGTGGCAATCCCTAGAAAACACACCAACCCCTACAAGGCTACACCCTCCATGCTTTGCACAGCTCGAGCGAGGCGCACAACGCAAGACCCACGACCCTTTTTCCTTAAAATATCCAGCCTTCGTTCAGCCCAAATTCAATATTACTGATTTGTTGCCTTCCGTTGGTTCAAAACATTCGAAATTAGCTGCAAATCAGATTTAGATACTTTTATATTCTTACAAACCATATAGATTTTGTTCCTTGATTTAAACTATTAATTTGAAAATCAACGACTAGAATTTTTATTTATATTTGCTAGTGAATGGTTAAGATATATAATTATCTTATCCTTGTATAAATTTGTAATTGTCGCTGTTGAATGCAACCATTCAAATTATTAAACATGATATATATCATGTTTTTTAGAACGTGAAAGAAATCAAATCCAAAATAATGAAGTTGATGGAGAATTTTGGATTTGAAGACTAAACTTACTACGGTTAATTGCACGTTAATCTCTTTACTTTTGATTTTATTTATTTATTTATCTAGTCATTTTACTTTAGATATTTTTTTAATACGTCCCTTCAATAGAATTTCAATTAATTTTTTGATAACAAGTGACAAATTCATATCCATTAAACACATCATACAAAATTGGCAAGTGCCACAAAATTGAGAAGAATAAAAAAAAACAAAAAAATAATATATATATATATATATATATATATATATATATCTTTCGAAATCCCAAGGAGGATAGTTCAAATTGGATTGACATTGTCTACCCCATCGAGATATCCTCTATTTTGTCAAAGAAGAATTGATTAAATCATCAAAAATTTAAAACGTGAAGTGGCAATTAAGTGCAATTAGTTCTATGCTTTAGAGGTATTCGAATTAATATTATCAATTAGAATAATTTATGGTTAGCTTGTTTGAACTAATAAAATGAAGTATCTAGGCTCCGCATATATATATATATATATATATATATATATATATATATATATATATATATATATATATGTATATAATGAAAAAAGGAGAAAAATTATAGTTTTGATTTTTGAAAAAGAAAAAAAATCAAAGGATGAAAATGAAAAAAACAAAGAGTAAAAAATCTCTCTCACACATTGGATGAAAAATGTGAAAAAAATAAAATAAAATAAAATGAAACAAAAATAAAAAATATATATCTATTTTTTATTTTTGAAAAGAAATAAAATTAAAGGATGAAAAATGAAAAAAAAAGTCAAAACTCTCTATTTCTCACATCGGATGAAAAAATTTGAAAAAAAATATTATAATTTTGATTTTTTTCAATTTGATAAATTATTTTCTAGATTTAATTTTTTTTATTTTTTAACTTTTTTATGACGTGTCAATTTTGTATGACATGTTAATCTACCAATCACTTGTTACTAAAAAAATAATTGAATCTACTAGAGAAATAGAAAAGACCATATTAAGAAAATATACAGATTAGAAGAACTGGATAAAATAAATAAACAAAAAAAAATGCCTAGAATAGACAAACATACTATTAATCCAAAAATATAGTAGATTCCCACCTTGATTCTCTTTAAATATTGACATTAACAAAATGGATCCTGAGGGGAAAAAAAAAAAAGAAGTTAGAAGAAGGATATGCTATTGATAGTATCTTACAGATCAGAGATTGATATGAGGCTAAAGATGCAACTCTCATGCAAGGTTGGACTAAAGCTTATCCATAAGATCTACGGAGCAATATTCCAGCATGAATAGAAACAATTATATTATTAATTAATTCTGTTTGTCTCCACTGTGAAAAATAGAAATCATTATACGTATAATGATTTCTATTTTTCACAGTGGGGACGAACAGAATTAATTATATATATATATATATATATATATTTCCTAACTTGTTCTTCTGGACGTAGAATTCATGAAGGGATAATCTTCCTGTCAATTTTGTTGCTCTATTTTGGAAACGCAAAAAGATGTGATATGAGACATTTTGAAAAGTGAAACTTTAATTTGTTGGGTGGCTGATGCTGACCCCGGAGACATTGACATTTAGCATCTTTAATTTATCTAAGGCGTGGTTTGGGTACGACGTTTTCTAACAATCACAATTTTGTGAACATGCTAATTACTATAAGGCCTAAGCCCACTTATTTCTATTCTTCATTTTACATTAGTTTCTCTTGTCTAATTTTATTTATTTTAATATCCTTCATTTATTTTCAAAATTGTTTTTTGATTGGATTTTTATTCAATGGAAAATCATGATTGTTGGTCGATCTTTTAGTAACACACATGTAGCATTGAATAGTATATACACAAAATATATGTACATCTTTCTTTTTCTTTTTCTTTTTTTAATCCTTTTCTTGTTTTCTTCTTCTTATTCTTCCTCCTTATCTTCCTCTCTTCACCAATCAAATCACCATAAAAACTGTTGCCATTACCTAATCCACAAAATTGTCAAAAAACCACCACCAAAATACCATCATTTCTCTCTCTTCTTCCTTTCTTTCCTTGCCGATCTCCTTCCTTCTCTCGATCTCTTCCATCGTTGATTTCTTTCCCTCTCTCCCTCCCACCCTACCGTCGAGACCTTATTCATGCTAACTCAACTCAAGTTGAATTTCAATTTCAAGAATACTCTAGTATTAAGATGAAGCAAGTTTTTCTTGACAACTGCAAACTATCCCCTAACTGCATAGTACTTTTACATTTCATCAAAGTCATGGTACATTGGTAGCTAGATAGGAAACAATTATGTTACTTTTTCTTGCATGTGACTCCATGAAAAATTCGAGAGAGGAATGAGATCAATCATGGAGCTATAAACCATGCCGATCTTTTGTCCAAATGTGCCAAATTGACCCTGTGTCTTTCTTTCAAAAAAGTGCCAAGATGGACAGTAGGAGCTTTGTTTTTCTCCTCAAAACGGGCGAGCAGTTTTTCGAGAAGTCTAGAAGGAAAATCAGTTCATTATATTATTTGAAAGACAGATTTTGTTTATATTGGTTCAACTTTATGGTATGCGTGATTGTTTGGGTTGAGCTTATCAACTGTTTGATGAGTTATTAGATTTTGTTTCTTTATAAAAAGAAATTTGACACACACATATATATATTAAAAATAGACGTGGAGCATTAAACAAATTAACAAATAGAAAAATAAAATCGCATAAAGCTTTTACTTAAACTACCTTTATAACAACAATGAGTCGTTACGTATAGACCCAGTTTATTTTTTTATTTTTCCAGTGCAAAAGCTTTTTATGATTATGAATAATGATCAATTAATTAAGCGCGGCCACCTAAATGCACGGCATAGGAATCCTACTTGGTCCTACTAGGTGATTTGTGTTGTTTTTGGGTGTCCTAATTTTTTTTTGGCGGAACTCCTTAAAAGGATTTACAATCAGGATTTCAGGATACAGCTTTTGTATGAAATTTTTGCATTTTAAGTTCTTGGAGCACAAATTCGACAAAACCTATGACGTTTTTCACTATATGTGTATTTATTTATTTTGATGGGATCCACTGTTAATTTATAAAATGATAGTGCTATCCATTTGTAAGTTTTAGAGTGCATTTCAATTGATTTAATTAGTTTGATCTTTTTAAAAGTAATGGATAATTGCCGAATTATAGCAAGTACATGTCCCGTCCATCAACTAGGATTTGTAAATGTGATGGATCCTAAGTTAAATGATCAAATACTTTATCATGTATGTCTTAAAATTTAAGCTTTTACTTATAATTTCTTGTTCAAATTAAGTCTAGAGAATGCAGAATTTAGGGATTAAAAAGGTTGTTCTAATCCATAAATTTTATGTTACTTGATAAGTAATTGATAATATTTATTAAACAGGAGAGAAATAGATATGAAAAAAAAGAGAGAAATAAGAGAGAAAAACATAATTGAGTTTAAGATAAAATATTTTTATCACTTTTTGTGAATTTAAAAGTAATTTTCTCCTTTTTTTGTTGCATTTTTATCTTTTTTTAAAATAAACTCGTAAAATAATTATTATTAGTTATTTATTAGATATTTTTATTTTTTTTTTGTTCTAATCCAATTAAGAAGTTCAAGACTCATGTCTAGGGATGAATATGATGCGATATAAATTAAAAAATTGAACTGAAATTGATATTTTAGTTTAATTTTTAACTCAAATTTTTGGGGAAAAAAAATCCAAAACAAACCTTTTTTTTTTCCATTCGGTTTGATTTTTGAAATTTTCAGTTCGATTTAAATCGAAGACCACTTTTTTTTTTCAATTTTTTTAAGTTTTAAAATAATGTCAAAAAAAATATATACTTGAATATTATTATAGACATATGATAGATTGATGGTATTTTTGATGTATTTACATCATTTTAAAAAACCAAGAATATTAAAAAATCAATTTAAACCGAAAACCAAAGTTTTGGTGTTTAAATCGAAAAACCAAATAGTAATTGAATTCAAGTTTGGCCTTGATTTTTCTATGTTCAATTAACAAAAAAACAGAACAAAATTGTTAAAAATCAAACTTAAAAAACCAAATAATCACCTTAAAATAATTTAAAAAACCGAATAACCACCTCTGCGAGTGTCATCTCCATGTGGTCTCTTATTGCATATAAACATTTTTATAATGCGGTAACTTTAGCAAGGGAAACTCAAAGGAAACCATCTCACAGCTCATTTATAAGCCCATTTTTGTTAATCATAGATCATTTAGCCCAATCTGCTTGTCTGGGCGGAAGCCCACTACCCCTCAAGCATTTCGTAGCTAGCAGCTGGAAAGAAACCCCTAAAACCCTCTGGCATTGATCTCGCTTGCGTACCAGACCTCGCTACAACTCAGCAAGTCACCCACCCTCTTTACAATTCAATCGCAGATTTTAATTCTCATCATTTCCTTTTCTTTTGAAGTTAGAAAAAGACATACTCTCGTTTCGTGCTCCTTCTGTGCTTGATTGACAAAAAAATGCCGTTGGGATTGATAACCGGGATAGGGAGGGCGATGAGGAGGAAGCGAACTTCGTCGTTGGACATTCTATCCTCAAAACGTGCTCCCCGTGATTATTACAAGGGAAAGAATTGCAAGCCCACTGGTTTTCACACTCGCAAAGGTCCTATTTCACTTCTCACTTTGATTTAACTACGAACTTTTAGTGAACTCACCAAACATTTGATAAAATGCTTCTCTGTGCCTTTGGAAATTAAAATTCCAGTACTTTAGCTTTTCTTTTTATGCCTAACTGCTGAATCAGAGGCTTTTAATTTGTAATGCGTGAGGTAAAATGCTCCAACATGGCCGCCCGCAACTCAACTGTGTTTTGCATATCATTCAGATAGTTAATTCTGCTCTTTGAGTTGTTAATCCATGCTTAACACATGCAAAATGGTTAAATGGGAATATAGATATATGTTTTTAGCTAATGATTTGACTGTTTTATTTGAACTGCCTTGGTTTTGAATTGAAATGAAATAGCAAACTGAGGACTGCTGGCCAGGTCATTCATCAAAAAGTAAAAAGAAAAAAGATTGCATGCAGGGTTGAATAAGGAAATGCTGTCAATATATGAATTATGAATTAATAATTTATTGTTTCCTATCTATCTAACTTGTTGCAGGAGGGTATGTTGTTGTTCCGGAGAAACTGCCCAACTATATAGTCCCAGATTTGACTGACTTCAAGGTAATCTTATTTCACCATTCTCATTTGTTTGAAGTTGTATTATTTTGTTTTTGGATGATGGATGTTAAGCACTTGCATAAAGTATCGAAATGGCATTGTTAATAAGGTGGCAATATCCAGTGTTGTGGATTATGTTTACTCTCTTTAGATTTCTCAGGACATAATTTGGTTAGGATGTAAGTTTTGCAAGTACTTGACTGGCAGTATAAGGTGGTAATCTTTCACTAACATATGAGATTATAATTGAAGGTTTCCTACCAATCCCCGTATGTTTGCTGGAATAATCATTGTCATGGGTGTAGGTGTAGGTGTTCATTGAAATCAGTGGATTTTTATAGTTGGTTTCAGTATGGAATATGACATATCTTTCCATGGTGGTTTAGTAAGTAATGGTACTCTTTTGAATTTCTCTAGGACATATTCCTGTAAACATGGTTCTCGAATGGCGTTGTTTCGTAACAATGAAAAACATGGAAAGTGGAACTTTGAAGATCCAACTTTGTAGTTGACATTCCAATTACAATTCCATCATTTGTATGATATTTTGACGTTTTCAAGGTTCTGCTCTCCCTAGGAAACAGAAGATGAGAGATGGGGCATTGCATGATACACTGCCTTTGTAAGCAGAAGGGTCTGTATTCATTCTGCTAGTTTTGTGGTCAGCATTTATACCAGGAAAAACAGGGCCATATTTCAAATAATGCATAACATCTGCACCTACAAACTGCATAATTTCCCCCTGTTAAGATTTTGAAGATATGGTTCCACGGATATTACTGACTGGGATTTGTCTGTTTTACTTTCAGCTCAAACCATACGTGTCTCAATGTCCAACGGAGGTTAAAACAACTGAAGCGTCTGAGCCTGCTAAGTAGAGCGAGAATAAATAGTTGATCAATGACAATGTTGTCTAGCTGCCAATTTGCCGATCGCAACTCAAGCTGGATGTAATATTGTGGTGCCATGATCAAAAGTAATTGAAAAGGGTGGACTATTTAGACGGTGTTTTTTCTCATTTGCGTTGAACTAATGAGGTCTCAGTTGCTTATTTGAGTCAATTGCTTGAAATTTTGTGATGGTAGTAGCAGTAATGTACTTTTGTTTGAACTTGTAAAGATCCAGTCTCGTGATATTTATATTAGAATGAGCAGGCAATTATAAAACATCTAGCCCTTGAGCAAGATAAAAACAGTATTCAAAAGCACAGAAATTGTTCTTTTTTCCTGCTGACCATTTAAGGGGTTCTTGATAGGAGTTTCAAATTGATTTTCTTCAGGTTTTTGGTGGGTGTCACGTTTCATAATTTGGTTGGCATGTTAAACAATCAATGATGGTTAACCGAGCAACTTTAAGGGGATGTTTGGTATGGGAGTATCTTAGGTTTTTCTACCAAGCAATTTTAGATGGCAAGGATATTTATGTTTGTTTCATAGATAAATGTTGAATGCCGAATGCCAGAATAGGTCTTACGGCAAAAATTGCTTCTGTTATATTGTAATTTGATAATTTCATGGTTTTTATTTTAGTAATTTATGCAATTTGAATTTAAAATATCAGTTTTTGAACAAATTTTATCCAAATCCGTTAGTTGTAACTGTCAACCCAGTTTACTATTATTATTTTTCAGTTGTCTTTTTTTTTTGTCGTTGTTAATTTAAAAAAAAAACTTTAAAAACGCATTTTCTCTATTTATCAAGAGAGATTTTCTTTTTTTTGTTCGTTTACCTGTAAATAAATAAAAAAGTTCATTAATTTTTTTTTGGTTCTCCCATAAAAATAGTTTTTGCTTTTTGAACCTATAGTTGAAAAGCTAAAAATAAAATAAAATTTGAAAAGTTAAAAAAATGATTTTTTTTTTAACTCTAACAATTTTAAATATATTATATATATTATATATTTGAATCAATTATGAGAAAAAAATCCTATAAAATATGTGAAGATAAAAAAATGTTAAATAAATACAGCTACATTAAAAATTTAATAATTGATAATCATAAGAATAAATTTATTGGCATGACAAAAAAAAACGTTTTAGTTAAAATTAATTATTTGATAATTTCAATTGAACAAATTCAATCAATAGATATTTGTATTTTATTAATTATAAAAGTTGATTGTTGTAATGGATAATGATACTACATAAAATTTATTTTTTAGAATTTTAAAAAATTATATGCAAATAACAATTTGATTAAATATTAAAAATCAAAAGGATTAATATGTTGAAATTTTAAACAGAAAAAACACCTCTCTTTAAAATAGAGGAAAATCATTTTTAACATTTTAAAAAAAATAATCATTACAATTAATAAATTTGAATAATATTTACTTAAAAATAATATTTGAAGTTTAAATTACCTAAATTAATAATAAAAACTTAAAATTGTCATATTGTGATAAAGCAGGTGTAATTTTTACCATTAAACCTTCTACAATATTTGAGATATCTTAGGACATCATGAAGAGAATCGCATTCTTTGGTGAAAGGGACTGTGTGTGTGTGTGTGTTTTTTTTTTTTTTTTTAAACTTTAATGCCATTATTTTTTATTTTGAACGGAAATAACGACACGATTGCTATAACATTTTAACCAATGCTTTTAAATGTAAGTACATATTATTTATGTGTTTATGTGCATAAGAGAAAAAAAATCATGTTGAGGAATTAATTTCTATGAATGAATCAAATACAATGAATACACATTACTAGAAATTTTCTGTTTCAATCAAATACCATATATCACATTTCATGAGAATTCTTTCCTCTCTTTTGGCCACTAAACCAGACCTCCTAACAATCTGAACAACAGAACCAAAGGATACAGGTACTGAGTGATGGTAAAGTTTACCAAATTCATCTCTCGCAGACCGAAAACCAAATTCATTTCCTTTACAGCGGTTTTGGACGATCATCGAAAACAAGCAGCATGAACGTATTGTGCTCGGCGGAACTTATGCTTCCAGGGGTACGGACGGCGTTTGGTTACAGCAGGTGACCGTAACATTAACCCAGACTCCTAGAGACAAACGATTACTAAACAAGGCCCATAAGGATAAAGCCTGTATTTCAGATTGGGTATGGACCATTATGGCTGTAAGTATTGTGCGCTCCACCGTCAAGTGTCAGGTCTTCCCCGTGCTGTTAAATCCCTGTCCAAAATGGGTATAAAAAAGAGAGGTTGTTCCCACCAAACTTTTAGGACATGGTTTTGACTTTTGACGTGGTCTCTTTGCTGAACCTTAGATCTTACTCAACCGGCCTTTTCTTGTACTCCTGCTTTTGATTTCCTAGCAAAAAGCATGTGTCCAAGAGGAGCGGGATTCTGGAATCACATCTCCATTAGTATTCACAAGGAGTGGGAATGAAAGTGGAAAAGGTGGAATAAACAAAACTTAAAATGCCCATGCTATCCTGGGGGTGTTCTCCCCGCAGGATATTTCATTTATTCGTTAAAAGCTGACTTTCATGAACTCCCTCTCAACCAGTTGTCTGATTCATACCAAAAAAAAACCATGACCGTTCGGTGATTACATGTAAGGAGGAAAAAGCAAAAAAAAACCAAAAAATTTATAATACTAAAAAAGTAATTAGTGATATATAATAGTTAGTTTATGGATTTATTTTGAGAAAAAAATAAAATTAAAAAATTAAAAAAAATTAGACGAATTTAAAATTTTTCTTATCATTTTTAATAAATACAGATGTAATTTTTTTTTTATCTATTCCTTTTCTTAAAATTACTTTATTACTACATATGTAACTAATTATTTATTGAGCATTATAAAATTTTTCAAAAGAAACATCAGCTGGGATGAGAAATTAAAATCCTCAGTTTTGGTTTGGATAAAATAAACGGACTCGTGCTTAATTAAAAAGAACTCTCCTTTTTGTTTTGTTTTGTGGATTAACAACAATGAACTGCAAATCGATATTATTTCATCTCAGAATTTAAAGAGCAAGTCCAAACATAAATCTAATATTTTGAACCAGTTTATCAACAATATATTGCCCCAGCTAAAACAACTCGTCTGGATTGAAGTTACGAAACCATAGCAAAATTTTGGTGGCTATACCGACGGAACAAAGGGAAAAAAAAAGCCCAGCATTCTCTGTTCTTTTATGTTGGCACGGCATGCGTGAAATTGCTGTGCTCGTGGCAAAATCTTATTGGTTGAATAATCCTCGCAGTAACTAGCAAGTAAGGCGCGCCGTTTTGACTTTTTTTATTTTTTTATTTTTTGAACGTCATAAATTTTTAAGCTCTACGACAATAGTGGTTATTACTTCTTACATAATCATTAAAAAAAATAAAATTATTAAAATTTTAATCTTATTTTATTAAAAAATAATTAAATATACATTTGCTAGACTAAGTATTGAGTAATTTTACATTTTATTTTGAAAGATGTAAATGCCAATTAATAAATAAATAAAAGTTCTCAAACGAAAAAAACTAGTACTAGTAAGCTTGAATTTTAATTTCCACGCCGCCCCTACAGAATTCCTTTTTCCAATACCCTCCATCCAACAAATCACAGCCACCGACTCAGTAGACCCCACAAATCTTCCTTCCTATCACAGCCGCACAATTAAGTCCTCAGGGCCAGCTTGTCAACTTTCTCACAAACTGTCAAAAAAGCAATTTTAAAGAAAGAAACTCCAAAGAAACCTCCTGCCACGAACTATCATGGAAACAAACGCACCATTTCCTTCTATATAAATATACCAAGGCAGCGGCATCGTAATACCAAAACCTAAAATGGCTAGCTTATGGAGATCAAAGGAAGTTATGGGTCGATCTAAGCCTGATGGTAAGTGCAAGAAACACCCAAAACACAAACAATCACCAGGTGTTTGCTCCGTTTGTTTAAGTGAAAAGCTTTCTCAACTTTCGACTAGTGCTACTACTTCACGTAGTACCTCTACTAATACAATGGATTACTCCTCTTCTTCTTCATTGTCATCCTATTATTCTTCCTCTTCATGTTCTTCCTATTCGTCTCCAATGCATCGTTTTCAATATCCCACTCAAGGGAGAGGTTCTTTGCCTGTGTTCTTCAATAGCAAGAATATTTTTCTCACCAGGAGTAGATCTTTGGCTTTTGTTCCAAGAAGAGGGAATAAAGATTGTCATGAGAAGAAGAAAGGTGGTTTTTGGTCCAAGTTGATTCGTCTTCCAAAAAATAAGAAGGTTGAGGAAGGATTGGTACACTCTAGGACCATGAGGGAAAGGGTTATCATCACTAGCTAGGGTTGATTGATATGTAGTTTCTTGATATATATTTTTTCCTTGTATTTTTTTGTTCTTTTTTTGTTAGATTAGATCAATTAGCTAGGTGTTATAATTGTACAACAAAAGTAAAAACAACAGATGTAAGAACAAAAATAAATTAAGAAGAAAGATAGGAATGCTGTGTTTTTCATGTGCATTAATTATAAATTCATGTATTGATCATCTCTTGATGAATTACTACGAAGAGAAAGAATCAGTTATTGTGCTGTTTGTATATGTAATAATGATGGTATTAGTAATTAATTTACTTGAGAAACTATTAATTTATTAATAGTTGGATCTTGGGTTTATGCTGTTGTTGTCTTTGATATTCTTGAGAGAAGTTTAATTTTGTCTGTGTGTAATGATAAGACAAAAATTCCATATGACACACCAAGGAAACATGCTGGCATTGAGGCTATATGGCAGTCAATTTGGGGCTAAAGTAATCCTGGCCATGTCCAAGAAATTTCTTGACGTCCCAAGCTTTCAAACTTCGACTAGTCTACTTTGATTTTGTTCGTAGACTATCCTATTAAATGTTGGAAAAGCATGTCTATGGGACAACCGGATAAACTTTGGGTATGGGTTCTAGGCAGCTTCCTGTGGGCTTAAAAGTTCAAGACTGTTAAAGCTGGCAAAGAAAATTGAAAATCCTATTGACAACTGGCAAAATTCCCAAAACAAATTGATGGCAATTTCCCCCGTGATTTCAAAGTTCAAATTGAATTCCAAGGAAAAGGAAGAGACGTAATTGAGATTCTACCAGAAAATTAATATATTACTGTGTGGTTATACCGGTCTTCTTAAAGAGCAATTTACTCTTCCTGATTCTAATTTATACATGTCAACTATATTGTAATGTCACTAGCATCATGCCCCCTCCTGCAAGAAATTAACTCACACGTATCGTGTTGTGGAACTTTTCCAAACAACCTAATCTCTTCAACTCGTAATTTACTTCCTTCCTTCACGTAATATTTAATTAAAATTTAATCAAATTCTTTTGCGGAGCTTATGGGCAGTGATGCAAACCAGACCGGCCGGTTTAAACTTTCAATGATATATGGGAATTGGTCTTCTTTTTATTGTTTTAGTTAAGGGTACATAATAGCTCTCCAATTCCTAAATATATCCCTTTTTCTAGAGTTTGAACCTATCTATATGACTCTTCCTGGCTAATAAAAATTTAAGATTTTAACTGCTGATTAGGTATCCCAACTTGGAGATAAAATTTCTCCTTAATCTAGAGATATAGATTTTATTCTGTTCTGTTTTGTATCCCATCATTAAATTAACATGGATTTTGAATCCATTATCGGCTTATCACGAAGTTGGTAGTTGAGTGTTTTGGAATATAATTAATGTAAGATCTGATATACGTAAAGTAAGTAACATAGCTATATATAGTATCGTTAAGAATATGGATTTGGCTCATGTATTTAATATGATCAATAATTGTTTAGAGATCGATTTCCTCTTGCGTTCCTTCTACTTTCTGTTGGTCCTTGCCTTAATTATTGAGTCTGTGAACTCCACGTATCATACCCTGGATTTGGAAGGAAGGAATAGAGACGATGACAATTATATCTCCTACTGTTCCATTTCACCTAATTGGGCTACAAAAGAGCTCGCGGCACTTCGATAAAACCTTTTTGCAAGCTTTATGCACGTAATTTTAAAAGAAAAGGGAAAACGGGCTTTAAATGGGTAGTTTGGCCCATTATGAACTAAACCCATGCTCAGGCTTAAGAAAATTTTAAGCTAAATAAGCTGAGCCCATTCTCATCTTGCATTCTTGATATGAGCGAATATTGGTAGTATCCATCAAGGGTCCCATCTGCAACTTCCTTCTTCTCTTCATATAAACCCACCTCAAGAATTCAGTGCGATTCATTCTCTTTTAAAATCACTCTAATCGTTTAAATAAAGTATTAAATCTGAATCTTTATGTATGTTAAAAAAAATTTGAATAGTTTTTTTCTATTTTATTGGATTGACAAAACAACAATAGATTAATTTAAGTTTTTGAATTTGAGATGCCTTAAAAGATTGAAAAAAAAAAAATCAAGATTGTTTTTTAGAAGCTAAAAATCAGCTGTGCAGTTCACTTACTGTTCGAAAATCGAAATTCTGTAACAAGAATTATAATCTGAATTAAAAGAAGGAATCAAGGTGGTACTAGCCAACCCTGTACATTCACATCTTTTTAACTCGAGAGCCCACCCACCAACTCCCCATTGCATTAGAGCAAATGAAATATCGATCTGATGTCTATTGTTTGAGAATAAATAATGATGTGAAAGCTGCCCAGTTTAATAATGTATTACTAGTGAATTAGCTATTAACTCACAGCTGGCTTTATTTAGGCATTAGTACCAAACTGTATCAATCACATAAATTGTTTTGGTCCCGGATCTGGAGGTCGCTTGCAATCACCTATTTCAGGGTGCCAGTTTCTACCCCATACCCAGATAACCACTATTAAAAGTAGCAGTAGTAGATATGTTGGAACTTTTTCTGAAAACGAAATTAGGACCACCTCACTTCCCATTCCAAAGACAATAAAGCTCCACTGAATTGAGTCATAGTAATGAATAATCTGTTTTTTATTGCCTTATCTATTCAGTGCATAAAGTTAGGTGAGTTAAGGGCATGACGTGAGGTGGACCTCCTTTGAAACCCCCCACTTATCTTTGATTTCACGAGTCATAAAAAGTTCTCCGCAAAATTATTCATGTATGAGTTTTCAATCGGATCTTTTCTATTAAAGAGTTCAATAGTAATTTTTCGAATAAGGTATTGCACTATAGTATTTTTTTCGTTAATTAAAAATAAAAAATTAATTAGTATAAGATAGTACGTAAGTGTTCAATAAATTATCATTTAACATGTTTTAATGCTAAAAAGTCAATTATATTATTGTATTCACTTGTGTATGATGTCGAACAAATTAATATAATATTTATCAATATATTATATCATTTCTATGGAATAAAATATGTAAATAGTGTTAAAAAAAATAATTATGTAATTAAAGAAAATATGTAATTATTTGTTTATAAATTACATGTTTAAGAGAATAAGTAATAATTATTTAAATGTAAGGGTTTGTTTTTCAATTACATGCTTAAAAAGCTAATACACAATCATTTGAACTATTAGTATTTATTATTTGCATGCGATTCTTTCGTATTTTCTTTTATATAAATTATTTAATATATTAGTAAATATTATATCAATTTATTCAATAGTATACGTAAATTAATTACAGTAATGACAATAATATAATGGATTGCTTAGCATTGAAAAATATTAAATGATAATTCTTTGAACACTTGCATATTTACATATACTAATTATTTTTATATGTTTTTAGTTAAAAAAAAATCATTATAGTGCAATACATTATTAGAAAAATTATTAACAATAATGTAATCGACTTCTTAGCTTTAAAAACGTATTAGAAACTCAACTCATTATATAAAAACAGATAAAAAAAACTTAACATATTAAGTTGCGATGAACATTTTGATTAAAAAAAATATGTGCAAGTCATTTGATATTTTCAGATAATTTAATTAGAAAAATATATTAGAAATTTGATTAAATAAAAAATATATAATTAACATTTTAAGATATAAAACTAAACTCAACTCATTATTTAAGTACATTTGAGGTTATGAATCTCAATATTTATTCCATGTAAAAGATGTTTGATAGTCAATTGAATCAGCTAAAATTAAAAGACAAACTCTCCCATCACTTCCAAATTCCTACGCTTGACCAGTTAGCTTAGCTGCCAGAGATGGTTACCCTTCACTCATTTTGATGGTACCGAAGTTAAGGATTTAGCGGAGTAAATTATAAATTAATCTTTCTCATTTTGAAAATAAATCAATTGATCTTTATCGATTCAAAAATTAATCATTTAATTCTAATATTTTGAAGTCTACTTATAATTTAATCATTTCTATTTTTTTTAATTTATTTTGATTTTTTATTTTAAAAAATAGAAAGAGGGATAACATGAAAAAAATACGAAAAGAATGATGAGAAAGTAACATATTTCATGGAAGAGAAATAATATTAAATCAAGCAAGGTCAACATTGATTAAAGGACTAAATAATAATTTTTTTGAAACAAAATGAATTAATTTATTTATTTCTTGAAACTAGAAGGACTGATTTATAATTTATTTAGATTTGGAGACAACATTGAGGTTTTTTTTCTCTCTCTCTCTATTGTAAAATAGTAGGAAATTTATCGAGTTTTAATATTCTTTCACTGTTGAAATTATGAAAATCTTGTATAATTAGTTTGTTTGTATAGCATTGTTCTTTTTTTTTTTAATCTTAAAAAGATGTTCTACCTTTTTATTTATATTTGTTTTAAAATGCTTGTTTGATTAAAATTACAATTGATGTACTTTTAAAAAAAATACCTATAACTAAAATTTATTTTGTAAAAAATTATCTAAATATAGTTTTTAAAAATATGGTATTTTTAGAAAATACGAACAAAGTATGACAATATGATATAACAATTAATAACTTTATTAGTACTTGTGAAAATCGAATGAGATAATTTCTTCAAGATAAAAGAAGTAATAAATATATTCCCACAAATAAACTTCTTTTAAGTATAAAGAAAATATTACAATCAATATATAATGCCCTATGAATGAACATTTTTACCCTTCTTTTGTTGTGCTTTTCTACCAAATAAGTTTGCAGATAAATAAATGTAGCTGAAACAGTGTACTATTTTGTTACTCTTTTTTTTTTTTCCTTTGTAGTTCAACGCCAACAAAACAAAAAAATATACTCTATTAAAAGTAGTATTGGATTTTGAACTTCTTTCTAGTTCAATCCCACAAATAACAATAAGAAAATTCACTATTAAAAGCAGTAGTGGATTTTGAATTTCCCCTCAAGACGAAATAAACCACCCCCTCCCCACCTTCCCTTCCTCACACTGATTGGTTGTCCATTTGGGTAATAGAGATTATTGGTCCTTTTTATTTAGCTTTTGGAACAGATTGGTGTTGCTCTTTTTCTTGTTATCAGAGGAACGGATTGGTATTGTAGAGGAAAGATAGGGCTATCATGGTTTTTGCACGGCTGAGGCTTCAAGATAGAATGACAAATTAAAATTTGAAACTGTCGCAATGGAAAGTTGGGTCAGAGCAATTACCATAAAGGTAATTGTCATAAATTAAAGGTTGAATCTGGATTGGTTGGTTGTTGGAGGATGGTGTTTGGAATAAATTATTTTTTCAAAAAAACTATAATTTGAATGTCATTTTTTTTCTGTTTGAGTATTCGATAATTTATTTAATGTATTTGAATGATTACTATTTTTTATTTATTTAAGTTTCAATAATCATTTAAAATTGGAAAATATTGGTATTCTACTCAAATTTATCGAAAAAATTAAAATTTTATTTTCATATACAAAATAATTGGCATGAATTGAAAAAAAAAATCAAAAGAAATCGAAACAGCAGTCTAAATTATTGTCGTTATCAAAGCTGGATCCTTTGAAATTATTTACCAAATCTGATAATGAAACCCTAACTATTCTCATCTTCTCTGGATCTTCCCTATTGTCGTTAAGAACGTGAAGTGAAAAATTGAGGACAAGTCAACGTTGTCGTAAATTTTAGATCTTTGAACCGACGGAGTTCCCGAGATCAAGGAACTTGATATTATTATCCAAGTTAAAATTCAAAGAACTGTTGAGCTTGAGAGTGGAAAGCAGAGTTAAGACTTCGTTATGTGCACGAGACAGAAAATTCAAAACTGAGAAATGTCAGGAGAAATTGATTGCAACGGACGGTGAAGATGAAAAAGAAGAGTTGGTTAATGTTTTGAGACGATAGAGAGGGAATTCATCGAAGGAGTGAGAGATAAGGTCAAATTTCTTAGCTACATCTTTCTTGTTCTTCTTGTTAAAAGGATCGAAGAAGGAAGGAAAACCAGAAGACATTGTTATCGTTGATGTTGATGAGAAATGAAGAGGGAAAAAAATATACTCAAGTAAAGTATATCAAATTAGAGAGAAATAGTGGTTGATATTTTATATGTATGAAAAGGAGATGAAGAAAAGAGGAAGTTGCTTGCGTCAAATTTACAGTTTTGATTTTTGATTTATTTTTATTTTTATTTTTTCATTTCCTATTAGCTATTCTTTTTTATAAATTATTATTTTTCAATAAATCATAGTAAGATCTAATTTTTGTTATGTGTCAATTAAAGACTGTCATGAATTCTAATCAAATCAATAATTTTCAGTTTCAAATAATTAATATAATATAAATTAAAAAACATATATCAAATACTCAAATAGATAGAATAAAAAATTAAAGGATCAAACAAAATAGAAATAAAAAATAGATATTCAAATCATTCAAATTACATTGTTCTCTTACCTTTTTTTCCTTTCTAAAGTGAAAAGGACTTTTTTGCATTCTTGTTTATGTATCGTGGAAGTTGAGATTTATCTGTACTCTTCTTTTGGATGGTGTTGGAATTACATTTTTTTTAAAAAAAATTAGAATCATTATAAGTTATAAAACTCTATGGTTGTTATGCATTTCCGATCGATCAAATTATTATGCAGTTGAATGAACCCAACTGTTAAGCTCCACGCCTCATCTTGTTTGAAAAAATCGAACGCATCCTTTGCGCATGCTTTCGCTTTGGACCATAAAGATGCGTACGTGTCTTTCAGAAATTGGGTATTTTAAAATTTTAATCAAATGAAGGATTACAAAGATGGAAAAAAAGAAAAGAAAAAAGAAGACGAAGCACAAATATAGTGCGTTACCGTTCACCCCACAACAATTAATTAATAGGCTAAACAGGAGAAACCTGACAATTTATTTTTTTACGGTCTACTCGCATGCCATTTTTTTAATAAAACAATTTCCGAGAGCTATATCATGACCATGGGAAATTGAGATAAACTGAGTAGTCCTCACTTAATTCTTAATCCTTGCCCAACTCTCTCAGGACCTACAAGTAAAATTCAAATTTTTAATCCTTGAAATGTCCCCTTCTAATGCAGTATACTTATAACATTGTACAATGTTTCAAGTTTCTAATATCGTACATAAATATATACAATGACAATTCCTGCAAGAATGCGATGATGCGTTGAGTGCTGCTGCAGTTGACCCCCAACTTCAACACATCGTGCCCACTACGTGAAGCGTGGACTTAAATTTCCAAGTCTTGTCAATCTTCAATTAGTAAGTTGAATATAATCCCAACTAATTATTTTTTTTTGGATTGTTGACGCCTCAAATCAACATCAATGACAACAACTCCACCGGGAAGTAAGACTAAGTACTATGGAGAACAACGTGTGTCGTCAATTGAAAGGTGTGTGTAACTGCCACTTTGGTCCGCCAAATATCAACAGTGTTGTTTTTTGGTAGCTCGGTGAAAGCAATACCGTTGTTGAAAAAATTTATAATACTAAAAAAATTAGCTATAGCTAATGTAAATAATTCTATAAAAGTATGAAGATGGATATAAAAAAAGAGAAAAATAGAATAGAAAAAATTAAAAGAAAAATTGAATTAATGTAAAATTTTTTTTAATGTTTTTAATGAATCCGATGTGATTTTTTTTTTTTCGACTGTCTTCCACATACGACCATAATTCGTATTGATGTATCCTTCAAGGCTAAAGGCTAAAGGCTTCTCCCTTGGTTTTGCTTTCATGCCTACTTTTATTGCTGATAATAGTTTTCCCCCTAATGGAAAGGGGAGATCCACTTGATCTTGATTGTGTACATGATCCATTCCATTAAGCCCATAAAGGATCTTTTGCCACGACACATAAAAAACGGGGGCACTCGTTTCTTTATCCTGTAGCATGTGCGCTGTTGCTTATGTGATGCTGACCTAGTAAACACTTTAAAAGTAGTTATTTATTTATGATAAAAAAAGTAGTTTTTATCTATTTATCTTGACTAGTAACAAAAGTAGTAATTGGATTTACATTTTAAAAATAGCCAAAGAAAATCCGCAAATCCTTCATACATGATAAGAGCCAAAACAACGAATTGATAGAATCGAAGGAAAATAAAAAATAAAACACAAGTATTAGTAGAATAGGATATTTTGACAACAGACATTATCGTAAAAATTATCGTAAAAATACACATAGTTATTTATCTGTTATTTATATTCAAACAATAATTAACAGTATTTATTTATATAAAAAATAAATATTTAAAAGAGAGAAATTAGAGAAATAGAATTAAACAAAAAAAAGTGAGTATAAATGAAAATATTTTTATTATTTTTAGTGGATTCATATGTAATTTTTTTTAGTGTCTCTCCAAAATAGGTTATTAGAGTAAGAAATGATAGCTATTTTTCAAAAAAAATATTTTAAGATTGATCGATCAATTATGTGACAAAGCAAATCATTATATATATATATATATATATATTGGTGGTTTTCTAGTCTTAAAAAAAACAGTAGCTATTTTTAGAAAAATTCAAATTTTTTGTTTTGATATAAATATAGCGATATTTTCAGATAAAAGTTTATATATAAACATGGACACAACGTTTTTTATTGGAAAATGTGAGATATCCTATCTATTTTGTTTATTTTTGCAAATATATATATATATTGGAATGAGAAGTTTCGTCCTGCTAATTATGCAAAATATATGGGATGTTGTTTGGAAGTCACTGTAGGTGAAAGTATATATCAATTCACAGAATTCCACAAATTGGTGATGACGTCCGAATGGAGAAGTTCCACTTGGACGAGCAATTTCTTAGTCTTGGATTGTGAGATGCTACTATGGGCAGCTAACCTGTAGGTTTCCAGGAAGTGGAACTTTAACCACACAAATTGAACAACGCAATTGACTTGCAACTAGTTGCTTCAAAATGGAAACAAATTATTTATTTTCCTAACAGAGAGAAAACTAAAAACAGACCATATATTTATTATTTAAGCCTCTGCACATAAATAAATAAGGAAAGAAAAGGGAAACTATAATTGACAAGTTTTCAATAATTAGAAGTTTACGTGTCTATAACGGAATTCTAATTCGAAAGAATAACAAACATGAATACTAATTAGCGAAAAAGGCGGAAATGAAGATCGGAGCATGAGAGCAACGTGAGACGTCCCAATCTTTTCCAGTTTCTACTTCCACCTTTCCTTCATCAGTGACGTGAAGAGAAGTATCCTTACAGCGGTGCCAGAAGCAAGTAGCTTGTTATACATTCCAAAGTGAAAATAAGAAAAGAATAGGCCGGATGTCACGAGTCTTGAAAGGCATCTGTTTAAGCACAAACTGCCCGAAGATCTACCTAAACCTGTTATATTCTTTTGTCCTCTCCTCTTCCAACAATATATTTTTACTTGATCCCCCTAAAATAATTGCTCAGATTTTCTCGGATGGAGACAATGTAGCTTACATTTGTTTTTGAAATATCCTTAAAACTCATTCGCTTTAATTCATGCATGTTAATTCAGCCATTGTTATCGGGTTTACTGACATTCCAAAGCTCTTTTCACATGGATGCCCATTTTCTTTATCTTTTATTTTTTTTGACATGTTAACCCTTCTATTTTTTTTTCAACCAGTTTTATCCTTTTTGGAAGAAGGGGGTGGTAATTAACATGTCTTTGAACTATCGTAGCACCATTGGTGAACTTTTGTAGCTATACTCCCTTGCATCCGTGCTAAAGGAAAGCGGGCCAAATTTGTACTCTTCTTTCAGCCACTTGAGGTTCATAACGATAAATGTTATGTTTTAAAAATATGATTAGTGAAGAAAGAGGTTTATTTGTTTTACTAACTTTTTAGGTTTGGAATTTAGAACTAACTAGTTACTCGTGCTACACTGCACGTGAAATAAAATACATAAAATCAGTTTTGAAAAATTATTTCATTTAGATATTCGAGTGTTATGCGTCTATCAAAATATATCAAATTAAAACTAAATAAAAATTCATTTAATTTCATGATTTTTAATCAAAATTTTATATTTCACTAATTATTTTTTATATTTTCATAATTTTTTTATTAAAAAATATATTATTTATTTATCTCTATCCATATTTTTAGCCAAAAGCTTATTTATAAATTATTTTTTTAAACATCTTTTTACCTTAATATTTTAATAAAAAAATCAGATAAAAAAATATAGATCAAAGTGATCAAAATAAAATAAAAAGTGAGACCAAAATCAAATAAAAAATATTTACGGATTTAAAAATAATATTTAAAAAAGACAAAACTATTATGTCGAGAAAACTTTCATAATAAATATTTAAAAACTATAAAAATATTATTATATAGTGAAAAAAATAATACATGAGTATTAGTGAATAGTGTATATAAGTAATGAATAGTATTTGGAATAGTTCAATCAACAATAAATTTATGTTTTGATTTAGTTTTTTTTAATAATATATAGAATAATTTATTAAAGTTTTTCCTATGCATTAGACTGATGTGAGAATTTACCCTTAGCAAAGTAGAAAGAAAGAATTTAACCTTAATTAAAGCACAAACTAATATGAAGATATTTCTTAGCATTACTAGCAGATTCCTAACTGTTTTCCATAAATGAAATGCGCATAACAATTCAGGATAGGAGATAAATGCTGCGATCAAAACTTTATTGTACCTGTGCTTGAATTTTTGGAAAAGTAATTATGTAGGGTTATGGCACTAAAGTTAGGAGATAAGAGCAAGATCGCAACTACAAAAGAAATAGCATTGGAAGTCTTATCAGGTGTGAATACAGGCAGTGACTTTACAAAATATCGGGCACATGCATGCCATCCTCTTTAATTCAATGCAGCTCATCTTGAGATTCACAATACGATCCACCCAAATCATACAGCTTTGTTGATTTTGGCAACAAGAATTCTTCAACAAACCAATAAATAAATAAATGATAATCAGAGACATTTACAGAAAGACTAAATCAAATTAGAAGTAATTAAGCAAGAATTCACAAGTCTTTGGTCCGTGTTGATCAATTCTAAATTAGGCATAAGCAATTACTCTGGGTATCAGCCAGTTGATGAATTTACTGATCAGCATGATTTTTAAGTGAAAATTCACATGCAAAACTTTGGCTTTTTTAATTTGGATGAGAAGTATTTAAATTAAAAATTTTTGACACAGCCTTCATAATGATGACTTTGTTTTTTTGTTTTTTTATGGAAGGGAAGAGAAACAGTTAAAAAATTAAGGAAATTTCCTATTTATCCACAATTCCTTAAAAAAAACAAAAAATAAAAGGGACCCACGATGTAAAATCAAATTGACCAGTTTTCATTCCCCTAGGAGAGGATCCGATCTGTCTCTCTCCCCTCCTTAGTTTATTCTTGTTTGATTTTTGATTTTTTTATTCTTCTGTGTTCAGCTTAGCTAAAACCTCTTTAAAGAAACCGTAAACAAAGCAAATTAACAACAAAAAGCGAAAAAACAAACGCAAACAATCCGAAAACAAAGACGCCTCCTCCTTACAACACAGCCGACCTCTCTCGGGGGGAAAAAAACACGCACACCCAGGCACAAGCACCAACTCTTTAGCTTTCTTTCTTCGATCCTTCTTTTCTCTTCGGCCATTAATACTCATTGCTCTATCATTAATCACTGCTTCTTCTTTCTAAATTTTAGAAAAAAAGCGATAGTCTAAAAAAAAGAAAAACAAAATAAAAGAAAAAGTAGCGAAGAAGAAGATGCAGAAGCGGAGATGCAAGGCGGTCGGGTTGACGAGGAAGATACTATCATTCGCCATATGCACAATAGCGATGATGGCACTCCTCTCCGTTCACTTGCGCATGTTCCTTCCTTACTCTAAGCTCCCTGATCCTTACAGGCTTCCTCATCCCGTAAGTAATCTCACACTTACTTCTCTCTGATTCCCCTTTTCTTTTTCTATTTTAGTGTTAAAATTAAGGTTTCTACATTCTAAAGTTTCTGTTACTTTTTTTTTTTTTGGAAATTCGTTAATTTGCTTGATAGATTTCTTACTTTCTTAATTTTTGGGATTCTACTTATTTTAGTAGCAAATGCCAAATGTGATTTATTTGATTTTGAGTTCGGGATAAGTACTAACTGCCTTAGTTTTATTTCTATTGGAATAATATGAGATGGTTGGAGTTTTAATTAATACAATTTTTTTTAATCATAAAAATTATTATCTGTAGCAAATTGAAATCAGAGACAAGAGATTGGGCAAAGGGCAAGAACAGAGCTGGACAAGTGAGATTACTGCTCCCATTGTATACAAAGGCCCTCTCTCATCCCACCAGGTCTTATTATTTGTCATTCATTCCAATATATTTGCCAATTCAATCACAATTTTTTTTTTTATAATTCTGATTCATTAGTGAAATTTAACAGAGACACTAAATATGGTGAGAAAACAATTTGGGATTAGTCTGCGTGTAGTTGTGGAATGAGTGTCACAAGGGCTTATGCATTTTTACTCTAAGCAGTCAGTCATGCATCTTTCATGTTTTCACTCCTTTAGACTTGACAGTGTTCTAATCGGAATCCGAATTGTAAAAAGCTATGGAAGCCTCCGCCAAACCGCGATTATATGCCTTGTACTCAACCTAGTCCTAGCTATACCTGTAAGTTTGATTTTGAATTTCATATTGATTTGTATCTTTTAAAAACTTTTGCTGTGTGCTTATTTTGCTTTACCTATTATTTCTCAGCTCCTCCAGAGTCAAGAGGTTACCTTCTAGCACATACAAATGGAGGGCTCAACCAGATGCGAGCTGGGGTACCTATCTACTGTCTATCTTGTGTGAAAATAAACAGTTTTTTATCCTTGACAACTATAGTTTGTCAATCCATTTGCTGTTTTTGAAATCACCGGAATTGTTTTACACTATGATATTTGTTTGGCTTCCCAAATTCTGTTCTATTTCTATGTTATCCTAAGGCAACCGTAATTTTGTGTTTTCCTTAATCGATCTTGGTTTTTTGAACTGGGGTTGAGAAACAGTGTCTTTCTTGAATTGCAGATATGTGATATGGTAGCAATTGCACGAATCATAAATGCCACTCTTGTTGTTCCGGAACTAGATAAAAAGTCATATTGGCAAGATTCCAGGTAATTTTGGTTCTGTAGAAGTTTTCCATTGTTGGTCCCCCTCATGTCATGATGCCATAGTTTCCTTTTCTTCCTTTCTTTTTTTTTTTTTTTCGTGTACAGCAACTTTTCAGATGTCTTTGATGAAGATCATTTTATCAATGCTCTAGCTAATGATGTAAAAGTCATAAAAATGCTTCCCAAGGAAATGGATGGTGCTACGAAAGCAGTTAAATATTTTAAAAGCTGGTCTGGCATAAACTACTACGAGGAGGAGATAGCAAGCATGTGGGTTGATTATGAGGTATATCAATTGAATCCTGAGTTTCACTTGGTATTTATGATTGCAATCTGTTGATTTACTCATTTATTATTGAAATTCTAACACAACTTCCTAATGTGAATTTGTTTTCACAGGTTATTAGGGCTGCCAAGACTGACTCTCGCCTAGCAAATAACAATCTTCCTCCTGACATTCAGAAGCTGCGTTGTCGTGCCTGTTATGAAGCTCTCCGTTTTGCACCTCAAATTGAAGCAATGGGAAAGGTAAAAATAGCTAGATGTTTTTCTTGTGTGTGCGATGACTGTTTAATATGATTTTAATTCACTTTGGCATTGTAGTTGTTGGTGGACCGCATGAGGTCATATGGTCCTTATATCGCCCTGCACTTACGATATGAGAAGGACATGCTTGCCTTCAGTGGATGCACTCATGGTCTGTCTCCTGCTGAAGCAGATGAACTAAAACAGATTAGGTAATTTTGCTTCAGTTATGTGGTAATGAATTCAATTCAATGTTCAGGTTTTTACTTATGTAATTTTATTTGTGACTTGCAGAGAGGCAAATGATAACTGGAAAGTGAAGGATATTGATCCCAGGGAGCAGAGATCTAAAGGTTTTTGCCCCTTGACTCCAAAGGAGGCTGCAATATTTCTATCTGCTCTCGGTTACCCATCAAATACCCCTATATACATTGCTGCGGGAGAGATATACGGAGGTGATTCGCATATGGGTGATCTACGATCCCGATATCCTATGTTAATGAGCAAGGTGTGTGTTTTGACTTCACTCTATAAATTTTCTTATTTGTCTGTTTAAGTTAATTGTTTTTTAGTGTTAGTTTTATTAACCTACTGATAAATGTCTTCCAAACGCCTTGCCGTGAAAGCAATGCAAAATTTACACTTTAGGAAAACCCTAAAGATTTTTAAAAAACTTAATACCCCACTTTTGATTATACGCCCAGTTCATCCACACAACCAATGATGTATTGCTTGCATTGATGATGCCTTGTGCATTTTGTATGCTGTTTTCGTGTTCATTGTTTATTGCAGATGATCAAAATAGTAGTTTATTTTTGAAGGCTGATTAGGAGAGGATCCATGCTCATCATATAGAATGTAGTTTTTGGAATTTTGTGTTTGTAATCAAGCTCTCTCTGAGTCTGGCAAATTAACAAATCGTCTTCCCTCTCTTTCTCTATGCCTTTTTGTTGTTAATCACATGCGTGTATGCTAAGGGTGCATGGATACTTATGCTCGCATGAAGACATGTAAACATACATGAATATTCTCTGTAGTTCCCTGTCTACAGGTTCTTTTTTTTTTTTTTTTTTTTTTGGTGCTGGAGTTGGGCTGGGATGAGTGAGAGCTGCTGAATTTTTAAGCATGTTGATCTATTACTAACATGTCCTTTAAACATCTTGCAGGAAACATTGGCATCTATTGAGGAGCTTGAACCGTTTACCAATCATTTGTCTCAGCTGGCTGCGCTTGACTATATTGTATCTGTTGAAAGTGATGTATTCATGGCAACATACTCTGGAAACATGGCAAGGGCAGTTGAAGGTCATCGTCGTTTTCTTGGACATAGAAGAACAATTTCCCCAGACAAGTATGCAGTATTCTTCTCTATTTTAACTTATTTTGATGAATTTCCTTGCGCTGAGCATTCTCTTTTTGTCCATTAGGAAACCACTTGTTCGTCTGTTTGATAAAATTGAGCAGGGAAAACTGAAAGAAGGCAAATTTTTATCAGACTGGGTCATTGAAAGCCACAAAAAGCGGTATGTATTCTTAAGCATCATAATCAATATTTAATACCCAAAAACCGATTCACTTGTTGAGTTTCCCATGGGCACTGCACTCCTAGGAGAAAAGGTGAGGTCTAGTGAATAATGTGCAGCCACAAGTTCTGTGGCACTGCAAGAAACTACTGCTCGTTTGGGAGATTTTGAGGGTATTTTCCACGGCCTTGGTCAACTCAGCATTCTATTGAAATTTCAGAATAGAATCCACTAATTTAAATCTTGTTTTTCATGTTGGTTGCACAGACAAGGCTCCCCAAGGAAGAGGAAAGGCCCCATTTCTGGAACAAAGGGCATGGATAGGTTTCGTTCAGAAGAGGCTTTTTATGTAAATCCTTTACCAGAATGTTTATGTCAGGGGCAATCCCGGAATCTGAACACCTCTGTCGGAATCAGGTAGTTTAGATGCTGAAGAACAATTTTCTTCAGAGAAAGATCTGAGGGCGGCAGGATAGTAGCAAATTTAGTCAGCCACTATCCATTGATACTACAAGCTGGTTGTGCCCAGCATCAGAGTTAGGTAACCGGATTGTGCATATCTCGAGTTTAGGTAAGTGGGGGGCCATACATGAAGATAAAGAACAAATGGATGCTGACATTTGGTGCCAGTGCAGGCACGAATTATTCTTAAAGAAAGGGGCCTTTCGTTCCATCGACCAAAAGCAGTTTATTTTTCAAATGATTTTAGAAGCGAGGCAATTTTAAGTAGGCAGATTAGAAGTTAATTAGGGATACGAGTGTCATTGCGTCTCTTGGGTCTTAAGGGTAATATCCTTTTCTCCTTTTTATGTATTTGATTCATCGTCCTTCAAAGCAATAAAAGCGAAAAAATTACTTGATTTCTTCTTCTCTTCCTCTTGATTGTGGGCATTTTATCTTCTTTTGCTATAATCATCTCATCTCTGCCTAGTACCACCGATAAACGAAATAATCTTGTACTCATAAAGTAATAAACTACCCTACAATCGAAGGAAAAGGGAGAGGACATATGCAGGCTGTCGCTCTCTCTACAGTAAATTCTGCTAAGTAAATAAATAATGAAATAATTACGGGGTCGGTAACCAATTAAAAGAAACTTGAAGGAGTCGCCAAAACAATAAGAGAAAGAAGATAGGATAACCACATATCTCCTCATGTACACGCATGCTCACTCCACATGTATAGGGTGTAGATAGCCACATAGGTTCTCATACATAATCTTGTTACCTCTCCGGTCTCCACATTTAAGAAACGAAAGGGAAGTGCCTTCTGTTTCTTTTCTCGCCTTTTAGAAGCTCGAAAACACTGGTTAGAGTGGAGGCAAGTATGGGCGTCTCTTTCCTATCGACTCTCCCTTCTTTGGTTAATGTCCCTTCTTTAACCATCTCTAGTGCTCCTACCATTAGATGTCCTTCCCATGCTGTAAGTTCTCTTATCCGTGTCTTACTATTAACAAATGTTGCTTCAGTTTCATATTGGTTGGGATTTGGGAATGCCACAGAAAATGAATCATTTATTTTTCTCTCTTTTTCCTTTTTGTCTCTGCCTAAATATTGATCAGGTCGTTGTTCGTTGTAATAAAACGGACACTCATGTCAGTGGTGAGAATGTTTTCCGGCGAAGAGATCTTTTGAAATGCTTTGGTGCTACTGTTGGCATGGTAAGGGAGAAGTGATATTTTCATTGGTCTAAAATATAGCATTCACATTCTATTTAAATGCCAATCCGTAAATTTGACTGTGTACTTCTTGATTTTATTCCGAAGGTGGTACGTTAATGTGTTACTTGGATATACACGGTCGGATGACTCTAATCCTAACATTCGAGACATGATTGAATTCTGAGATATACATTCTGATTACATGTTTTTCCAGCCCAGAAAAAATAAAAATAAAAAAACTGATATCTGAAAGATCTCATTTAGAATATTATTACGTTTTTTTATTTGTAGAACGTGATGTTAATGGTTGTACTTTGATGCATCTTTCAATATTGGAAATCCATAACATAGAATGACGTGTTGATGAGTTTCTACCAGTTTTGCTGTAACCTTAGGAATTACTAGCTACCTCAGGATCATTTGTTGAAATGGCTAGTGCTGCTGATTTGATCCAACGCAGGCAGCGTTCAGAGTTTCAGTGTAAGTTCCCCAATTCCACATTTCCATGCATGCTCAAATCAGATTAGAGTTTGCTCAATTGATGTTTCATCCTCTTTCTCACAGCCAGCATGCGGCAGACCCTTCTCTCAGCTATTAAGGTGAACCCGGCAACCTTGCATTTATGCTTTCTTTTTATCAAGTAGTTGTACTGCACTTCAGATTAAGTCCCCATAAAATGGATAAAATTTTTCTACATCGTGTTTTGATGGTGTTTGATCGCTTTTCTGTTTATATTTGTTTCAGGGCAAACCTGAACTTATCCCATGCATTCTAACTCTGGCTCTGAATGATGCTATTACTTATGACAAGGTCAGAGAAATACCTTTACCTGTTGAATTACTATGCAACTGCTATGGAAGTCCATAACTGGAGATAAAAATCGAAACACATACGCTGATTAATTGCTGATTAAGTTTGTAGGCTACAAAATCTGGGGGCCCAAATGGATCAATACGATTCAGGTATTTCATTCTTGAAGTTATCATCTTTTATGAGTTTGTACACAGTGATTTATCAATGTATGGAATTTTATGCTTTCCCCTTCCCCTAGCATATCGTGAAACTGGGTTTCAGACATTTGCATATGCACTGCAAGCATCAAACCTCAATTGATTATGATTATTCACATAGGAATGAGCAAATAGAACCTACTACAGGTTCTTTGTGAAGCACCATGTCAGTATTGCTTATATCATGATTTTTGATGTTGGCTGTTCCTGTTTTTGGATTTCTAAGTAACTTAGAACACCTGCCTAGATTGCCGAATTATAAATTATTGTTTAAGTTATCCCTGCCTCTTGATTGAAGTTCCTTTTTCTTTTTGAAGCTATAATTTACCTCCTTTCCTGAATTTTATCTTACTTTTCTTCTCCTTTTTTTCACACCTAAAGTTCAGAGATAAGCAGACCTGAAAATATGGGGCTTTCTGCAGCTTTGAATTTAGTAGAGGAAGCAAAGAAGGAGATAGATTCATATTCCAAGGGTGGACCCATCTCCTTTGCAGATCTTATCCAGTATGCAGGTTAGACACGTTCATAATCCCAAATTTATGCCATGCTGCATACTATGGCCATATTGCATGGCCTAAATTATCTGCAGATGAAAAGAATTTAATTCGTCAACAGAGAAGACCAATGCCTCTGACACAATTTTGTTTGTTCTCAACAGGACAAAGTGCCATTAAGGCTACATTTCTGGCTTCTGCCATTCGCAAATGTGGTGGTAATGAAGAGAAAGGGACCATATTATACTCTGCTTATGGCTCCAATGGACAGGTTAGTGTTTCTAATTTGGCTGTGTTGTGGACAGTTATAATTTGCACTAGGATACATGACAATGTTGTCAACTCTACCTCAGAACCAGCTGATTATTGAAGTCAAGATCTAAAACAATGGCCACACTGAAAGTGAGAACAGAGAATTGCTCATATGTAAAAGTACTTTTGCAGAAAGGTTAGGGAGACCTTTGTGTAAAAAGGAACATTACAATAACTGCCATTGTGCTCAAATGACTTCTCATGCATACTTAGAGATGTAGAATGAAATATTTCGTCATTTTTTGCTATTATCTGATCTACGGATAGGTTTGTTCTGCGTCTTTTTGGGGAATTAATTTTAGTGCTTTGATTGTAGTGTGTCGATTCTCAGTAAAAGTAAGTTATAGCGAGGAGCAATTAATCCCTACAACTGTTGTTGTTCTTATATAGTGGGGATTGTTTGATAAACAATTCGGAAGGACAGATACCCAAGAGCCAGATCCAGAAGGGAGGGTTCCCCAGTGGGAGAAAGCCACAGTCCAGGAGATGAAAGACAAGTTCTCATCTATTGGCTTTGGTCCCCGCCAGGTATGCTCTCGTTAAATTTATCTTTCAAGGATCACAACCTCCTAAATAGACTTCTTGAAATTTCACTTTGGAAAGACACGTACAGAACTAGAGATGGTTGCTGATTCAATTCTGTTCCTCACCTGGTTTACCAGCTAGCTGTTATGTCCGCCTTCTTGGGTCCTGATCAAGCAGCAACAGAGGCATTACTGGCAACTGATCCGGATGTTGTACCGTGGGTTCAAAAGTACCAACGTAGCCGAGAAACAGTGTCTCAGACAGATTATGAGGTCAGTTGATAATTAAATCAACCTGCCGAATTTGAAATTGTGCAAGGTATTTGCTTGCCATGGAGCAGAAGTAATTGGACGCTAATATGTACCGTTACAGCATCACATTTCGAAATTTGTGTTGCCTCGATATTGGTTCTCATTATGATCTTGGAATTGATTTTCTTTCAGGTCGATCTGATAAATACTCTCACCAAATTAAGTTCCTTGGGCCAACAAATCAATTATGAAGCATATACATATCCTGTTCAAAAGATTGAGTTGAGCAAACTCAAGTTATAGAGCAAGTAATTTGCATTTTCAGGGAACCATCAACTGTTCCAAGTCCCAGCAGGCGTAGTTATTGTTTCTCACAATTTTGTAAGCAGTGATATCTTCAAGCTTCCCTTCTGTATCACCTGATTCAAACATGAAGCGTTCTGTATGACTTCAACTGCCTGGAGCACTAAATCCATGTACGTTGCCCAGTTTGCAATTCTCTTCGTTGTCCCACATCAGCACTCGCTGAACTATGTTTTGCATGAGCGGCTAGAAGAATTGCCCTTACTTGAATCTTGAACCATCGACGGGCTCATAGTGAGGCGTTGTCTCCTACAGTTCTTCAATTGCCAACATCTCAAGTTGTAGCCTAATGCTTGCTCCTTGTTCAAAATTAATGGCTCCATTGGCTAAAAATTAAAACCACCAAATTCAACAACATAAACAATTTTCTTCAAAACAGAGAACATTTTCTTACTGAAGAGGGATGCTTTCCCCAGTAATGGTTACAAACCTTTTGCTACCCAACTAATTCAGTAAATTCAAGTCTATTTCATATTTCAAGTGCTTTTAATAAAGGGCAAGAAGTTTCAACGAAATAGAAACTATCAAGGCCCTGATTAAATTTTAGTCATAACTTTTTTCTTTCCCTTCACATTTTCACCTTTTCGACTTTTTTTTCCTTCAAATGCCAAATGCATAAACATTAAAAAGTGTCACCAAATTGATCCCCCAAACATTCTTGGCACAAAAATCAAATATTGCAAGTCTGATGCATTTCCTACGTGGATTTAGGAGTTATAAGCTCCAGCCCTCCCATGAATGCCCTCAATGGCTCGGGGATAATAACAGAGCCATCTTCTTGCTGATAGTTCTCCAGCAAACACACAATCATCCTTGGAACTGCACAGGCCGTTGCATTTAATGTGTGCACAAACTGTGTTGGAGCAAGGCTGCCTTTACCCTTTTTAGGAGGGGCTGATGTAGGTTCTGATGGGCGATAACGGATTCCTAGTCGGCGACTTTGATAGTCGGTACAATTTGAGGCACTTGATATCTGCTTAAGAAAGAAATCATATGATTTACAAAGTCCTAAGAATGCTTATTTATAGCAAAGTCAATAACTATGTAAAAGCAAAGGCAGAGTGCAATTGTGAAATAAGTATCAATACCTCGCCATACCGTCCTAAACCAGGCATCCATGCCTCCACATCAAATTTGCGGTAAGCAGGTGCACCTAAATCCCCAGAGGCCATATCCAACGTTCTGCCCAAAAAGGAGAAAAACCAAAGATCATCACAAATACAAAGCAAAACTGTAAAACAAAGGCTTAACCCTATAGTTTGCCATCAATTTTGCCCTTACCTTTTCAATTCAGTCAATTTGTCCTTCCGTTATCCAATTTGAGTCAATTGAGACCAATTACTAAAATTTGTCTAGATCAGAGGTTAGTTTTAGGTGACATGGCATTAAGTGGGTCCACAGAGAGATAAAGCAAAAAAGAAAAAAGAAATACAAAGAAAGTATGGATGGCACGTGCGAGACAAAGTAACAAATAATAAAATAAACAGAAAAAGGATATTAAATGAGAGAAGGGTCTCGTTTTTGTAGATATAACCAGAGAGAGAGAGAGAGAGAGAGGGGTAAATTGGGGTTTTAACCTTTTGTAAAGGAGTAGGAGATCAATTGGAATTTTAGGGGTCTTCCAACGTTTTTCTCTCTTTTCATTTTTTTTTTTTTCAACTTTGTCTCCAACGTGCCACCCATTATGTATCTCTTTTTCACTTTCTCTCTCTCTTCTAACTGGACCCATTTAATGCCACGTTACCCAAAATTAACATCTGATTCAACAAATTTTAGTGATTGACCTCAATTTACTCAAATTGGATAACATAAAGGCAAATTGACTGAATTTGAAACATTGCAGCAAAATTGATTGCTAAACACAAACACAGAGGCAAGAGGGTTAAGCAGTAAACAAGTAATCAAAAAGTTGGTAAGAGGACCTACTTATAATGTAATCCTAGGGCAGAAAAGAGGTCTTCTTCAATTTTGATAAGCTCCTCATGGTAAGCCTCACTCTCCTGTGGTCGGCACAAAACGAACATCTCCACCTTGCTGAACTGGTGGACTCGGTAAAGACCCCTGTGTAAATTTTGCAACAAAGTATCACCATGAAGAATGGAGTATGGATCTGCGACACTTGGAATCTAATCAGAGTATCATATCAGACATCTGTTGTACAAATGAATAAAGCCCAGATAACATACCTTGTTGCTGAGCCTGCAGCACCAGCTTCAGTACGGAAGCAATGGGAAAATGCCACATACTTCAATGGCAACAATGACTCAGCAAGAATAGCATCCATGTGAATTCCTCCCACAGGAATCTCTGCAGTGCCAATGAGGCATTGATCACTACCCTCGATAGAGTAAACCTGTTAATTGTCTGGCATAAGTATCAACAGATCATTATGACCAATCGTGATGCAATTAAATAACCCCAGCTCCAAGAAAATTCAAGGGCTCTCTCTTGAAAGAAACTGCATTTCCTTCCACAGAAAACCTAGGTCCTTAAGCACATTTTACAGCAATTTAAAAATGGGGACACCTTCAGTAATCTAACGCTCAATCTGGGATATTGTCCTTTGTAGTCATGAAGTTACCACTTCATGGCCAAAATATTTTAAAAATGACAGCATGGTAACAGCAGCTTCATATATGACAATCCGTGTTAAGTTGAATTTTTTGATAAATAAACTAAAAACAATTTGGATAAGGCAGTAAATAGAAAATCAGCTACAAACCTGAGTGTTATCACCACGAGGTTGGAAGCCACATTTTTCAACAACAGAGGACCTAACAAGTTCTGGGGTTGTTAGAGGTGTAAATCCCTTTTTCATGACTTCTGAGAGAGTCCAGTTGACAAGGGCCATCTCCAACATAACTGCTTCATTCTTCAGATAGTAGAATTTTGACCCACTGACCTGCATTGGCCAAGCAAAATACAAGAAGCAAAATCACATTTCCTTGTCAGGCAGAAGCCCTAGCTATTGAAATCCTACTTCGGGAATACGTTAAGGTCTGATGTAGGAGCAAGAGATAACCATACAACCTAGGCACTAGCTATACAGCAACCTGAAAGTAAAGGCCCAACATTAAAAGTTCTATTTTCAAGTAAATGCTAGTGAACACCCAACAACAAACTCATGTCTTTACTCTTTTTCTGAGCGAAAAAATAGTGTTACTGCACTTAATCAAGATGGCCTTTGCTTTCAGAAACATACTTTGATTAAACTGTCCATAAAAGGACATCAATTATGCCTGATGGCATTTAACTAATAAAAGTGTCATGAAAGCATGCAGAGATGGGAGAAAATACTTTGGCAATTTAAATTAAGCAGAAGATACCTCTGCTGCTGCATCAAAATCAAAGAGATCCAGTTCTTTCCCGAGTTGAAGGTGGTCCTTGACAGGGAAGCCAAACTTAAGTGGAGTACCTTCCTATAAGAGCACAGAGGAAATGTAGTTAAACCTGTAACATGTCCAGCATCATCCCCTCCCTCAAACATACTTGCATCCCCACACACACTTCACTCACAACATAATTGTGAATGAATTACACTATTATCTCATGAAACATCACAAGTACAAACAATGGCATACTTGCAACTGAATTCAACTTCTTGGTCTTTTAGTTCCTAAGAGCAATTCATGTCTTCGTATTTTGTTCTATGTATCAATTTCCATATGAAATAAGAGAAAGCAGTTGAAAGAATTACGTACCATAGTTCTCACTGTTGAACTATCTTCCCCTCCGATTGGAACATGTGGATGAGTCATGTTAGGTATAGATTGTGCTTCCAGCTGAAGCTCATCTGTAAGTTTAACCAGGTCTTCTTCCAAAGTTGCAAGTCCTTCTTTCAGATTTTTTCCTGAGGAAAATAAAAGGACATTCATTACACAGTTACAAGCAATCGAAAACCAAAAGAACGATAGCAGCATGACAAATTATTCAAACCATACCTTCTTCAATCAGTTTTTGACGCTCTGATGGCTCTAGTTTTCCCTTCATCTTGTTTGCTACTGCATTCCTTTCCCCACGAAGTCGTTCAACTTCCTGTTATCTGGAATGGCAATTAGCTTTTCATTTTCTTCTTAAATTTTTTGTTGGCACACAAACTGCACACTGACCATATACATTATTTCTCATATGCATATAAAATTTAAATAAAAGATATGCCAGACTGTTGATGAAAACAATTTTATCATAAATGTTTAACATAAGGCAAAAATTGAAGACAATCTGACCTTTTGAACAGCCAACATTTTCTCATAGAGATCAACTACAAGCTCCAAATTAGCATGAGAGTTCCTGTTCTTTATATTCAAAGCCACCGCATCTTTGTTATCCCTTATCCATTTGAAATCTATTGCTGCTTTCCATTGCGGCTTCACCACTACAATCAAATAATAAATAAATACATATTCACATTCCTGCTTGGTTCCTGAGAAACTGAAGCAAAATGGAGTCAAGAAACAACAAAATTAAACACCTTTGTTATCCAAGCTTTCCGTTATAGGCGCCGCCTGGACAGCCGTTGCAGAGAGAGCTCTAACCAGAAGCTTAAACGGAGTTCTTGATGGACAACTAACATTATTATGGCGGGAAAATAAATTTAGAGCTAGGGTTTCGGAGCTTGGCTTGAAAATGAAGCGTGAAGAAGCAGCAGGTATTGCGGCTAACTTTAGGGTTTGTATGGTTGTCGCTCCAAAATAGCACTGGAAACTCATCTTGCCCACTCTTTTCAGTCTGTCAGTGTTAGAACCACCCAGTCCAATGCCGATGAAGAAGCTTCGAAAGATGGCTCACCATTTTTAGGGACAATTTTATCTTTAAATATATATTTTTTAAATTAAGATAATTTAAGCCCGTCTAAAAGTAAGCCCGAAAGTAAAGCGGCGTCGTCTAATAGTTGCGTCTTACAACCTGCAATTTATTCTGTTTATAAGGGGGATTGGTGTAGACCAATAGGAAGTGAGTATTATAGTGTCAGAATCCGAGAGGGAACTGAAAATCCGCATCCTAACCGTTCACTAATCTAAAAAAAAACACAAAATAACTGACCCATTACCTTCCGATGCTGCCTTTTGAAAGCACAGCAGCACCCAATCTTGGCCGTCCTTCACCCACGTTGCTCCCATGAGCTTCCTCTATAAATGGCCGATAGAATCCGTCGAAATTAACATTTCAACCACTTGCCTAAGCAACGTTCCTTTCTTGTTCGAGTTTTGGCCGAACGTTTTAGGTACGGTTTTCTTCCTCTATTTCACATTTTCAATTCAACCATTCTAGTTCAGATAGATCATCCTTCAGCATCTAAATTTATTTATAATTCTTGTGGTTTCTACTATTCAATTTGGGTCTCTGAATTCATTATTTTAGGGTCTCGGTCCATTAGGTTTGTTAATAGATGGCTCGTACAAAGCAAACAGCACGTAAATCCACCGGCGGCAAGGCTCCAAGGAAGCAGCTCGCCACCAAGGCTGCACGCAAATCAGCACCGACAACAGGAGGCGTGAAGAAGCCACACAGATACAGACCTGGAACCGTTGCACTTCGTGAAATCCGAAAGTATCAGAAGAGTACTGAGCTTCTCATCAGAAAACTCCCATTCCAGAGACTTGTTCGTGAAATTGCTCAGGATTTCAAGACTGATTTACGATTCCAGAGCCATGCTGTTTTGGCTTTGCAAGAGGCTGCTGAAGCTTACCTTGTTGGATTATTTGAGGATACTAATCTTTGCGCTATCCATGCCAAGCGTGTTACCATCATGCCTAAGGATATCCAGCTCGCCAGGAGGATTCGTGGTGAGAGGGCTTAGAAGTTGGAAGACAATCTGATCAGACGTTTGGCTTAGGATTAATCTAGTAATGATGATGTTAAATATTCTTAGTAATTGAAATCACTGTTTGTTTCCAGAATTAACACGACAGGTTTTTTTTTTCCAAGTTGAACAACTTGGATTCAATATATCTATTTGTTAAGTAAATTGGAGCCGGCTGGGATTGGAACAAGCTTGAGCATTGGCTCAAGATCTTTTCTTTCTGTTTACTTTAACTTTTTGCTTAAATGAATGGTCTATAGGGATTTATGGTTTCTAGTAAAGCAGTAGCGTCCCCATTCTCATTGATCTAATAACGGAGTATTACTTTGATGGTGGTGTTGTTGTTTCCATAACTATGAGTTGCGACGATGGAGGGTGAAGGTCTCACCTGCAGTGTCTTGCTTGGGTTGGTACAGAAATATCCAAGTGTATGGAATTACAGAGACTGATTGACACCAATTATTGGTGCATTTTGCAGTCTGGCAGGAGAAATTCTGATTGTTTTCTGAAACTTTTGGGGCGTGATTGTCTATAATTTTTTTGTTCATCTTACAATTGAGTCGGCCTATTTCTCCTCTGCACACTTGGTAACAAGGGGGAAAGGAAAGCAGATCAAGGAAAAACAATATTGAATAGGAGCATTGAAATAAACCCAGTAGTCAATTTATCATTCAAAAGAAGAAAACTATTTGCCTAAGTGTGGCATGTCCATATATATATATTTTTTTTAATTTACAACTGAGCTCAAGCTTCTATGAGACGCCACAGGAGGGGTGGGTTGGCAATGTATAGATTGTGGGAGGGCTGCCTCCAACGAACCTTTTAAAAAACTCATTTGAACTACCAGAATTGCTTAGGAGTCAGCACACATGCATGATGCATCCGTGCTTTCTTAAAAGATTGCACCTGCCAGTACTCTCCCTGTGCTCATGATTCTATCTCTTCGCCAGCCCTGAGCCACCAAGTTACAAACCAAAATTTGGCTCAAATAGCATTCACTAACGTAGTCAGGTCACCGAGAACAGAACTCTGGTGTAAATTTTGACCTTAAAAAACTAATAGTTCAAGCTGCAGCAATGATTCATGGAAAGGAATACTTTACAGAATCTCCATCAACAGAACCAATTTATTAGTCTGCAATGCTTTTAGTCTTCGACCTACCCAAGCACAAAAAAGAAGCTTAAATAATAAAGCAACCAGCAATCAGATTCCTCGCCTGTAAATAACAAAGCAAACCAGAGTAATATTATAGCCTGCAGGTCCTAATAACAAGACTGAAAAACTGCGCTGTGGCACTTCTGATCTGTTCATCGCTGCATAAATTAAGAAATGTGATCTGTGCGTGCAAAAGGGGTGCCTGGGCAGCCATGTTTGTATTTGATGTTTCGCTGCTAAGGATATACCATGGAAAACATGCCTGCTTCAGCATAAGATTCACCTGCATAATACAGTAGAAAAGTGACAATATATCCCACATATGTTGCCTATGCAAGAGACCGTCAGCATGCGAGCCTTGCCTTTTTAACATTCATATTGACATCAAACAAGATACAAGTTCTAAATTTCTAATGGCTGTACGGTTTCCCATGATTGAATGTGTAGAGCTAATCATTTGATATTGATGATGGAAAAAAAAGGCAGAATTATAGTTTCAGAATCCAACACGAAATGGATAATTCACATCTTAACCGTTCAGTTAATTCGTAAAAGACACAACATAACCTACCCTTAACCGTCAGATACTGCCATTTGAAAGCACACTGACACCGAATCTTGACCGTCCATCCTTCACGTTTGCCTCTTTAAATAGCGGATAGAGCTCGAAATTTTGAGTATCTAACAACAAATTCCATTCTTCTGCTTGGAGTTCTGTCAAATATTTCGATGTACTTCTCCACAGTACTTATTTAGGTTCCTCTTCCTTTGCTTTTTCAATCCTCTGATTTGCTAAAAAATTTTAATAGATGGCTCGCACAAATCAAACTGCTCGTATCCAGTGGCGGCAAGGCTCCAAGGAACAGCTAGCCAGCATTGTATATATAATCTTTTCGTTCTTTCATTTCCAGATTTTGTGTTTGTTATTTGTTCATTTCTGTTTTACAAAAAACACTTGTTTATTTTCTTAGGTTGCCCGCAAGTCAGCCCCAATAACAGACACGGGTGTGAAGAAGCCCTACAGACACAGACCTGGAATTGTTGCTCTTCGTGAAATCCACAAGCACCATAAGAGTACTGAGCTGCTCATCAGAAAACTCCCATTTCAAAAACTTGTTCGTGAACTTGAACAGAATTTCAAGAGCGATTTGCAGTTCCAGAGCTATGCTGTTTTGGCCTTGCAAGGGGCAGCTGAAGGCCTGAAGCTTACCTTGTTGAATTGTTTGAGGATACTAATCTTTGTGCAATCCATGCCAAGCGAGTTACTATCATGCCCAAGGATGTTCAGCTTGCCATGAGAATCCATGGAGAGAGTGCTTAGAAGTTGACTGCAAGCTGGCATGTGAGCATAAGATTTCTCTTGCTGCTGCTCTTTAGTTTTTCTAGTGGATGATCAATAGGAACTTCTAGTACAATGGTAAAGCAGTAGTTAATTTGCTCATCAAATTTATATGTCAATGGACATACTGCCGGTATTAAATTCTCTCTGTAAGAAATTAAATTTTGCTTTTCATTTGATGTTGGTGTGTTCTTTTAGTTGTACTTTTGCCTTTCCTGTAGAAGATTTTTGTGATGATTCTGGTGCTCCTGAGACGTTTTACCTGCGATGTCTTTATCAGGGGCTAACTTCAAAACTATGGAAAAATGGAGAGTGACTGATTGACGCCAATTGCTGGCGCATTTTGCAGTGAGGCATAAAATTTTTTAGTCTCGTGAAGTATGGGTGTGACGAGGCCATGATTCTAGCAGTCCAACTTACATTTCATTGGTCTATTAATTTCTTTTACATTCTTGAGGTTTTACTTCACTGTTTAAATTTTTGAGTTCGGATTTTTTTTTTTTTTGACATGATAACATAGCATTAATAATCAAGTCAAGTGATCTCGAGTTTAAATTTCTCATTTTTATTCTTCTAAAAATAAGATAATGATAGACCTATGTAATCTTTATTTTTCTAAATAGAAGATAATAAAAGACTTATACTAATAAGATTAAATTTTTAAATTGAAATGGTTACCAACAATTTATAACAACATTCCATGTTAGCTAACCTTTATATGCTTCTGTTTCCTTCGTTTCTTATATATATAAAAGCAGTATACGTTCTTCACTTTCTTTTGGATTGTAACTAGCAACGTATAAATCACACACAACAGTTAATGCAAAAAAAATTAATGATGGAAAAAGTAAGCATATCTTAAAGATAGTGAAATTGTCTCAGAGTAACGTATCCGTCGTGTTTCAAGTTTCAACTTGAACTGAACTGGCTGATTTAAAGAAGGGAAATTTTTGAAAATATCATTCTCATCATCAGACATATTCATGATTGTTGATAGAATTCAATTTAACTATGGAAAACATATATGTATGAATCTTCGATCAATGATTCATGGTTGGTGATTATTTCACATAACATATTTGATATACATTGATAACTCTGTAGAATATTAAAACAGACGGCTATTGAATCAAATGATAAAGGCATTTTTGAAAGGAAAAAAATAGCTCTTCTCAAATGAAATGAAAATTGGATTCAATTTATGTTTCCACAGTTACATATTCCGTGTCCAAAACATGGAAGAAGGGATGATTCATGTTGAGGATTACTTCTCTCTAGCCATCTAAAAAGCCAGTACAGCCTTCACATACACGAAGCTTTAAATAGAAGCTTAAATATAGAAACCAAAAATCAGATGTCTCGTCTTTGTGAATAGTATATAACTTAACAAAGGCACGACCAAAAATACAATTAGCGTTCCTTTTAGTATGTGAATAGAAGGATTAATTTGGAACAATAGGAAACGAGTATTATAGTTTCTGAATCCAACACGAAATCGATCAGCCGCATCTTAACTGTTCAGTTAATTTGTAAAAATTCAACATAGTTTACACTTAATTGTCGGATATTACTGCTATTTTAAAGCACGGCGACAACCAATCCAGCCCTTCCTTCTGTCACATTTATCTCTACAAATAGCGGATAGAATACAAAACATCAAACATCCAACACAAGAAATTAAGACAACCACCTTTAAGCCTCCACGTTTTCAGTTAATTCCTCCCCGATCCTTTTCTCAACCAAACATTTATAATGGGGTTGGGATGCAACTGTAATTTCCTTTTTGGGGTTTTTTTACTGTAGGGTTAATTCTCAGTCATTATGTCAATCTTGTTGTTGCCAATATGTAGGTTTAATAGCTAATGTAGTGATGAGAAAAAAGACTAATTAGTTGCATCCCAACCTTTCTAACTGTAGTTTATTTAATACAATTATTCATTATGCGTTACTTTCCTCTTCAAATAAAGTCTCTTTAATCGTTATAAACAGGTAATATGAATTTTCTTTTTTAATAGAATGTTTCAACTATCCACGCATAATTTCAGACATTGGTTAATTACTGTTTCCTATTATTCCTTAACTAATTAATATGAAACGAGTGCTATAGTTTCAGAATTAATCCAACCGAAAATAGATAATTCGCATCTAAACCGTTTAGTTACTCATAGAAAAAGCAACAAAATTTAACCTTAATCGTCCGTCCCTAATGTATGACTCTATAAATAGCAATAGTATCCTTAATTTTAAACCTCAAAATGCCTTTCTTTATCTTTGAAATTTGTGAAATATTTTGAGGTACGACTAATCTTGCTTTGTGCTTTCACTTTCTTAACTATTTAGCTAGGCTTTCTCTTCCTTTTGTAGGTCCTCTGTCATCGCAAAATTAAGTTTGCGTTCATTTGCTCGAATGTTGCATAGATGGCCCGTACAATTAAATCAAACTGCACGTAAATCCAATAGCGGAGAGGCTCTATGGAAACTGTTAGCCAGCATTATCTATTTTTTCTTCTTCTTTTTTTTTTTTTGTTCAATTCTGGATATTGCGCTTCTTATTTCTTATTTTTATGTTTTACAAATTAAAAAAAAAATTGTTTATTTTTTTTTTCCTTAGGTTGCACTCAAGTCAGCCCCAAAAACAAGAGACATGAAGAAGCCCCACAGAGACAGTTCTGAAACTATTGCTCTTTGTGAAATCTGCAAGTTCCAGAAGAATAATGAGCTGCTCATCAGACAACTTCCATTCCAGAGACTTGTTCGTTAACTTGCACAGAATTTCAAGACTGATTTGAGGTTCCTAAGCTACGTTGTTTTGGCCTTGCAGGAGGCAGCTGAACCGTACCTTTTAGGATTGTTTGAGGATACTAATCTCTGTGCAATCCATGCCAAATGTGTTACTATTATGCCTACCGATATTGTTCAGCTTGCCACGGATTCTGATATTGTTCAGCTTGCCACATCAGAATCCGTGGCGAAAGGACGTAAAATTAACCAGCTGATCATCGTTGGCGATTGCAAACTTGGGTTTTCGCTTTAGGATTTCTCTCTTATTTTTAATTTTTTTTTATCTTGTCCTTTGTTTTTCAGTAAATTATTATTATAAGATCATTGATCAGATTGATACGTAACAGGTGTTTACAGTATGAGCTTTCTTTTTAAAAATTCTCTTTAGGTAATTGTGGTGAGCTATCGATAAGTTCGCCTCTGGATTTTTTTGGATGATACTCCGTCCGAAAATTTTGCCTGCAATGTCTTGCTTGCCGTAATACAACCCATCGCTGGCTAACGAATGGGGAGCGTTTCCTGAACAGTTGCAATTTATTGGGCCGTAACTTTTTCATTTTCCTTTACCCGGAATTGGGGGCTATTTCACTGTCGTTATAAAACAAGCTCATAGCTCAGATAACAGAAAATTTTTTAATATATATGTGTGCGCGCGCTAAATTGATATTTCATGTAGCTACTTTTAAGGAAAGAAAATTAAATTTAAACCCATAAAAAATAATAATAAAATATTAATCTATGCTCAATTTTTTTCTTTCTTATTTATCTCTCTTTATTGTGGCTCAATTTTTTTTTCTTTCTTATTTATCTCTATTTTTTGTGTTTCTCTCTCTTTTATGTAGTAATTTAACAAGAAATTTTATAATATTCAAGAACTAACTAGTGTACATGTCTATAGATACATTTTTGAGGACATAGATAAACACATAAAAAAAATCACATTTGGATCCACTAAAAATAATAAAAAGATTTTCATCTTGACTTAATTTTTTTTAATTTTCTTCCCTTTTTTTTATATTGATTTCTCTCTATAAAGCAATTTACACTAATTACGCTTTAAGTATTATAAAATTTCTTGTAACATACACTTAATATAAAATTCCTCAAGATAACATTCAATGAGCAGCTATTTTTAATTTTTTTTGTCAAGTACTAGTATTACTCCGTGTATTAATTGCAGATAAATCTATAAAATCTGTTTTAATTGACCTGTAAATTTTGTTTAATGTTTTAATTAACTTTAAAAATCTAAGAGAATGAGGTAAAAATAATCAATATTAATTATGATTTTTTTAATTAAATATGTATCATGGAGTATTTAATACATGTGTGTATTTCGTGTTTGAATTTAAATATATTTTATAAATATGTTTGATTTTGAAAACTAAAAAAAAACACAATTAATTATCAATTTTATAAATAAAAAAAATCAAATTAAAATTTGATAATCGGAAAGCAAAAATTGAAACTAAAAAGGTGCTAAACCAATTCTTATTCAAAGGACATTTAGTTTTAGTAAATAAATGTATAAAAATCATAAAATAGTATTAATTTTTGAGAAAATAATAAATAATAATATAATAAAAACATACAGAAACGAAAAACCCTAACAAAAACAAAAAAAAAGGAAGAAAGTTCAGCCGGAGAGCCTAGGCCTGCACGTATAGACTTGGAGATAACTAGGCCTTCGTGCTTGGGTTGGACGCATGCGACCCAAACACTTTAAAAAAAAAAAATGTTCGAAGTGACATGTCGCCGTTTCTACAACTATAAACGACCAATTGTCGTCGAAAAGTTAAGAGGATGGTGGTTTTGGCCCTCTAAACTTAATTTATACACCATTTTTTTTTTTTTTTTGACCTCCAAACACATTAGAATAATTCTAACAAGATCTAAAAACTATTTTGAACCTTAAAACATATTTTAAACAACCTTAAAAACACATAAAAAAAACCACTCTTCCTTTCTCCCTCCTCTTCCTACTTTCAGGTATCCTATTTTACCAAATTAAGGTTTAGAAACAACTCTGTTCAAAACAAGGACCAAAATGAAATCATACTTGTGAAACAAAAAACAGAAGAAACATAAAAGATTAAAACGAACCCATATTTTAAAAAAAAAAAAAAAACACTTTTTTTTTCAAAACAGCGTAGTTTTGAACAAAAAATCCATTACTGCATCTACATAGCTAAGCTACGGCAAAAAGCCTAGATCGTTTTAGGTCTTTATAGTAATAATTAGAGCTCAAACTTCTCTTTACAGGAGACTGGAGTCCCTGCGAAGATTCCGATAAGCAAATCGATGAGAATCTAATTCAGCTCTGCAATTTTTTGTTCGATATATAAAACAGAAACTTTTAAGCCGAGTAAAACAGCTGCATAGCATCCACGTATAAACTTGATAGAAGATATTCCGCAGGCAGTCTTTATTGAGAGTAATCAAGGGGAAGTATATGTTCTTATTATCTAATTCAAGATTCTTTTGGGTTCTAAATAGTAATGAGTAACTGTTCCACAACAGTTAAAGCAGAAAAAATTATGGAAAAAAAATAAGCTTCACCTTGAGATGGCAATAAGCCAATAACAGTCTCACGTGCAACAAATTCTTCGTGTTCAGACTTGAACTAGTTCTAATAGACAAGCCAAAATTTCTTATTAACTCACTGATTCAAATAGGGCATTCCCTGAGAAAATACCTCTCGTCAAAGGTACTCATCTGTTGGTAGAAACTTTGATTTAGCAGCAGAAAACAAACTGCTTGGGGGTCTTCAAACAGGTAGCATCTACAGGGGACCTGGAAATGTGCCATTCTCCCTTTGCTCATTCCATCTCTCTACCTGCCACCACAGATGACAAACCAAAAGTTGGCTCCATAGCATTAATATAGCCAGGTCAGGTTACAGAAAAAAACATCGATACCCAATTCACCTTAAAAAGTAATATTATGAACTGCAGCAGTGATTCATGGTTAGGAAATACTTGGCTCAGTAACCATCTAAAAACCCAGTATCAGTATGCAACCCAAGAGAAGCTTAAATATAGTTGCCAAAAATAAGATGCCTTGTGAACAAAGCACTGCTACCAGAACAATTAATCATGTACTCCTGGATAACCAGAACAGAATTTGCAGAGTGACACTTATAGAAGCGCTTACTCTATGAACATGGATTTGTGGCAGATGTTGACTGTCATGCTTATGGAGTTGGTCGGTGGCCGTTAAGGACATTATGGAACAGAAGCCTGTTTGAGGATAATACGAGGAAAGTGCAATTTTTTTCTTATGCGAGAGATGTTCAGCAAGTCCTGCCACTATAGGAGCAAGTCATCTTGGCATCAGATAAGATAGAAAGCCTGATTGTGAGGGTAAAGTTGAACCTTGATGGAGCCTCTAAAAGTAACCCAGGATAGCTGTGGGCGGTTTATTGTGTGATGAGAGTAATAAATGTTAGGAGCTTTGCAGACAAATTGGGACATCAAATGACATGGCATTTGGAGTTTAAAAAGTTCACCCTAAATAGTTGATTCAACAGTGATGCTCAACCAAAGCAACACAGGAGTCAACTGTGTGGATTCGGAAGGACCTTTGGACAAAGAAATCTGGAGTTTGGCAGCGGACTTGGTTGCAAAAGCACAGCATATTAATTTTAAAGGTAATGAGTATGCTTATCAAGTTGAAAATTAAGGGCAGTTTATGGTGTGATGAGAGTGATAAATGTTAGGAGGCTTTGCAGACAAATCGGGACAGCAATTGGAATGGAATTTGGAGTTTAAAAATTTCAACCTAAATAGTTGATTAAAAGGTGGCACACAATCAAATCGACACAGGAGTCAACTGTGTAGATTTTGATGGACCTTTGTACATGGAGTTTGGCAGAGGATTTGGTTACGAGAGCACAGCACATTAATCTTAAAGGTAATGAGCATGCTTATCAAGTTGAATATTAAGAACTATATTAAGGACTAGGTTTTTCTTTCTTCAACATCCATGACATGATGATGGTGTCCATCCACGTAACATGAAGGTCTAAAATTAGAAGATTTTTATGATTGGTACACATTAGTAGACATGTAAAGGCATTAAACAGCATTTGAATAGCCCGTTGTTGAGAGTAAAAACTAATATCATACTCCTTAGCATATTAAAGATCTCAGATCTACATACCCATTCACTAGGGCAGAGAGAACGATAATATTTGGCAAACTTATCACACTCTGAAGCACCTTCACCCTTGGCAGCTACGCACCTGGAGAAAGAATCAATGTTTTATTTTGGAAGAAAGAGCCAATGTCAAGGTGAAAGAATGATGATTAAAAATAGATGACGAAATAAATAAATAGTAAAAGGAAGAGAGAGAGGGAGAGAGAGAGAGAGAGAGAGAGAGAGAGACCATGGGTGTGGTTCCACTTACCGATGATATTCAATGTATCTGGTAAAGCAGTGCCTTGTTTGATTTGTAGTTGGGAAACGGTAATCAGCTGGTGCTGTCTCAACCTACATATCAGCAAGGCAATCCCAACACATAAAATGAATATACGGGAAGCATAAAGATGGAAGTTGAACGAGCATGACACAATTATGCCATCACCAAGCAGTATATCTTGAATATTCAGTTACCTTAATCTCTCGCTTCCCTTCTGCAGCTTCTTCTCCTGAGTTCTCTTCTGCAGCTTCTTCAGCAGCAACAGGGACATCTTCACTGTTGCTTTCGGCAGTAGTGGGCGTTTCAGTGCTTTCTTCAGCAGCAGCAGGAGTATCTTCAGTTTTTTCTTCAGCAGCAGGAGCTGATGGTTCCTCAGCTTTCTCCACAACTTCCTCAGAAACAACAGCCACTGGGTTCTTGTCTTCTTTTACTTCTACGGATTTTGAAACAGCATCTGTCTGCTCTTCTTTTCCCTTCAATAAATATTGCTGCATGTCAAAGCATGTGACCAAATGGGTTAGTTAACACTAATAGCACGCCAATGCAGAAAGAATTTGTTGAGCATGCTAAATGGCCAAAGGGCTGGAGGTTTAAACATCTGATCACACTTGAAATGTTGCACTTGTATAGGTTGCCAGTAAAAAGACATGTATAAGGTTGAAATGCAACATTAATTAGTGAGCACAATATCAAATTTGTGTCGAATTCTAAATGTACAGGCATTACAAGTAAATTTTCTGAAAACTGAAACCTTTTACAAACCTATTTGCATCTGAGTTCAGAACGTATGAACTGGTCAAGCTGCAGCGGATTTTAAACTTTAGTGGTAGCCTATTTTGAGGTCTACCAGACTGCCCCTCAACGGTTAAAGCTTAAATTGATCTGTCAATCAAGCTCAAGCTTAATGGGCATCACAAAACACAACAACGCAGCTAAGGCATCAAGTCTATTGGGTCACGATCCTACACATACTTATCCTTTGGTACTTCAATTTGGTAATTGAAACATGCTCACAGGTCCAGTTGAAGGAGCATTCACTTAAAAAAAGGGAAAGAAAGAAAAAAGACAAAATTTGTTACCAAAAATGCAAGTTTGTATGACAGTGTTAACACAAAGAAGAACAATATTGAGAAACTATATAACAGCAGCAGATCTTTAATTGCACAACTCTTATGCAAAAAAGATATTTTTCCATAATCTATTGCAACTACAAATCGAAATTCTTACTCTTCCACACAAAAAGGAAAAAAAAAACAGAATCAACCAATAAAAATATCACCATCTAAGTTCTCTTCATGATATAGAACAAACACAAAAAAAAAAAAAATCGTTATAAATCAAGCACAAAATTATCCTCAAATAAGTCTCATTTTCGACAATAATTTTCTATGTGAAATAAAAACGAAGAACGATCCAAAATAAAGAAAAAAAAAAAAAGCATAACTCTTTAGATCGAACTTAAAACTAATACATTCGGTTCGAAGAAAAGTAAGCATGTGAACAGTTAGAAAGAGAGAAGGAACCTCGGATAGGGTTGGGGCTCCGGTGGTTGCAGCAGCATCTTCCGCCATTCTGTGGAAGAAGAAACGATCAGCTTTGCAGTTGAGTTGATTCAACAAGAGCAAGCGGCCAATCAGAGCGATGTCAAGAAGGGAAGCAAAAACAGCGTTTGGGTTAGGTTATGACCTGTCCTGACCTCACCAGTAGTTTCTTTTACTGCGTTACTGTGCCAGTAAAAGTTGGTGGAAGCTGAGTTATGTAATGCGAGCCCACGCAATGTAAGCCAGGGTTTCCGTTTTGCGGCAGTTCAAGAGAACTTTTGGAAGCTGCTGGCTGGCTCGGCTCGATTATCTTTTTCTTGGACCGAAGTGAGGGATTCAAAAATGGGCCGGGCTTAGAGAGGTTAATTTAGAACCAAAAAAGGTAAAAAGAAAAGGCTGGCTTAAATGTTTCAAAGTCTAATAAAATTTTCTTTACTGTAAATATTTGAAAAATTATTACACGTATATCATCCATAGCTTGAATTAGGGACCAAACCGACACCATAAGAACATTTAATAAAGATCGGTGTGTATCTTTTTATCCTAGTTAAAGATTTCAAGCACCCAAAGTTAAGAAACGAAAAATAAAATAAAATGAGAATAGCCACATGTTTCTTCACACAAACAACTCTCTTTTAATTCTTTACCCACGTCCATGGCCTACAATCTTTTGTTCTTTTCTTTACGTTGGATGATTCAATCAATTGTGAAATTTGATTAAAATGGAGATCGGAAGAATTTTTAGTTCTTGAATTCTTGTCTCACATCGATGCAGATGGGTATATTAGATGTATATACAGGAAAAAAAATGAATTTCTTGTGTTTGTTAGGTAGCAAATCGAGATGGGTGAATAGGTTTATTATTATTATTATTATTGTGGTTGTGTTCTTGTCTCTTTACAACAATTTTGTCACATGAAAGTCTTTAATAAATCCATTTCCAATTTATCAAAAAGAAATCAAATTTTGATTGGGAAGACTAGCTGCACCTTGTCAATATGAAGGCAATTGCATGGCTTATCATTATTTGTCTAAGGAATTATTAAAAGTGGGATTTAATGCATGACACCTTTTACACTTCAATTTTGAAATTCTGTTTTTTTTTAAAAAAAAACAATATCCGATTTCCTATATAGTACACCAAGGAAAAATTCCTCTAGTTTTCTTAATTTTTTACCTAATAAAACCTAGCAATAGCAAATTATTGAATCCAAAGAAAATAGTTAAACTTGGTTTTGCAGGCCTAGGGATATCTAGATTGAGAGAAAAGAGACTCAAAAGGTTAACAAAAGTTTATTATCTATTTTTAACTTAACCATGGTTGAATTCTTGGCCAATAAAACGAAAGCTTGTTCATTGATCTAAATATTATTGGTTTCTTCCACAATTTTAGGTGGTAGATTAAATCTGTCTAATAATTTGTGTAAATTGTTTTCTCCCTTTCAAGAAAACTTCTTTGCTACTACCGAATTGGTATTTCTGTCGCTACGAAACAAGGCCCTAGCTTTACTAAGCCCACCATTGGGCCCACGAGACACCTATTCCCCTTGGAGCTTTTTTCCTTTCTTTTTTCTTTTATTCAAAGGGGCTTTTGAGTTTTCAACCAAGACTAAGAAATTTTATAATATATAACGAACAATTAATGATATGTATAATGATTAGTCTATGAATTGACTTTAAAAAGAAAGATAAATACATTGAATTACATTTGAACCTATCAAAAGTGATAAGAACATTTTTCATCTTAGCTTAATTTTTTTTTAATTTGTTTTTTCTATTTCTCTCTTTTTTTATATTTATCTTTTTCCTGAAAATGAGTCTATAGAGTAATTACTGAACATACTATTAATTACCCATAATGTATTATAAAATTTCTCACCAAAATTAATCTGCACACACCAAAAAATTCTTGACCGTGACAGAAAAAGCTACGGTGGTTGATGAATAGTGTTAGACCCCCGCTACCGTATAAACAAATTAACATAAGTTTCTATGCATTGCAATCCTGATACATGAATAAAAAAGCCCCTGGGTGCAATCCTAGTCATCAAACATTAAACACCAATGTGGGTCAGGATTGCGTTGTTCGTATTAACTTGGATGTTAATGCTTTCCATGACTCTTAGTTCATCTCATCAAAATTATGAACCGTTAGATATCACATGAATAGTCGTGTGCCACCTCAATGCACCCATAATTATTCATCAATCCATAGTTAGTCTACCTATTATTTTTTGAAACTAAATTCTCTTTTTAGAATTTCTACGGTAGGTCATATTATTAAACTTGAATTCTGAACATTAATTTCTTTGAAAAAATTTAGAGAATACAAGATAAGGCGTAAACGAGTGTCTGTCCGAGCAGCAATATGACTTTCATTGTTTATCATCAAACCTTCCTCTTTTGCTATCAAAGCACACAAAATACAACAAGAGGCAATGATTGTACTGCTTGTCCATCCATATTATGCAACGCACGCTCTTTCCTTCAAGAAGCAACTGAAATGCATTGTTGATATCATTGAAGCTCACTTCATGTGTTATAAACTGCTCCAAATTAAGCTCCTGTTGTACAAGCAAACAAGAATGACAACAAATTACTCCAAAAACAACATAACTCATAAATTTATAATGGCATCTATAACCATTTAATCACACCTACCTTGCTTAGATATTTCTCGGCCAGGATTGGAAGGTCAAACTTGGGTTTTAACCCTCCCATAGATGACCCAGTAACAGTTCTACCTCTGAGAATCTCATAAGGGCTCAGGATCAGTGGTGAACCGTGCATTTCTACTCCAAGTACTACTGTCTTACCCCAACCCTGACCTCTCCAAACCAGCATCAACGAGCTAATCAAATGACACAGAGTCGGACAATAAAAATTCAGCTTTATACAACGACATGAGCATTATATTGTACTACATTGTAAAAAAGACTTTGCTGGTCATTCCATGTGCCGGTCGTAAGTTTGTACCAATATTACAGGAGGAAAACATGACTACGATGTTAGTTAGCATATATCTCATTGTACGAAAAAATTGTTGGTCATCCCCATGTGGAATCCGATACATCTTTGCAGCAAAGCAGGAACAGTACTCACATGCACATTCATTATTCATTACGGCACTGCTTGACTTAAGCAAACTGATGGCTGATGTGTTCTTGTTATCATCAGCAATATCAAGATTGAAAAACGATGCTTTCGGCAACTAAATTGATTAATTATTCTGTCTTTGAACTTCCTGAAGTATATTGGCAAAAGACTAAGTCAAGCAAATGTATACGAGAAAGCAAACCTCTCCGCTGCTGGTGAAAGCATCCGTCATTAATGACGCCAATCCAATGCATTCAAAGCAATAATCAGCACCTCCATCTGTTATTTCTTTAATTACCTGTTCATGGTAAGAAATAAACGATTGATTTCTAATATGTTATTTAACTGGTATAGATTGCGAGAAACATCCTTTAACGTGTCATATTTTGTTTTAAATTAATATTATTTATTATTATAATATATTTATCTTAAATAAAATCTATAAATGACCATTGTAAGTCTTGATTCTATTAATTCTAGTACTGATTTAGATAAATCTACGATAGATGAAAGTGTAAAAATTAGGTTAAAAAAATAATTTTTAATTATTTGTATGGATTAGAGTATATTTTTTTACAACACCAATTTTTTTTTTAAATACTGCTACGTTTACTCAATTATGACAGAATGCATGTATCTTGTTAATTTTCGTTATAATTATATGATTGGATATATTTAATTTACGTTGCATAGAATAATTAATACTATGCCATCTAGTTTCATACCGACCTCACTAACTGGTTTTTCTCCACAATTTGCTGGGTTGATGAAATCGGTTAGCCCGAATTTTTTTCCTGCGGTAAGAGAAAGAAGCAATTTGAAATCTCGAAGCAGTTCATAGTTCATACTAATAGTGTTTAGTAGCATTGGATCCGATCAAATTCTTTGGCAAGATACCTATTTCAAACTTCTCAGGATTCAGATCGACAACTATAATCTTGGAAGCTCCACGTATCCTAGCTCCTTCTGCAACCTGATATTTTAATACATTCATCATCAAAGACATCATTACATGCCTTTATCTTTGTAAATTGGCTCTGCCTTGGGAAGTGCATGCACTACTGGAGAAGGGAAAAAAAAAGTTTTATCTATCGGGTTCATTTTATTTATCTTAAGAAATATACCGCAAGCCCAACTGCTCCTAGTCCAAAAATAGCCACGGTGGATCCCTCCTCCAACTCTGCCACCTTCCACGCTGCTCCTACCCCTGCATCGGCCACATGGTGTTAATCAGCAATTTCTTGTTATAATTATATACTACGAGATATAGTAGTAGCAGTGGGTAATGGAATAGAAATCGACTATGTAAGACAGCGTGGCCTGCCTAAAGGTAGCGTAGTGGTATCGTTAATTATCAAAAATCTTGTGGGAATCTTATTGTTGCTTATTTGGGTTTTCAAACTGAAATGTGACTTCATTGATTAAATTACGTCTATTTGTTGGGGGAAAACTGGAAGAGGTCAAATGCTCCCTAAGAAATTTTCTGAGATGATCATCCAACTTCTCTTATTCTTGGTTTTTTTTTTTTTTTGGTGGGGGGTTTTGTTGGGGGGGTAGGGGAGATGAATGTAGATCATCCTGATATGACCATCTAATCAATAAACCCTATATATTTGGATTGACAAATTATTCCAAGAAATTAGGAAAAAATTAAACCCAGGATAAAAGGTAAAATCCCGAGAATAAAATCCGATGCAAAAAGCTACTAATCCCAATTCTAAGCCTGAAACATTGAAAGAACTACTAATACTTAGATATTAGAGTGCTGAAAGAGGTCAAATAAATTGCATGTGATCTGGAAACACACGCTTTCCTCATGAACGAGAACTGGAAAAGGCGTTCTTGAGCCGGTCCATGGATTCGGATCTCTAAATGTTGTTGCTTGCTTAAGCCTCTTAGCATTTTCTGAACTTTCATTCTCAAACAATAAAAAATAAAAACAACATTTTCTAGACATCAGCACTCACCTGTTGATACTCCACAACTTAGCAAGCAAGCTTTATCAATAGGAATATCAGTGGTAATCTTCACGACATGTGCAACATCCACCACCGTATACTGAGAAAAGCTTGAAACATTCAAGAAATGGTGCAAAACTTCCCCTTTCATGTCCCTAAACCTTCTTGTTCCATCCCTTGGCATGCCAAAGTAAGCAGAGGAGGCATCAAACTTTGAGCAAATATTGCTCTTAGCTGACTTGCAGTCTCTGCATTCTCCACAGTGTGAAGCAAACACAGGTAATACCAAATCTCCTTCTTTCACTTCTTGCACATGCTCTCCGACACTCTCAACAACGCTAAAGGAGAAAGAAAAACAAAATCCAGATTCAGGACAAACAAACAAGAAAATAGTGAAATGTTGGAAAAGAAAGTTGATGTAGTTGGATTACCCGGCTGCCTCATGCCCGAAAATTCTTGGAAAGATTGAAACGGGTCCCTAGAGAAATGATGTGAAGAAAAACATCATTATTATAAAAATTTTCTTTAATTTGACATGAGACGAGGAAAAAAGATGAATTGGAAATGTGCATCCTTAATTATCCCAGTCAAGGAGCTTACTGCCTGCATTTTCCAAAAGGTTACGTCACTGTGACAAAGGGATGCGCACAGAATCCTGATACGAACCTCCCAAGCTTTTGGTGGTTCAACTTCAATATCCTCTATCACCAGTGGGTCTCCAGGGATTCTGCATATTGCAGCTGTTCGGGCAAACAACACAAGAAAAGCAAGAATGGTATACACCAATATTGTATTAGGGACTGGTGCAATATTACATGTGTAAGCAATAAACTTGAACGAGCGATCAATTAGAGTCTATGATCAGAACAGAACCTTTGCATCTTATGGCTACTCCTGCAGATTCCGATTGGTTATTCATAGCAAAGACAATCAAAGTAAGATCTCTCCTTGAACACAGATTGAAGTAACAACCGAAAAAACAGAATAAAGAAACAGAGATTTCCTAGTCTTTTGTTGATAATCTGTCAAAATCTGTGTATCTAATATACGAGAAATTCTCTCTCACAAAAACTTGAGCTTCTTCAAGAAAATTATTTATAGATCCCCATATTTTTGTAAAATGGACGGATTACAGTACCTGACACACTAAATAATTCATCTATAATAACCACAGTTACGAAGCAGTCATATAACAAGTCAAAATATGCTTCAAGAGATTCTTAACTTTAAAAAATCTAGAAGGTAGTTAACTTAAATGGATTTTTTTTTCTAGAAAAAAATAGTGAGTTAAAGACATTTCCTTGGTAAATAAAATCAAGTTATAATGTTGGGTTCGTCCATGCATCATTATCTAAATTCCACTTGAAAAACAAGTAGATAAAATTCAGTTTACTCCATTACTCTTTAGCTTTTTGTGATGATCCCAGGGAATATGAAAATGATTTGAATGAGTTGCTAAATAAAAAGTCGGTAAGAGAAATAGCATACATAGGTTGAACATAAAAGCGATAAAATTAACATTTCTCAACAAGTCAATATCAAGACGATGTAGCTCAATTTCCCAGCAGAGTTTCTTCCTTCTTTAAAAAGTTTCTACTCCAAATCTCTCTCTCTCTCTCTCTTTTCCTTTTTCTTTTTTTAACCAGAATAAATAAAAAGCATTTCTCCTAAAAAAAAAAAAAAAACTAAACCAAACCGATCATCGTCGGCCTGTACCAACAAACTTGAGCATCCAGTTATGAAACCAATGCTCCGTGGGCTCTACAGGTGGTAGGTGCATTGCGGCTAAGCCCAAAATTTAGTTGAACCGTCAGATTGAAATTTTATGGCTAATTGGCTAAAAAAGTATTCTTAACTTTTGGTAAACAACAAATTAGTCCCTAGTATTGTTATTTTTATTTTTATAAAATAAAACTTCTAACCATGTGATTTTTATTCACTCTCCAAAAAAATTGAAAGAAAAATATAAACTAATTCATTTACCATAATTACCAGAATTTGTCTAAATAAAATTAATTTAGAAAAACAAAATATAAACAAAAAGAAAAAGAAAAAAACATATAATTGTTTCATAACATGTTTTCTTCCCTTTTTCAAAAATTAGTTAAATGTTCACCAAAAAGAAAACCATAATTGAACCACATTTAAAGTGAAAGATTTCTTCTTTTTTTTTCTTGTACTATTCGTAATTGTCCGATACTCAAAATGGGAAATTAGAATAAATTTGGAGAAGCAAAAGGCCATGTTCTATATTAGAATCAAATCTATTACCATGCTTCAAATGCTAAGGATAGAAACAAAGCAACTGTGGGCAATTTGCCAAGAATTTGTGTATTTAAAAGACTCAATTCAATATATAAATCTATTATCAAACGGGAACGTTGGGGGAAAAAGGGTTAAGGCGGAAAGCCCCGTGGCCGAACTAATACAAGAACATCACAAACAGCCCCATTGGGCTATATGATGAAATATTCCCACAGCTTGTCACAGACCCGCATGGATATCATGGGCCCATTTAATAGATTTGACCAAGTACTGGTTTTTATGCATAAACACAGGAAATAACTCTATACTTCTCCATTTTTTCCTCAGCATTTTTTTGCTTGATTTACGAACAAGACAAAACAAATTGCCTGCTGTTCATAGATTCGAAATCTAATATTTAATTTTCGCACGATAGAAAATAACTATTTTATTCTGGTTGGTGCACATATAAAACTCTTGCGGCCCATTGACATAGCACAAATAATGCAGCTTGAGCCGCGAGGAGATTTGTCTTCCTATCTCCAAGATAACGACTGTCTGCCCTTCACATCAATGCGTTTGCCATTTGCCAACCACTTAAATAAACAATTAATCAAGTTAGAGGATAAGATTAAAATTGAAAACTAAAAAGAATGCGCGAGAAGTTTAAAAATGTTCAATTTCAGTCTAATTTCCAATTTATTTATTTTTCGTGGGTGTACATCTGTGCGTTTGCCCTCGTTCTCCCGTTGGCCATTAAAGAACAAACAAAATTTCGACAAGGACAAACTAAACCTGATGTTATTATTTTATACAGTTACGTAACTAATACAGCATGAAGTAATTAACAAATTGCTTCTGTCTCCTGAAACAAATACTACAGTACCTTCGTCGAGGTTAGCTAGTCCAGCAATTTTTTAAATGTTTAATTTAGTCAATGGTTTTGAATCATAGATTTTTCTCTTTTCTCCGTAATTTCTTTTGTTATTTTGACAAATGAGCCTATCTAACCCATTTGAAATTTGAAAGCAATTCTAAAGATGCACGTGTAATTAATTCCTTGTCTAGGTGCAACTTTGATCAGTAATTAATTGATTTTGGACTATGCATCGATTTTTTTGGGGATTGAAATTCCAAGCATCCGTGATACTGGGGCTCTAACATAAGTGAGTTTTACCACAAGTCGTACGGTATAAATTAATTTGAAGTGATGCTAAATTTATCGTATATATATATATATATATAATCTCATACACTGAAAGAAAAAAAATCATTAAAAATCTCATGAAACCAATTATTTTATTAAAAAGAATTCTTCTTGATTTAGAAAAAAATAGAAATCTCTCGGACAATGCGAATATGTATTAAAAGAAATTTAAGTAATGCAATAAAAACAAACAAACGAGAGATACAATATTTTATATTGTTAAAAAATAATATAAATCATATTTCGAATCTCACTTAACAATTTTAATTTTTATGTAACATAGTCTTTTAACATAATATTAAAATTTGATTGACCAAATGATTCCGAGTTCAAGTCTCATTATCCCTCGCCTTCTCAAGCATGAAGCACAGAGCAACATGTATTTATACAAGTTTTAAGCTCAAATGTTTGAACATTTGAGTTTAAGTTTCATCATTTTTATTTTCTCAAGCATTAAGCATAAAACAATGTAAACTTGTACAATAAGCTTTCATTTGAGGGAACCTGTAAGAGAATAATATAGACAATGTAGGTTTGTGCAATAAGCTTTTGTTTTAGAGAATGTATAGAAAGTAACATAAATCATATTTTAAGATCTCACCCAATAATCTAAAATTTTAGATGAGATGGTTCTTTGACATCTATATAACTAATATATCAATATTTTTCATATTTGAATGAAAAAATAATATTTATAGGATTTATTATTTATTTATTTTCGGTTATCACATTATCGATCCGAATGAAATTTTATTACCATTTATTTGTTAATTACCATTCAAGCGAGGTTTTCAAAGTTTACACGAATATGTATTGAGAAATTTTATAATATTCAAAGAGTAATTAGTATATACGTATAGTAGTTATTTGATAAATCTACTTTTAAGGAAAGTGATCGACACATAAAAAAAAGAATTACGTCTTAATCCATAAAAAGTGATAAACAATTCGTTCAATTTTTTATTTTAATTTTCTCTCTTTTTTTATTTTTATCTATCTTTATAAAATATTTTACATTAATTGCTCTTAACATATTGGTAGAAGCATTTCGTGCTACGGTTGGACAACAGCAAATTATTATTTGCATGAAGATTATGTCATATATGTAATTATGTACACTTCCGTTGGATGTCTTTTTTTTTTTTGGTCCTTTTTTGTCCCCCACTATTGCGAAACATAACTTTCCATCGTGAATTTGATTGGCCTCCGATGCATAGAAAAAATGCTTCTGCTGTTGACGCCTTGTTAATGCTTTTGATGAAAGACTCTGGCTGTATCGTAAAAGAACTCCGGGACTTGCAACCCTTGCTAGTTGCTTCCTATAACCAGCAAAAATCATGTACCCCATAAAAACGAAAAAGGTCATGGGATTATTTGCTAGTGTTTAAGTGGCCCGCATGATAATTGTTTCGTACTGTTTTATCCCCTTTCGTTTGCTTGATTGAATGACTGGATGTGTTAACGGACAAGAACACCTGGTTAGGTTAAAAGTTCCACAATTTTGTTGACCAAAACAGTGACTCGGATAATAAGTGCTACTCAATAATTAATCACTTGTAATTCCATATTTTGCCAAGTCATCTAAAAACAGGGCCCATATGTATATATATACTTTATATGGCAGTTTCTTGGTGGCCACCATCATTTTTGCAATAAAGAAAGGCAGATATGGAGGGCTGATAAAAGTCTGGGACTTAGGAGTGGTGGTTGGCGATGAAAGATGATATGCCAACCCTTTTTGCAGCTTTGGTTTCTAAAAGCAAGGATGATGCCAACTCTGATTTTTGAAATTTGTTGTACGTTTCACATTCTACTGTAACGCCAGTTTGACCGGCAATGGAAAATTCCAAGAGAGATATAATGATTTGTTTCGTTGGAAAAAACATACGTCATGAACTCCACTAGTAAAAGATGGGCAAATATATTAATTATTTGAGTTGTATAAGATAAAATCATTTGATAACTAGAAAGAAGAATAAATCCACTCCCCATGGTTGAATCTGTGGCCATTTAATCAAGTTATTAACTTCATTTTGTTAAGATGATGAAAATACATGATAAGCACGTTATGCTCCGGCTGAATATATTACTCCATCGAGCAATAAAAGAAAAGGAAAGGAAAGGGAGATCAGTTGGAGCCATAGGATCGGTCAATAAGTTGCTGTTTTGACAAACAAGGAAATGACGATGGGGTTTAATTTTGGGTGTGAGTGCGAAGTCCTGAGACGGTCCCTGCTGCAACAAGTATTAATTGGGTTATTTTGACCAAAAGACAGACAAAGGAGAGGAAACAACAAACATTGTTGGCATAGACACACGATACACACCTAGATAAGAGTAGATTAGATTAGATGCTACAAAATTAAGCCTCCACAATTAAGTAGTGGTACATAATTTCTACTGGAGAGAGAGAGAGAGAAAGAGCTGCGTGCCTTCTTTTACGGGTCCTGTCCTTTCTGTTCTTTTAAGCCTCCAAATACAAAGGCAGGCAAGGACCGAACCCATAATAAACACACAAACACATTCCTTTACCCTTTTTCCCCTCTCTTCACGCTTGCTGTATGTCTCTCTCTCTCTCTAACCATCTTTACTAATTTTCTATCTCATCTGTTTATCTGTGTGACCCTACTGCTACTCAACCTCAATACCTCTTTTGAAACCTGCCACAAAGAAGAAGATAGTATCGTCACTACAGAAACACAAATAGCAGCACACGCATATCTACATAATATTTATTACCAGATCATCAGATTAGATCTAGAAAGAAAGAGAGTGAGTGGTTTTTTTTTTTTTTTTTCCCTATAATGGATAAAAGCTGTCCATCCTCTGGTGATTCTACAATCACCAGTAATAATAGCAACAACAGCAGCACCACCACCAACAACAACAGAGATCACTACCTCAAACACCTCAACAAACTCTCTCACAAGATCTCCAAACCCCCCATAATAACCACCACCACCAAAAAAGCCCCCTTTGATCAGCCAAATCAGCTACCATCACAGCCACAACAATCACAAGCATCATCACAACAGCAGCAAAATCAAAATCTGCAGGGGCAGCAGCAACAGCATCAACCTCCTGTTTACAATATAAATAAGAATGATTTCCGTGACGTGGTCCAAAAACTAACTGGATCTCCGGCTCACGAGAGATTTTCTACCCCTCAACCCATACACCCACCCAAACCTCAAAGCTCTCGTTTACAACGTATTCGTCCTCCGCCCTTGGCTCACGTTAGCAACCGCCCTCCTCCTTTGCTGAACAGCGCCATCCCCCTCCTCAACACCCACCCCTCACCACCGCCTCAAACCCTAACCCCTCCTCGTCCGCCGCCAACACTTTCATCCAGCGGTCAACAACACCTCTCTCGCCATTACCGCCATTTCCGGCGGTTCACGCGGCGGCAGAATCGCCGGTTTCTGCTTACATGCGTTATCTGCAGAACACGATCTCGGCCGTTGATTCCAACAAGCAGTTCTCTGGATTCTCGCCGCTGGCCCCTCTGGTTTCACCTCGATGGAACAATCTATCAGCTCCACAACAGCAATTTGCCGTACTACCACAGCAGCAAGGAGTAAATCCCTCTCAATCAGCGGGAATGGCAGCACCACAGCCGCAGTTTCAATTGCCAACGTCACCGCTGCCTTTTGGATGTTTGAATTCACCGCGGTCACCATATCCTTTGCTTTCTCCGAGTTTGTTGCTTTCGCCGTCTTCATTTCCTCTCTCCCCCACAGTGCCTGTGCCTAGCCCTAGATGGAGAGGTCTTTAAAACTTTAATTAATTTTATTCTTCAGGTAAGCGTTTTTTATTGTTCTTATTTATTTACAAATAGACGTTGTCGTTTTAGGGTTAGGGTTTTTAGATTTATTTAGTTTTTATTAATAGTTGTTGTAAATAGTTGGTGGGGTGGGTAAATTCTGTTAGCGGTGGCTGAATTAGAGAATTGTTTGGCGCTGGTTAATTAGTGTTTGTTTTGTAAATGGATATTATATGAAAGATATGTGAAATAGGAAAACCTCTTGATTTGTTATTTTGTTTGATATCTAGGGGCAAGTAGCCATATCCCATTAAAAGTTACTGAATTATAATTGGATTATGCTGCTGCTGCTTCTGCTAGAATGAACTTTGTAGAATTTGTTTGGTCATTTTTGGATGAGATTACTTTCCACGTTAAGTAATTTTGTGAGTTTAAACTTGTTAGTATAGCACTCGTGGATTTAGGACAGTGCAAAGTCTTTCTTGTGCTTGCCGTACGCTAGCTAGTATTGCTAGCGGTACCATCCAATTTGCTTTCATTTGTTTTTGGTAAATTATAAACGTGCAATCTCACCAGGAATAGAACAACATTTTTGTAGTGGCTAGATTTGTTGAAGGAATAAGTTTGTCAAGAGTAATATTCTATGGTACCGCCGTATCAGTTGCTTAGGAGTTTGTAAATTTTGGCTTATCATTGACTGGGTAAATATATTCATTTGTCTGTTTGAATTTTACATACAACTGGAAAATGATTACATTTGGGAGTTCTAACTGAGTTTGGTCAGATGCAGAAGGGTGTTGCATCTTGGACTGCACCTTTGGGAAAAGCTTTTCTAATTATAATATAAGTGATGTGTGAATGGACTCGTGAGGTTCTAAATTTCTAATGTGTTCCGTGCTCTTTGTAAGCAAGAATCTTCCTTTCTGGTTATACTTTTCCTCCCACTCAATAGTTCTAATTATAAAGAAGTATATGTGACCATCATCTTTAGGTTTTATTAATCTTCTATTGAGTGTAGAATGAAGATGGAAAGGTTAAAGAAGGAGAACAGGGAGATAGGTGAAGCAAATTGGTGTTGTGGGGGGGGGGGGGGGGGTGTGTCGTGGGGGAACTCATAGACCAGTATGCTTTCTCCTGCTCTGGTCTTTTTTGGCAGAGCAAATGACTTCCAGGATGCTTTCAACCCTTTTGTCTATATCCCACAGCCTAGGGATAGAAGCTTAGGGAGTCAAATGATCCATGCCTGCCTTTTACTCAGATAACTTTGTGCTTCTTTTTTTTTTTTTTTCCTGCTCAGATGTTATATGGTGATTGCTGCTCAATCTTTCCCAGTTTTGGTAAAGAAGGTTCTCATGAATGCTCTTGGATTTGTAAAATTTTGATTGTTGCTTTCACATATCCTGCCTCAAGCTTTCTTTATGTTGAACAATGTCACTTTCCCTTCTGCCTTGCAAATCCTTTTGGTACCTTGATGTTGAGAAGCTAACACTTAGGAATTGTCAATGCAAAGTATAACATGCTTTCCATCCAAATTGTATCACAAGGAAATCTAGAATGACTTTGAATTAAACCGGTGGTGAACATATGATATGAACTGAAGGGCTGTTTCTATTTATTTTGAAGCTATAGGCGGAAGTCAGATGACGGAAATCATATGAATGCTGAATTAATAGATCGGAAATTGTCAGCTACCAACCTCGCTGATTTATGAAAAAATTTCCATCTTGCATTTTATCTGTGTGCAATTCCCCGGAAAGAAATTTTGGCTGGATTAATTTTAGTTGATGACGAATAATGTGGCTTTTTTGTTTCTTTTGAAACCGTAATATTTAACAATTGGTGAAGGATGGAAAATGTGAGTGATTTGTTCTCCATCTGAAACTGCTTTTTTTAAAACCCATTAGGAGCTCGTCTAGAAAGTAAAAGATCAGTGAAAGTTTTTTTTTTTTGTTTGGAGCCTCCCTGGATGGTGTGCTCCTAGACTGGGGCCCTTCAACTTCGTAGTCTCTCCAACCGGCGTGAACATGGATTTTATTTAGGAACTTTGAATGCACTACTAACATTTGCACCAGTCGGGAAATCAAAATGAAACGGTGCATCACACACTCGATCTCGGGCATGAAATATGTTTTTTTCTCGAACCTGATGTGAATTCTATTGTAGCTCTAGATGTCTCCGAAGTGTATCCTTTTTGTTTGAATATTTTTATGAATTATGCTAATGAACAAGGATGTCATTCTGTTGGAATTACGCGAAAATACTGCTATCCTGCTTCCTGAAACGGGCTCTTCGCTGGTTCTTGAAAGCGGTACTATGAATCAAATTAGTAAAAAACTTTATTTTTATTTTATTGCTGTTTGGTTAAAAAAATACAAATAAAAATGTGTATAAAGAGTAGGAATTAGAATGAAAATTAAATATAATTTTATTTTTGAATGGGAGGTGGAAATAAAAATAAAAATGAGAATTAATTTTTTTTCAAAATAATGATATTATTTTATGAAAATTGCTAGCAATATTCTTTTAACATTTTTTTTAAACACTTGTTTTATAAAAATGTCTACGTGAAACTTTGTTAGTTATCTACAACATTCAAAAAAATAAAAATAAAAATCAAAAGATGATTTTTTAGAAATTTTATAATACACAAAGAGTAACTAATGTTATGTAAAATGGTTATTTTATAGATCCACTTTAAGAAGAGAGACAGAAAAAAAAAACGAGAGAATTAAAAAAAAAATTGAGAAAACTTAGAAATTTTTTCATTATTTTTTATAGATTCGGATGCAATTCAATATGTTTATCTCTTTTTTCAAAGTGTATTGACTACTATTTATGCATTAGTTACTTTTTGTGTATTTTAAAATTTTTTGATTCGGTTTAATTCGTTGGTTGATTTGATTTGATCTTTAAGTCTAAGAATGGGATTAAGAGACTTTTGATGTTTAAATTAGAGATTTAACTTAATAAACCAATGAAAGTTACAAGTAAAATGTAGTTTATATATATATATATATATATATATCGATTTTTATTAATAAAATGTTAATAATTTTGATATTATCAATTAAAAAACCATTATTCTATGTAACTATATCGCAAAAATCGAGATCCCCCCCCCCCCCCCCCCCCATATAACCAACTTTTTTGAGAGCGTGAGATTTTGCTTTTAACCGTTAAAAATTCCACAGGTAGTAGGAGTCCGCACTCAGATTGGGTTTTGCGTTCAGTTAAAAGGAACTGCTTAAAATAACAATAATAATCTACAGTCTGCCACGTTTACCCAATGAGATACCAGATGGTCAGATACACGACACTGAACTGCTGATGTTAAAATTCCACTAGCGGCACCTTTTCTAACCAATGAGTGCTAATAGTTAAGTCCGCCTCTTCAAGTGGTCCAATGCATGAAAGGACAGACTATGGCCCATAGGAGATGTGGACCTTCCTTGGTCGGCTTCATACGCTCAGCCAATCCTTTATCCATCATTCCACACAAAAATAGATCGTCTTACCAGATTATTAACTCTTTCGCTGGATTCCTTATCCTTTTTGAATTTTCATCTGCATAGGGCAACGGCGCCTAACTCTCTACCTTTGCTGATTTGGATTTCGCATTCTAAAGGATTCCCTGGCCTTGCTGTTAAACCGCACTTCCTTATCCATTTAACTTTGACGTACCCGTTTCTGACGCCAAATTTGCTCATCGGTCATCTAACAGTGGCACAATAGTTGGCAATAAAACTCAGAAAAAAGTTATTTTCATCTTTTCTAAGATATCCGGAACCCAGCCAAATTGGAACAGTATATTACGAGGTTGTGTGGTCACAGTAAATAAAATGTTTAGAATATTAATATAAGAATCAAAATAAAAAATAAGAAATCAGGATGAAATTTGCTTTTTCATATTATACTTAAAATAATAATTAAAAATTTAAATTAAAATTTTAATATCTGATTTTTAATATAAAAAATTAAAAAATAATTTTATCAATTATAATAATAGTTAAAATTATAGAAGTGATTGCAATAATTGTGATGGTGATGGAGTAAAAAAAAAAAAAAAGAGAGAGAACGAAGAATGGAAAATGATAATAATAATAATATATATTTTAAAAAATAATATCATTATTATAGAAAGTGATAGTGAAAAATAGTAGTAATTATATAATAATGAAAATGATGATGATATTAGTGGAAGATGAATGTCGATACAGTAGTGGTGATATAATAAAAATAATAATAATAGTTGAAAAAAATAATAACATAATAATAATAATAGTTTTTTTTTAATTACTATTGTCATTTTCATTGATAGAAGTAGTTAATACATAATGAAATAAAAGAATTACTAGCAACAATTTCTTTAACACTTGCTCAATAAAAATATCTACGTTAAATTTTTTTAACTACTACTAACATTTAAGCAAAAACGAACAAATAAAAAATAACTCATGTGTTCTTAAAAAAATTTTAATCTGCAATCAATTTTATATTATTTAAAAGACTTGAATGCTCATCTTTTTATTTGTTTAGTGTTAAAACTATCTAAAAAACTATTGAGTCGAAACCAAAAGTTAAGATTTATGTTTTCTTCTATTTCTTGAATGTAAATATTGAATATTTTATCTTTACAACATATAGATAATTATTCATTATAGTGGTGCTTTCTGAAAAAATAAAAAAATAAAGCAAAAATACTTCAATTTATTTAGATAATATAAAATTGATTGTCATTTAAAAACTTTCTTAAAATATGAAATACAAGTCATGATAAACTTGAAAATAAATAAAGAGTAACTAATGAAAAATGTAGAGAATCTGCTTGTTTTCCACCAAATTTTTTTAACTCTTTTTTAAATAAAAAAGATTCCTATTATTGAGGAGTAAATTATAAATTAGCCTTTTTATTTCAAAAAATAAATTAATTGGTCCATCCTTTTAAAAACTAATATTTAATTTTTATATTTTTAAATCTGCTTGTAATTCATTTTTTAATTTTTTTATTTTTTTAAATAGAAAAAAATTAAAAAAATTGATGAAAAAATAAAACATCTTATAAAATAAAATTAAATTAATATCGATTAAAAAACTAAATAATTAGTTTTAAAATAAAGATGACTAAAAAAATCATTTCTTAAAACTAGATAGACTAATTTATAACTTCATTGTTGTGAGAAAGATTGAATGAAATTTACGAGAGAAACCTAACCCTTTGTATCATTCAAGCGTCGTCAGCCTCGTTATTACTGTAGTTGACCATAAACAAAACTCGGAAGAAAAACTTTTACCTATCAAAACAGTGCCAGCAACATCGCATCAGTTAATCTAGGTAATAATTGAAAGCTAACAGTCATTACGAGCAGCCCTAGTTAATAAGGCCAGAGACTCAACCGTTCTTTTTGACACATGGAAACCGTGTATTGTAAGAATGAGCGGACGATACAAAGGAGAATAAGAGAAACAAGACTAGTTTTACCAATCAAAAACCGTGCCAGCAACATCGCATCAGTCAACTTAGGTAATAATTGAAACCTAACTGCCCTTACAAGCAGCACTAATTACTAAAGCCAGAGACCCAACTGTTCAGTTGATAAAGGAACTTTGCCATATCGAAACCGCGTATTTTAAGAATGAGCGGACGTTACAATAGAGAATAAGAGAAACAAGTGTAGTTGTACCTATCAAAACAGTGCCAGCAACATTGCATCAGTCAAACTGGGTAATAATTGAAAGCTAACTGTCATTACGAGCAGCACTAATTACTAAAGCCTGAGACTCAACTGTTCAGTTGATAACAGGGATTTTGGCATATGGAAATCGTGTATCTACGAGGAAGGGACATTACAATAGAGAATAAGAGAAACAAGACTAGTGACAATTAGCCATTAGAATTCACCAGACCATACAAGTACCTATTGCAGTAGGCACCCATACCGCAGCCTTGTCATTTCCCGTTTTCCTCTAAAGATCGAATAAGCGAAACCATATTCAGAAAGAAAAAGAAGAAACAGTTTGAAGTATTCAAAAACGGTCAAAATTGAAGAGCTTTCGAGAACACATCAACGCCGAAGAAAAACCCAAAATGCAAACGCCATTCAACCCCTGAGAGAAAACAGCGATGGGAGGGTATAGACGCTGTTGAAACAAGGGAGGCATTCAATCTTTGCTAGGACAGCAAGGAATTTTTAATGACAAAACCAGACATCATCAAGGCCCATTCGAGAACACAAATTGATATGACAAACTAAAAGAAATCAAGAAAAGCTTGGTGAGTCCACAATTCATAACCAAGACAACAATGGCTAAAAGATCAATAACAAGCAAATTAGCAACAAGCACCTTCTCCGATTAAAAACATATAGAGGAGAAGTTCAACCCTAATTTGCACTAGAGCACCTTCACTGCTGTTCATCACCAGTTTTGGGTGCTGCTTCTTTAATCTCATCAGCACCATCGTCCTGAATCAGAACAGAATTCCCCATCGTCAATACAGTCAGATAAATAATTGGATAGGAATAGGATGGAATAAACAGAATAAATAATTACGCCCAATACCTGCATGTCAGAGGTCCAAAGTGTAAGATTGTCACGAAGAAGTTGCATGATCAAAGTGCTGTCCTTGTATGACTCCTCGCCCAATGTATCCAGCTCAGCAATTGCCTCATCAAAAGCCTGACAATTTTAAGGAAACACAACTATCATCCTTAGCAAAATATAAACTAAAAAAAAACTCAAAAAAAAACAAAAAAGCAAAAAAGCAAAAAATGGTTTAACAAATTAGCAAAGCTACGTCAAGATTTATAGGTTGAGGTATTTTCAATTATTGAACACAGCATAAAATCGTAAATTAACAATATCACGTTTGAAGCTTGATCATATGCTAATCTGGTTGAGAATGCTGAATTCCAAAAGCAAAACCAACAGTCTTAAAATCCACCATAACAAATTCTGTCAATGATCTCGTCAGCCAAACAGGTCATGCAACATTCACAACCCAATTTTCTTAATTATTTACATTTTGTTTTCTGCCATTGCAACCATCTAGAAGAAAGAACAAAAGCAAAGATAAAAATCTGGGGAAATAAAAAAACTAAATGACAAACCTGTTTGGCAAGATTGCAAGCACGATCTGGAGAGTTGAGAATCTCATAGTAAAACACAGAGAAATTAAGAGCCAATCCTAGACGGATTGGGTGAGTGGGAGCGAGTTCTGAATTTGCAATATCCTGCAATCACAAATTCATATACAATAGCACAAATCATTCTGAAGAGAAATACAAGCAGAACTACGACTATACAAAAACAGACAATGAAGATACAATCAACATAAAAAGGCCAATTAAAAATACCCAAATACTTGTTAGGCAAAATAGCAAATTAAATCAAAATAAAATTTAACGAAAAGTAATCTATAAACAGATAATAAAGCAAATCGGCATCCAAAGTTAACAAATCCAAAACAAAAAACCATAAAATGAAAAGTCAAAAGCGTACGATCTAAGAAAGAAAAATAAAAACCTGAGCAGATTTGTAAGCAGTGAGAGTACTCTCAGCAGCCTCTTTCCTTTCAGCACCAGTTTTAAACTCAGCTAAATACCTGTGATAATCTCCCTTCATTTTCAAATAAAACACCTTCGAATCACCAGCAGAAGCCGTTGGAATCAACCTCGTGTCGAGCAGCTTCAAGATCCCGTCACAGATCGATGACAGTTCAGTCTCAATCTTAGCCCTATAGTCACGGATCACAGAAACATGGTCTTCGTTACCACGACTCTCCTCTTTCTGCTCGATCGAGGAAATAATCCTCCAAGAAGCACGTCTAGCTCCAATCACGTTTTTGTAAGCCACAGAGAGGAGGTTCCGCTCTTCCACGGTAAGTTCCTCATTATCGATGGAGGCCGAGACTTTCTCCATGTACTCCACCATTTCTTCATAACGTTCAGCTTGCTCGGCGAGTTTTGCCATGTAGACATTTTCCTCGCGAGCTGATGGTGTGGCTGCCATTGTTTTAGAAAGAGAGAAGATTGAGATCGAGAAATAGAGAGAGAGAGAGAGAGAGAGAGAGGAGAGGATTCAGATCTGGTTTACTTGAAAGAGGAGAAGGGAGGGGGTTATGTTACTTGAGAGGGAAGGGGGGCTAATTTTGGGGGGTAGTGGGGTGGCGATGATTGCGTTGGTGAAGATGGAGGGATTTTTGGAGGATGGGATGCGGACCGTTGGATTAAAAGAGAGAGTGAGAGAGAGAGAGAGAGAGGAAGAGAGCTGTTTGGCTCTTTGGCTCTTTGGCTGAGCTTGCAGGTTAAAGGCAGCTGGCAAACACGGGTATTTAAATAAAAGTGGTTTTTAAAGTGGCCTTTTTATTATTGAAAAAAAAAAAAAAAGATAAATAGATGTCCTTTGAATTTTGAAAGCTGTTCTGAACATCTGATGCTTCTTTGACTATTGAGGTGTTCTTGTCTCAAAAAAAAAAAAAAAAAAAAAAAAAAAAAACAAACAAACAAACAAAAACAAAAAACTATTGAGGTGTTAGAGTCTTAGTTGGGCTTGGACTAAAATTTTAAGCCGAGAAGTTTGAAGCTATAAAATTGAGCCTGGGCAACATTTAAAGCCCAGCAATTTTCACGGTTCCTGATAATCGTTTTTTGTTTTAATAATAAGAGATTACTTTCATTAATTGGACTGATCAGCACCCAAAACTGTTAAAAAAAATTTAGATGTTACAATTCTCAACACACAAAACCAGAAGTAAAACAAGAAGCTTTAGTTAGAAGATGAGCTACTTGATTATCGTTTTAAAAAATGGAAATTCCAATCTTATTTGTGATAACTGATAAAGCCATATAGCACAAAAAGTTGTTAGTAGTAGTAAAAAGTAAAAAATATTGCGTTTTCAAAATGTCCAAGTTGATGGAGACTCGACTCTTTCCTAGCTAGCTTGGATATTCGTACTAGTTCAACTAGGAGGTTTTTAATATATTGATCAAGGAAACAGGAGATACAAAAAAGAACAGATATGTTGAGTCTCGCAAACAACTTGGCTAAGCTTATTAGGCAATTCTTATCATAGTGAGTGACATCTTTCACCGAATTAGACATCGATCAAATTGATGAATATTCGCCGACTATTCTTTGTTTTATTATATACGGCCAGAATTGTGCCTCCACCAAACAGCCGCTGCATTTTCCAAAAGCCGTTTCTGAGTTTTATAATTTCGTGTACATTTTATGGTGCGGCCAAGTAGAGTCTCGTTCACAAAAGCAACGAGCCCTGTGGCTGGAGTTTTCATCGACTATATGCAGTTATTTAACTAATATGTCCAAAATTCAGATTACACACAAAAAATCTAATAATTTAATTTTACATCAAAAGTTCAACTTTTTGGCATACAGTCCTAACTTCAAAGTCTTTTGTTTTTTTATTTACTTGGAAGGCTTAGAGATTATGACCGAAGGAGAGAATTTACAATGATGAGATATCTTTTAATTGGTTCATTTATATAGATTTGCAAGGAGTAAGTCCAAAGAGGGTGAACAATACGTGCTTGCAAAGAATACACGTTATATTTTAAAAATTGAAAGTTAATCAGTGTAATAATTATTTCTTTCCATCGGTAAGAAAGAATTTCACACCTAAAAAAGAAAAGGAATATATGTATATCCAAAATTCAGATTAGGCCCAAAAGTTTAATAATTTGATTTCATATTAAAACCTATCAGTTAACTTGTTAAGTGATTTGCTTGGACCAAAATACTTACCAATCATAGATTCTTTGATTAGACAAAACAATTATAAGAAAATAAATACGAGGGATAACTTTCTTAGCAATTAGAAAAAATAAAAAATAACATGATATTAACATTGAAAAAAAAAACATAGTGCACGATTGTAGCAAATACAAAAAAAAATATAGAGCACTACAAGGTTGGATAGGTAGTTGTAGATGAAAGTAGGGCAGCGTAAGGTTATATGGACAGTTGCAGAGGAATGTAAACTATTATAAAAGATCATACAACAAATCGAAATTTATAAATACAAGTTGCAGCATGAGGAAAAAAAAACCTCAACAAGAAACAATCCAACTCACGAAACATTTGCTAACAAAAAGAAGTTTTTGTAGCACTATCCCAAATTTTAATACACTCGAAACTTGTTAGGTAGTAATTTAAAGCTAATAATCAAAATAGGCTGATAAATTTGTAGGCTTATAATTTGGCTTTTTGATCTCATTTTTTGTTCATAACTCGTTTTTGTGATTCTTGAGAATTGAATTGTTGTTAGAATATCATATCTAAAGGAAAAGTCTCAATTGATAAACACATTTTCTCATCAATAAACATAAGTTTCGTTTAAACTTTACTACTTTGCAAACTTAACAATGTGCATAGAAGAACTCAAGTTTGTAAAGTAGTGGTGTTGATATATAGGGACTCAAGTTTGGAAGTTGGGTGCTTTGCAAACCACCATATGAACTTTTTTTATTCTTTTATAATAAAATCCTCTTAATCTAGACAAACATGAAAAAACCTATAAAACACTAACACTATCAAACTTCAATTAAGCATGGCTCGTAAGTGTAAACTAAAATATTTTGACCTAATATTATATATCTCTATATATTCAAAGATCTTGGTTCGACAGTTAAAATGTAGGTTAGCCAAGTAAAAAAATTCAATAGATCGAAATTAAGTTTTTTTTTTATATTAAGTTTTAAAAATATCTTTTTTGTGTGAGGTAATGCATTCAAAAGAAATTAATTTCTTTCTTACATCATATAAAGATATTCATTGATGTCTAGTTGGAATGTTGTCCATACAATTAACAAATTGAATTTTAATGTTAGCAATATAACACATAACCGATGTTTAAAAGAGATAGTATACGGCCTATTAAAAACACAAGAAAGGTTAAAGATTGATGTGTTTTATAATTAGGTCTCTCTACCGATTTAAGAGTTGATTGAATTCATCTACTTAATTAATTTACTTAATAAGATCATAAAAGAGATAGAAGTTTATAAATACAAGTTATAGCATGAGGAAAAAAAAGTCAACAATAAAACATCCAACCCACGAACACTTATAAACAAAAAGTTCTTATAGCACTATCCTAAATTTCAATACACATGAAACTTGTTAGGCATTAATTTATAGTTAATAATCAAAATAGGCTAATAATTTGGCTTTTTGGGCTCATTTTGTGTTCATAACCTATTTTTGTGATTCTTAAAAATTGAATTGTTGTTTGAACATCATATCTAGAGGGATAAACACATTTTCTTATCAATAAACATAAGTTTTGTTTTAAACTCTACTACTTTGCATGCTTAACGAGTGTGCATGAAATAACTCAAGTTTGAAAAGTAATGGTGTTAATATATAAGGACTCAAGTTTGGAAGTTGGGGTGTTTTTCAAACCACTACCAACTTTTTTATTCTTTTGTAATAAAATCCTCTTAGTCAAGACAAACACGAAAGAACCTACAAAACACTAATGTTGTCAAACTTCAATTAAACATGGCTTTGTAAGTGTAAACTAAACATATTTTGACCTAATATTATATATCTCTATATATTCAAAGATCTTGGTTTGATAGTCAAAATGTAGGTTAGCCAAAGAAAAATTTTAATAGATCGAAATTCATTTTTTTTTAGGTTGAGTTTTAAAAATATATTTTTTATCCGAATTAATGCATTGAAGAGACATTAATTTCTTTCCCGCATTCTATAGAGATATTCATTGATGTTTGGTTGGAGTGTTGTTCATACAATTAAGAAATCAAACTTTAACATTACCAACACGACACATATCCGATGTTCAAACTAGATAGTTTGATATGACCCATTAACAATACAAGAAGGGTTAAAGATTGACGTGTTTAATTAATTAGGTCACTCTATTGATTTAAGAGTTGATTGAATTCATCTACTAAATTAATTTGCTTAATATGTTTCATTTGTTATTAATTTAATTGATGAAATACGATAACATGACTAATTACGTTGTCTTTTTTACTAGTAGACCGGTAGTTTTTTTTATGTCCAATTTTTTATATGTTTATAACATTTTTCCCATTAACTTAAAAAAATCTTTACAACCATTTTGGAGATCTAGAATTTTACCAAACCAATGTTCTCTCCTTCTCAATTCCAAATCTTAAAGTTAGTAACTAATAATGAACATTTGACTATAAGGCTTAATAAATATGAGAATAAGATATTTATCAAGCTAATGTTTTAGAGACATTTATACGGTTTAGCAATTGGAAGATATTTAAGATATTCATATATATATATATATATATATATCAAGTGAGGTACATAACATTAATGTAGAGTGTTCGATTCTTTATTTTTTTGATTTGTTATTTGGATGAGATATTGCCAATAATTTTAACAACACATAAAATTTCAAACCCTAATCCAACCAAGCCTTTGTTTATAACTAAGAATTCAAAAACTTTCATCCTTTTTTTTTCAACCAAAGCCACCCTTCTTTAGAAATCACCAAGCCACTAAAGCTGATTTCAACCTCTAATCTTCCACCAACCAAAAACATACCAAGGCTACCAAAAGTGAGGAGCTTTCTAGTCAATGAAAGTAGGTCATGGTAGGGTTTCATGTTGATTATAGTTGTGGTCATTCATGATAGCGAGCAACTTCAAGTCTTTTTCTAGCTTTTTCTCTCACGGTGTCAATCGTAAGTGGGGTCGATGCTACTAGCAATAATTTTTAAGGTTAATAGAGGTTGTGTCTTCCTGATTGTGGTGGTTATGCTTTTTTTTTTTTAATGGTGTTGTGATTTTGTACCGGGTAGTGCTAATGATGATTTTTCACGAGTGAACGGTTATCATTGGGATTTTAGGAGAGAAGGATCTTTTTTTGTCAAATAGAGAGAGACTAGTTTTTTTCCCCTATCGTTTTTTCTATTTTAATAACTATGTTTATTTTTATGAATATTTTATATTTTTTTAAAAAAATAATATTAAAAAAATGAATTAACAAAG